AAACGGGCATTACATAGCCTACGAGCTAACATAAAGAAAGAGTGGGCCTCTCCACAATAAAAGCAAAAGAGAAAAAAAAAAAAACAGATGCATACGATTTAATTCCTCTAAGTCTATATTATATATGATGCAGATGTAATCTAAATTTATATATAAAATAAAATTCTCATAAAATTAAGGTGAATCTTTGCTCTGACTGCCTCGTAACTCTTGCAATTTGAGAGATGATATTTTGTACTAAAAAGTAAAAGTAAAAGCAAAATCTTCCTCGTGTTTGTTTTTAGTGAATTAAACCTTTGGTGATTAGATGTAATAACCATTTGAAACCACGCAATGTACTTTTGTCCCTTGGTCTTGTTAACCCTTGAGTATGACTCAAAAGCCTCTTACTACAGTTTTAACGTATATGTCGTTTCATGATTATCATAAAACTAAGGATTCATATTGGGATAATGGCTTTGACATCGAGTTTATACGTACTATCAAACTATAGGTTAAAGTAAAGAGAGTTGCTATGGGAAAACTAAAGTGATTACGAAACATCACACATGATATTTACTATACATGCATGATGCATGTAGAATTAATTTGCACATGTACATTATCTCTCTAGGATAAATTCTATAAAGTATATCAGGTTTCTCCACTTATAATTACATCTACGATTCTTCGGATTATAATAGTATGATGGTGCATGAAAATAATTAAAATCGTCCATATCTAGCTAGTTTCCGTCAAAACGTTACAGTGAAGTGTGTTTATTTCAAAAACATAATTCATGATAGATGCCCTGATGAAAATAGTTTTAGTATATACTTACCTAAGAAAGACAACCCTTTCAATGATATAATCTTTTACTTTGTTTGGATTAGTATCATTTTTATCGAGTAAAACGAAACTTAAAAGTTTCAAAGATTGAGCTCAACAGTGTAAGAAAACATTTTCCAAATTAAGGAATATCCTTTTCTATTGAAGATGACAAATATAGACTAACATTATAAATGCGCATCCATTTGACACCACTTGGCCATGTCTCTTGTGCCCATTAAACAATTTGACACACAGAAAATACAAAAATAAAAGTTTTCGCTAATGATTCTATAATTCTATTGATTTGTAATTTATTGGTAACACAAAGATTGCGATACTTTGAATAGTTTGATGTTTGAATCCTGAATTTCAGGATATTGAAACTAATAGGTCGACTTTTTTTTTCCCTAGTAGGTCGACTTTATTAATGTGTTGCATGCCCTCAATCGTTTCTTCTTTCGATTTGTAGTTTTTTCTTTGGCTAACATTGTTATGCCTTTTTCCCCTTATTTATTTCTACGTACCATATTTGAGAAATGCATTAAATCTTATTAAAAAGGAAAAAATGTGTTGCTTAGTGTTCGCCTAATGTGAAAGTTTACATCATCTACGAGTTCGTGGAGACAAGTTAACGAAACTATTCCTGCTGATTAGATACCAATAAAATGAAAGTCCACTCATATACACAAAAATAAAGCTAAATTCTATCGTAAAATTATAAATATGTGAGTCTGACGACACAAATAAAAGTATATATATCGTTTCTTCCTCTGTTTACCAGTCGCTTCTTGATCACCACCAGTCTTGACGCAAATAATTATGTTTGTCAAATAATGTCAATATATATCGCATGTGTTGGTAATTAAAACATCAATAAACACTAATTGAATAACATGGGCCATTTAATGTTTGTTTTTAATTAAAACGTGTTTAAGAATACTCAAACAATGACTACAAATGGTTGAAATCATATCGTTGAGTGTAAATAATCAATCGTCGAAAACGTATGTATAAAATATATCTTCGTTATTGCGTTTCCCATTGTGTGTAAACAAATGAGGACGTATCTTGATGGGGCAAAAGCAATTAGCAAAACGAATTAATGGTGTAGATATGCTAATCATGATTAGCATTCATGAGTGTTAAATGTATGGTGGAGCTAATCTCTGTGTTTTTAAGTATTTTGGATCATTTTAGTTGATTAGTTTCTGTATATATTTAATTTTAGAAATTAATTTAAATTTACAATGTCGATAATCTATTGGTAGTTTTAATCATATGGGACATTAAGCTGCCCCAGCATGGCATTCTCCGCCGTCAGGCCATTATCAATTTCTTAATTATTTTCCGTATTTCTAATAGTTAAGTTAGGTATATAATTTTATATACATATAACAAGGTTTCTGGGATTTCAACAATCAACAATGGAGTTCATTTGATAGCACAGTGTGAAACTGTGTATGTTCAAACTGGAGACTTTTTTTTTTTGGTTTAAAATGTGTCTACGAATCGACCGAAAGCTTAATTGCGAGATCTTAGATATTCTAAGAATTTCATCTATATTGCTTTATACTTAACCCTAATATATAGTGACCTATTAGTATATACAAAAAGTTGTTGCAAAAAATTTTTTTTTTTTTTTTTTTTTTTTGTGCAAAGCAAAAATATTTCTATATACGGAGTTGTTCATTAGACATTCAAGTAAAATGAAACTTAAAAGATGCGAAATTGGGAGTCTCAAGAAAAATACAGAAAAAGGAGCACAAACTCCTGATATCAATGGCGAGTGGACTTTAGAACAGTACCTTGTGTCCAACATTTGTGCTACAAGGAAAGAATAACTCTAAAATTAAAATAATCATCTATATTTTAGGAAATTCAGAAACTCAATATTTAAACAAAGATAAAATTTCGGAACAAATAAAAGTAATTTGGCGAAAAAATAAACAAATTGAAAAGGAAAGATGATATGGCAAACTATATGACATAGCACTCTTTATCTCTTTCTCTTTTTCCTCTATACCTCTCTCTCTTTTTAACTTTTTATAGTATTATTCTTTTGCTTTATTTTACTTTGTTTGATAGACCAAAATCTCGGAGAGAAAATGTAATACAAAAAAGACTAGATAACAATCCGCACTATGTGCGGGATGAAGTGATTCAAGTAAAAGTATTATCCGGGATCCAAGATCCGTTTGTGTAAAACGAAACATGTTACAATTTTTTTTTTTTTTAATTCAAATTTGGGACTATTTCATATAAGAATATGTTTTACCCGTGAAATATTTGAACTTTGAATAAAGTTTCAACGTGATAAAAAAGTATTGACGAAATGTTACCATTTATGGCAATAAGTCTTTCCGTATGTTTTAAAGATTTCGAGATTTTGTAGTATAAAAAGAATTTTTTTTTTTTATAATAATTATAAGCAATCAAAAATTTAGCAAATATGAGATTTGATAGTTTTCAAGCTAAGATTTTGTAGTGTTCCAAATCTAAGATTCTTAGATTATGAATAGATTATTTACGAAATGGTTATAATGTGGCCAAATTTTGGTTTATATACAAATGTGGTTATAATATTTTTCTTCGAAAAGTTAGAACTCTTCCAAAAAATAGGATTTTAAGTATTCGTAACATAAATAGAAAGGAGATTATCTTATTTATTTAAGTACAAAATTTATGAAAGATGTAAAGATTTGTAGTTTTGAATTCGAGATTCTTGAACCAAATGTATATATTTTATCATTTAAATATAAACATAAATATAAATATAAATAAAAAGATTGTTTACCAATCCGCTAAAGAAAATTTATATAAATATATATAAAAAAAGTATAAATATAAAAATATAGTAATATAAGATAAACAAAAAGTGTATGTTTTTAATTATTAATGGGATATATGGATGTATGAGACTAATGGCAAACTCTGTAAATACTCTAATAAATCTTGGGTAATTATCTAAATAGAAGCCAAATCATTATGAGAGCGACACATCAGCGTGGCAATCTTGTTAATAACACATGATGGTAAGTTTTTTTTTTAAATGTTTCTCTATTAATATATAGGGGATATTATCATCGTTTTGTAAGATAAAAGAGATCTACAAATGGATGAATGGACCTAATTAATATATCAGTTCAATTTCAGAAAGAAATAGAAATGGACACAGAATCAGTTAGTTACCCGAAAACTAGATGAACGAATCAAGCTAGTTCCGGCAAAAATGTTCTTGTAATTCACTGTTTTTTTGCGAAAAAAAAAAAAAGGAGTACAGATAGATGATAAACACAACTACCTAATTCAATTTTCAATACTCTCTTTTTAAGCTTAACCATTTTTAAAAACTTTACTAACCCACCAAAATTGTGTATTTCTCCTTACTAATTAAAATATCGTATGCAACTGTGGAAAATTGAAATATTAATTCTCTCTTGTTTCTATTACTTTTGGTTCATTCTGATCCACTTGTAAATATTAATTGCACCAACAATTATGTCTCAATTAATTTGTAAAGTTTCACATTTTATTATTCTAAATTAATGTAATCTTTAATCAATTAAAAAACTTATTTGACATTTGACACATCTTATTAGCTAAATGATGATGATATATAAAAAAAAAACTATCGGCTTTTACTTTTATTATTACAAGAAGTGATGATAAGTTCTTACTAGAGTTGATCAGTTGACAAAACCACCCGGCATGTTTAATATCAATCATAGATTGTCGCAGAATTCTATAATTTCACAAGATTAATCACAAATACATTAAATATTAGTACTATGTCTTTTTTTTTTTTGGTGCAAAACATTAAATATTATTTCATTATACAATTTTTTTTTTTGGTATGAAAAAGGATTTTTCATTATACAATTTTTGTCTGTATAAATAATACTACTAATTTTTTTTTTAACTGACTTCAGTATGTCACATACTTGTTTTTTGCATTTTTTAAGAGTAAGAGATCAAATGTGTTGAAAATGGCCAAAAAAAGGAGAGAATTAAAGATTTGAATTAGACAGACGTTGTCAATATTAAATTTTGGTATTGGAAATCTAATCAATGGTTCTGTCAAATCGTGGTATTAAATTAGATGAATAAAAAGTTTCCAAAAAAAAACATACTAAATTGCTAATTAAAAAAAAAAAAAAAAAAAAAAGAAGTATAGCATAGAAGAGAAGACTAAAAACACTCGCTAGTCTCTCAGCAACTTTAATTTGTTCAAAATACGCTGCTTTTACTTTGCCGTTTCATTGAATCTCTCTCTCTCTCTCTCTCTGTATAAGAATTTCACTTTTACTTTCTCACTCTAAAATCTGCCCTCATTGTCTCGCCTCTGTCTACTTCAAGAATTGATGTCTCTTCAACACTTTCTCTTATTTTAAGTACCCTCTCTCTCTTTCTCTCTCTTTGCTACATTTCCTTTTAAAAACCTTCTCTCAAAAACAAAAAGAAAGAAAGCCCTCACATTTTTGTTCATTGCTTTTTCCAAAGAGCCAATTCCAGTCAAATTTAGGAAATTTCCATCGTTTTTGGCAGTGTGATTCATACAGAACCTATACTTTTTTTTTAGTAACTAGGGATGGATTGAGTTTCTGTTAAAGGAGATAAAGAAAAGATCCAAAAACACTAGTAGTAGAGAAGCAGATAAGAAAGAAGCAACAATGAGAGAAGACAAATCCAAGACTAATAAGGTTTTTTTTTTAAAATTCTCTTAATATATGACCTTTATGTTTGCCCATCGTCAGGGAATTTGAAAGATGAATTCTTTTTTTATTATTTGAATTTCTGAAATGAAGCTGGCATGGTCCAAGAAGATGGTAAGGAAATGGTTCAATATCAAAAGCAAAACAGAGGAGTTTCAAGCAGATGATCCTACTTCTGCTAGTAATCTCTCTTTCTTTTTACTTGTTCTTGTTTTTTTCCTTATCTTTTGTCTCTTCTGAGATAATCTTGTTTCAATTTGTTTCTGATGTTGATTTGCTAAACTGATTAAAGGAGTTGAAGTAGAGCATAGAAGTAGCTTTTCAGCTGAGAAAGCACCTTCCACAATCAAGAATACCAAAACTGGTAAAATCATACATATATAGTCACTTGTTTTATCTAACTAGATGATTCTTTCTTTTATGTTACTGATGATTTCTTGGTTTCACAGAGAAACTCAGTAAGAACTGGGAGCAGCAAGCTCGGCAAAGGAGAATGAATTATGAGAATCCTAGGATCATTGATGTCCAAAACTACAGGTATGTCTGTCTATATATATACACACATATGTTTCATGTAAGCTTTGTGTTTTTTTTTTCTTTCTGAAATCTAGTGTTGATTACTTTGAGCAGCATCTTTGTAGCTACTTGGAACGTAGCTGGACGCTCTCCTCCTTCAGACTTAAACCTTGATGAGTGGCTTCATTCATCAGCTCCTGCAGATATATATGTACTCGGGTATCTTTCGAAAGACTTCATTCTTTTTTAATGAATTTCATTGAGTCTTCATTTCCTCAATCTTTGCTGTTTGGTCATATTCAGATTCCAAGAGATTGTTCCTCTTAATGCTGGAAATGTCCTTGGAGCTGAAGACAATGGACCTGCTCAGAAATGGCTCTCTCTTATCCGTAAAACGCTCAATAACCGACCAGGAACTAGTGGAACGAGCGGTTATCACACGCCTTCCCCTATCCCTGTGCCTATGGCAGAGCTTGATGCTGATTTCTCTGGATCCACAAGGCAAAAAAACTCTACTTTCTTCCACAGACGGTCTTTTCAGACCCCGAGTAGTACATGGAATGATCCTTCTATTCCTCAGCCAGGTCTTGACCGTCGTTTCAGCGTCTGTGACCGTGTCTTCTTCAGCCACAGGCCAAGTGATTTCGACCCAAGTTTCCGTGGTAGTAGCAGCAGTCACAGGCCTAGTGATTACTCTAGAAGACCCAGTGATTACTCTAGAAGGCCTAGTGACTATTCCAGAAGGCCTAGTGATTATTCCAGAAGACCCAGTGATTCAAGACCGAGTGACTACTCTAGACCAAGTGATTACTACTCTAGACCGAGTGATTATTCAAGGCCAAGTGACTTCTCAAGGTCTTCAGATGATGATAATGGTCTCGGGGATTCTCCAAGCACCGTCTTGTACTCACCAGGTTCTGCAGCAAACGACAACGGATATAGAATCCCGTGGAACTCTTCACAGTATTGTTTAGTTGCTAGCAAACAAATGGTGGGTGTCTTCCTAACTATTTGGGTGAAAAGCGAGCTAAGAGAACACGTTAAGAACATGAAAGTATCTTGTGTTGGCAGAGGACTAATGGGTTATCTTGGAAATAAGGTTAGACTTTGTTCTTCATTATATAATGCTCTGTCTCCTGTGAGTTAGCTAGCCGCTTTATTATAATGCCTCTGCCTCTATTGTTCTTTGTAGGGATCGATCTCAATAAGCATGTTGCTCCATCAAACAAGCTTTTGCTTCGTCTGTACCCACTTGACTTCGGGACAAAAAGAAGGCGATGAGCTAAAGAGAAACTCTGATGTCATGGAGATACTCAAGAAAACGAGATTTCCTCGCGTTAAGAGTTCAGAGGAAGAAAAGTCCCCTGAGAACATCCTTCAGCATGAGTAAGATTGATGAAACTTACTTCTCATACTTTGAAATTAGACTTCAAGAAACTGTTTGTTGGTTTTTTACCAGTCTATTGATCTAAATCATTATTTCTTTTTACCAGCCGGGTAATATGGCTTGGTGATCTAAACTACCGTATTGCACTGTCTTACCGATCTGCCAAAGCACTCGTTGAGATGCAGAACTGGAGAGCTTTACTAGAAAACGACCAGGTACGTTTGTAGATATACTTAGATCCTAATGGTGTGAAGAAATGGCGCAAGAAGTTCTTATCCGGAAAAGGTTTACTTGCAGTTAAGAATTGAGCAAAAAAGAGGCCATGTTTTTAAGGGATGGAATGAAGGAAAGATTTATTTCCCACCAACCTACAAGTACTCGAGGAACTCAGATAGATATTCTGGAGACGATCTGCATCCCAAGGAGAAACGTCGCACTCCTGCTTGGTATGTTTCCGTATTTAACAGCAAGAAAACAAGAACTTCTTCTGCTATATGAATCTTTCATCTGACATTTGGTTTTCTTAAAATAGGTGTGATAGGATATTGTGGTTTGGTGAAGGACTGCATCAGTTATCATACGTAAGAGGAGAGTCACGGTTCTCGGATCATAGACCGGTCTATGGAATTTTCTGTGCAGAGGTTGAGTCAGCTCATAATAGGTTAAAGCGAACAACGAGTTACTCCACTTCACGGGTCCAAGCTGAAGAACTCTTACCTTACTCCCGTGGATACACCGAGCTCAGCTTCTTCTAGAAAGACACAGATTTCCATTTTTTCTGCTCTTTACGGTAACTTTTCTTTCATTTCTCTTTTCTTTTACATCTTAGGTTTAAACTTGAGCCTGAAAGAGTCACCAAACCGACAAATTAGGACATAAATAGATAAAAATGTTGAGTCACTGTGTCAGTGACTTGAGCTGGTCCAAAACCAAAGAAGTCCATAAGTATCTGTGGTCCTCATGAGATTCAAATAGAGCAAGTCTATAGAGAGACCAATCTACAATTCTGCATTTATGTGCAAAGGTGTGATCTCAACCAAGAAATGAGGGAATTCCTTCTCTCAGATCATTTAAAGATCACCCAACTGATTTTGATTTCCTCAGAAAGAAAGGGACCCCATTGGTTTTGCATCCTGGTTAGGATAAGGAACTCAACATTGAATCTTGATAAGATTGTTCACTGCATATTATCAAATCTCTGTCGTTTTTTTTTTTGTCTTAACTGCTTTAAACTCTGCAATGCATCAGCAATAAATCATAATAATTCAAAAAATATCTAAACTTATTGGTTCTAAACTTTGTGCGTCTTGAGAAAATTATGAAATGTTTTCATTCATGGTAGAATTGGATTGGCTTTTGTCAGGTGAACACAAGTTTTTTGGTTCTTTGAGAGTGATGGAGACATTCCATTGCCACTTTAACTCAAAGGGAACAGGTTGGTCAAAAAACTTCTTTTTTTTTTTTTTTACATTTTCAGTTTGCGGTTCGGTTTTTTTAACTTATCGTACCGTTTACTTTCCGGTTTGCAGGTGTAGAATGTGTTTTGTTGTACTATAATTTTGGCCTCGGTTAACTAATTTTCACATACCGGCGGTTCTGAGGCCTTCCCGGTTCATAGCATGGTTTTTGCTAACTCTAGTAGATGTGAATTTTACAGCAACGTCATAAGGTAATAGTTTTAGCTGATTAGTGAATTTTATTGTTGCTTAGATTTTTTTTTTTTTTTACTAATTGTGTAATGTAATCATTTTTTTCTTACACTTTTTTTACTAATAGTGTAATGTAATCATTTTTTTCTTACACAACTTGTGTTTTGCGATGTGCAGGCAATCAACTAACCCAATCAGAAACTGCCAAGTGGACAGATGGAAGTTCTTTGATTTTTTTTTTTTGTTTGTTTATTTCTCATTCTTTTGATTTAGCAATTATCAATAGGGAAAATATCATTTTCTTGTCTTTCTTATTTAGTAGCATGCCCCCTAGATAATCATATTATTGTAATGCTTATTTATATATGGTTTACGTCAAGAATATCTGAAAATATACAAAAAAGAAATATTCTAATTCCACTTTATTTATGATAATTTCCATAAAGGAAAAGTGAACTGATACCGTCTTGTAATTATCGTTGGACTGAAAAAAGTTTGGGTTGCTTGACAACCTCAAAGGCAGCTCACTTCATCTCTTTTGTTCTTTTTGACTATTTAAATTCAATGTTTAATTTTGCTTTTAATTTTAAATAAACCTCTTGTATTTTACTTTTACTTAATTGTACATTTTGTTAACAAGAACTATATCAAAGATTCACTTAGGTGACATGTTGCTTTCAACAAATTCAAAGATTTTATTTTCCAACAAATTCAAAGATTCAAAGGGGGTACAAAATTTGGTTATGAACTTTTTCAAAAACCGAGAAATCGATTTGTGTATATAACTTTTATATAAAAATACTAATATCTGTAGAAGAGACAAAGACTGGACCAGTTAACGTAGAAGGGAATGATTAAAAACTAAAAAAAGAGAGCCTGAAAGTGAAGAGAGTGTTTTGTGTTTCCTCATGCTTTGTCTTTTATCTGTTTCCTCATGCTTTGTCTTCTTCTTTCAGCTTTTGTTGATCACATTCACAACAACGCTTGTTAATACTAGTACTTTATTAATTGTAATACAGTAAATAAATGAAGATTCTTGTAAAATTTGGAGCCATATGATTAATTACACAGACAATGATCAGTTTTGTTTTTTCCAAGATAATTCCTATTTTTAAAAACATTATCAATCGAATAAAGAAAGGAGAGGAAAGTGTTGTTCAGAAGGGTGTATACTAAACCAGCTCTTTATGTTAATTGCGGTTTAAAAACATATTCGTCCTAGTGATTTATCATATGAGTTAACTTGGAAATTATATATGAGACCAAAATCCATCATTTAAGCAATAAAGTTGATGATCTATTCTACAAGAAATTCTAATAGAACTAAAAAGAAAACGAGAAAACGAGATTCTTGTGCCCCAGTAATTACCTCTTAAACAATACTGTACATTACTAGGCTTAGGACCTGCGCCTCGCGTCGGATTATTTGTATCTCTAAATTATATCATATTCTGTTAATTTTAATAGTTCATTATTTTCTTCTATATATATATTATCTTTTCTTTTTATATCTGTAAAAAAATATTTCATTACTTTGGAAATTACATTTTGTTATTCCATATTGTAGTTTTCATGAAAATGCCATAAATTTGTTATACTTAAGTATTTTTAATATCCATGCAATTTAATTCACAAAACAAAATAAAATATTTTTGATATAAATCTTCACTACAGCTATTAATTGTATCTATACCTAAAATAGGTGTGTATAACTAAAATTTAGAAAATAATTTTGTTTCAAAAACTTTTTTTTTTGGTTGTCCTTACATTTTTAGTTTTATAAAATTTTTCTTAAAAACATTTGAATTATTGTTGTTAGTTTTTAAAATCTTTTATAAAACTAATGCAATGGCAAAGTTGTAAATAAATTTATTTTGTAAGGGTAGATTGCTAAGTTGTGCACTGAGCTCTCTAATGATGACACGTGGCGAAAATGTTTCTCTTTTAATATATATAAGGGATGAGACTTAAAAAAGAAACTATACATTAAGGAAACACAATAAACTGTTGAATATAATAAGTCAATATAAAGTAAAATTATGATTTTATCTTTATAAGGATATATAGTGTTTCTTTTGTAAAAGAATGTCAAAAAAATATCGTAATAAAATAAAAAAAACAAGGTTGCAACATGGATTTGATTGATATAGGCTTTTGAGAGTGGGAAAGGATAGGCTAGCAGACTAACCAAAACAGCATGCCTCATTTATTCAATTTTTACCAATTCCACACATTTTTCGTTGAACTATGTTATATTTATTTTGATTCATTGTGTTTCAGGGTATTATAATTTTTCTAAATTTGACAAGAACGAAAGCAGCTGGCTATGAAAAGACACTCAAGGAAGGCTAACATATTGTCACTTGGCTCAGAAGAGAAACAAAGACGAAATCTACAATTCTATTAAGATTCCTCTTGTTACCCATCTACTTAGCAATTTGTACCAATACAGATGTCCTCAGCCTAAGCTGTTCGACTTTTCCACGAGTCGACTTATTATTAAAAAAGCAAAAATGTAAAAGAGATAGCTAGTAAAAGTAAACAGCGAGAGTTACAGATAACTTATATCCATTTTTTTATATGAATAAATAATTAGCATATACGTAATATCTTGGTCTTCAAGGTAAGATTTTTATATGGTCTCGGATTCTCTCTTGGCAAATCAATTTCTTCCATCTAAGCAATGAGCAAATATCTTTTTCACCCTCCCTGAAGAGGCCAGCTGGGAAATCATGGAGGAATTAGTTTTTCCAAATCCAAGTATTAATTCCGTCAAGTGCTTCTTCATTAGATGAGTCTAGATCTCCTGACTGCCTAGCACCACACCTTCAAGACCATATAGAAAAACATTTAAGAAATGGAAGAGGCAACGAGGAATGACGGATTAAGCTTTCTTTCTTGCCATAGGAATATGATAAAACGTTGTAATGGACAACTAGTCAACTCTTTTAACAGATCTCTGAGGGATTTTGAAAGTTACCAGCAATTCTCAGGCCAGGATACAAAACTAAAATATAAATATGGTATTTCTAAATTACTAAGTTTTCCAACGGGTAGATGTAGATAGATGCATATGAAACAAATGAAATGAGCTGTGCTCGGAAAGATACCTTAGCAAACTAATCAATTGTCAAATCAAAAGCACAATATATTTCAGTAAAGGTCATGTGTCTATTTGTGGTGGAGAACTTATTCACATGTTACTTTCAAGATAAAATAGAATGCATCTTCTTTCTGCTCTCACTGAAAAGAACACTATTTCACCTCGCTTGTGGTCACGGTTTTACTTTGTTAAATTAACCGGAAAAAAAAAAAGACATGTAACAAAGCTTAATTGACCAACAATTCTTGATTGCTTCACGAATAAATCTTCAGATTCTGAATGAGGTTAAAGCAGGCCAGGAAGACGAAGACAAGCAAAATAACGAAAAATCGATCAAAGTTAACGAAAATGCAGAGTGCCTGATTTTCGTCTCGGCGGCGACGAGGAAGTTGAGAAAATGCAGAGTTTGTTTGTTTGGTCCGTTCCACCAATACATCCTTTTTTTATTATTTTTTATATGAGCAATTTTTACTTGCAAGTTTTGTTTAATTAACCGCATATAGATGATTACAAAGAGAAAAATATGCAGTTCAAAAACAAATCTACAAACCAAAAGATCTGTGATTCAAATCTGCCGCAGTTTTGCAAATTTATTTGAAATTCATCAGCACAATGACGAATTCACAAATATTGACATATAGCAAATATCTATAATTTTTGGCACATGGGATTAAAAGTAGCTAGTTTTTAAAAGTGTTTTCATAACAATTTTTTTAAAAAACTAAAATCTCTTGTTGAGTATACTAACCTGCGAAAACAATTCTAAAACATGTTGCCCCAATTGACAAGAGATCTAAGCCAGCATTAATATCCAACATTCAAACTTAACTGTGAATATTTTTGTACTGTGCCACTTTATCACCGGTCGATAAAAACATCCTTATTGATCATTTGAATTTTGAAACATACGTCTGATACAAGACTTGAATAAGTTAACCAAACCATTCACCATACGAAATGCCTTGGAGGAGAACAATGCCACGGACCATGTACTCTTCTTCTTCTTCTTCTTCAAGTCCTCAGTTTCTTCAACACCATGGACCATATACGCTACAATATTGTTTTAGTTTTCATAAGTAAAACCGAGAGTTGTAAAGATTAGAAATCTCAACGTTTTCAGATATTAAAACTTGCCTTTGGTTGCTTGTGGACCATGTCCGAATCATCCATGTCCGAATCATCCATGTCCATGGTGGCCCGAAGACTAGAACGACTATAACGGGGAGTCTCAATAGTGGAATCCAAGGGCAGTTTACTACACCCACAGGGTGGTAACCATTCCCATAGCTGCTTGAAAACCAAATGCGCATCCAGTGGAAAAAGATAACATGGGTCAATTACCGGCAAACAAAACAGCAAGGTTAGACAGTGACAAAACTTGGCTAGGATGCTTAATTACCTCACATGCATGTTCTCGAGAAGAGAGATGCCTGATCAAACTTTCAGCGCCTAGACCATCAAGGTCATTGCACACAATGCAAACCCATTGACCCGTGTTACTGCATTCAAGTGGTGGCCCTGAATCTGAGGACAAACACACACCTGCCCTTAGAAAGTTGCTCCAGAGGGAATTAATGGAGGAGGGTTCTTGAGGAAAATCATATGAAAAGGGGTAAATAACGTTGAACCCCCATTCATCTAGAAGAGAAAGCGTATCAGTGTAGCTTGGCGGAGTGGATATGACCATTACATTAGCTGGAAGTTCAACATGATTAGTCACACCATACAAAACCATGTTCATGTCTCTGTAACCTGTTTCAGAAACACCTAAAGAATTGAGACCCTCTGATTCGATGATGGAAGGAAGGAGTTAAGGATGAGGAAAAAAACTAACTGTAGGCGCCGTGATGAAGAAAAATTCCGGTAGAAGAGACCTTTCGAAGAACGTCTTCAGGGACGTCTGTTAGTATGCCAACGGCAGTGATGATGAGAGGACCAGAGTAGCCTAAATTCCTCAAGAACCGTACAATACACGGACCCACCTGACCAGCGTCAAAGCCACAGGGAACTGGACACCTGTCGATGTCCCAATAGACGACGGTTGGAGCCTCAGCCGCCTGCGACGAAGGGGGAGGCTTCATCTTCTTAAAAATTATCAATATTGGGAAAGCAAATTGCTGTGAGAACGGAAATCAAACATCAGATAAGCATTCTTCGAAGAGATTGATTGACACCGAGAGAGAGCGAAAGCGAAACACGGCCGTAATCGTTTCGATCGCAAACACAACTTTTCAGATACTTGTGGGCACGTAGGGTTCTATGCAATAAGTCGATGAATTTTCATAGGAACATGAGTTAAGGATCGAGAATTTTACCTGAGAGATGAGCAGAGTCGGTTTCGAAATCCCTTATTGAAAGTGATAAATTACCAACGCCGCAAATATATAGGCTTCCCTTAATGGGCCTACATTTTGTATGAATCGGCCTTGTGCACCAATCCTAGTATCTATACTAATATTTTTTGCAACACTTTGGTGACGGATGGGTAAAAATGCTTCCGGATATATCGGATACCCGACCTATTTTTAAAATTCCTTCACAAAAAATTTGTTGGGTCGGGTTATATTTAACCCAACTCATACATCGGATATTTCATATTTAATAATTTAGATATTTAGAAGATTTGATTAAGATTTATAATTATGATTCTCCTATCATCTTTTTTTTATTTGTTTTTAACTGTTTTGAATCATCATATAATACATAAAGTAAAAAAAAATCATTTTTTTTTCTGCATATACTGTGATTCGAAATTTTAAAAACGGACATATATTATCCAATTGACGAAAATGTGTGTTCAACGTTCTACATCGATTAAAATATTTAGACAATGATTCAGAATCATATCATAAATAAGAACATTAATAAAATAAATGAGTTTTTTGGCCGGACGGGTTTGGCGGGACGGGTATTTAAAAAATTAAAATATCATTAATCCGCCGCTTCAATGCGGATTAAATCCTTTTTTTTAATACCACAAATATTAGAAATATTAAATCAGTCTCATTTAGAAAAGATTGTATAAAACCAAAAATTATCATCTGGTATAATATTACTTAATAACAATATTTATAAAATTTTAAAATATCATTAACATGCCACTTTAATACATATTAAATCTTTAGTTTATTAAAATATAAAGGTCTTAGAGAAATTATGGAACGGGTATATTTCGAAAAGGATTTATATGGCGGACGAATTTGAATCAATATTTATATACCGCTTTAATACGGGTTAAATCCTCAGTTTATTAATAATTGTCTCGTGGACTCGTGGTATATTGTTACTTAATAACAATTGTAAACTATGATATAAATAAATATATTATAAGGAGATACAATTTACAAAATATTTTTATACTAACTTTAAAATTAAATCATCCCGCAGTGTACCGCTGGTTAAAATCTAGTTTATATTATTAAAATTGAATGGAAGTTCCTAATCCTAACCATGTGTTTCCGACTTGCATGTTCACATCTGCTATTTCTACAGTCTACACAAGATCTTTGTGAGGACGTCCACGTTTACGAATTTTAGGATTCTGGCTAACTTGCCCCTCTAGAGATGCCCACTAATTTCCATGAACACATACTGTGACTCTCAATACTCTGACTTGAGATCATTCGATTCTATCCCAAGGTTTTGTAACAGTCCATTTCTTGTATAGATACTAATGAGTACTTCAACCACACTAACCCTTTTTGTAACAACACCAGTTAACGTAGAAGGGAATGATTAAAAACTAAAAAAGAGAGCCTGAAAGTGAAGAGAGTGTTTTGTGTAAATCATGCTTTGTCTTTTATCTGTTTCCTCATGCTTTGTCTTCTTCTTTCAGCTTTTTGTTGATCACATTCACAACAACGCTTTGTTAATTGTAATAAACAATCGAAGATTCGGAGCCATATGATTAATTACACAGACAAATGATCAGTTGTGTTTTTTCCAAGATAATTCCTTCCTATTCTTTAAAAATATAAATATATATATATATATTTATCCACATAAAAAGACAAAAGTGATGTGGATTATTCAATTATAATCTCGTTTAACCAGCTTGTTTTTATAATCTCATTTAAAAACATATTCTTCTCAGTGATTTTTCATATAATACTAGTATGACTTAACTTGGAAAATATGAGAATAAAATCCATCAGTTAAGAAAGAAGTTGATGCGTTTCACTAATATATACTATCATCAATATATCAGTCACTTATGATTCATCCGAAAAATCACTTATTTCCCATTGGCTATACTTTTCGACCTGAGAATTTGTATTTTATTTCTAGCCTGAGCCAACAAAGGGTACTACATACAATTGGTATCATAACTAGTTTAACCAAATTTTTGTTTGTCATAACCAGTAAACCCAAATACATGTACAACTAATAAAATCATAGACAACAAAAAGACTAGTGATCTATGATGTATACGAGTCAATATAAAGCAAAATTATGATTTATCTTTATAAGGATATATAGTGTTTCTCTTGTATTAAAAAATGTCAAAACATATTATTGTACTAGAAAAATAAGGTCGGATAAAGAACATATAGATTTGATTGGTATAGGCTTTTTGAGAGTGGGAAAGGATAGGCTAATGCTATCAGGCTAACAAAAACAGCATGCCTCTTTTATTCAATTTTTACCAATCCCACACATTTTTTGTTGAATTATTTTACATTAATTTAATTCATTGTGTGTTTAGGTCTTTGAGTTTTTCTATATTTTACAAGAACAAAAGCCACGGGCTATGAAAAGACAATCAAGGAGGGCTAACATATTGTCACTTCAATCAGAAAATAAACACAAACGAAATCTACAATTCTATCAAGATTCCTCTTGTTACCCAACTAGTTAGCAATTAGTACCATTTTCTGTCTCTTTTTTATTTGTCTAGGCCTTGCCACCAAATTTAATTTGCTATACTTGTACTTTTAAAAAAAGTTCTTGATTCGGACATCTCTCGTAGACTCGTACCATATAAACCAAACAAGCTAAGGATACCACAATTAAATCACCTCAAAGTGATTGAATTGATTCTAATTAATGGCTGTTAGTGTAACAACATCTTATAAGGCCGTTAAACATAATAATAGTAATAAATACATATAGGAGGATATAAACACGTATTTGTAGCACCATCATGTAAACTTTAAAATCCATAAAATATATCACCATCAATGAACCTTCCTTCATTAAGACGCTGTGTTTTCAATTATACCTAAACGCTAAATCCAATCATCTAAATCAGTAGATTTTATAATGTTATGATTATATATCACAATAATTATTTTTCTAGAATTTCGATGTGAATTAACATGTATCATGTACTATGATCTTATTTATTTAATTAAATATGCATGAGTCCAATAATGACGGCTCCAAAGGTCAATTCTTAGAACATAAGCGATAAATTAATCACCGTTGTGTAAAAAAGATGAAGTAACTATCACGAACAAAAATTGAGTGATTAATAATCGATTGGGCTTAGCGACCGAAACCCTTTAGCTTTAAAATAGCTCATAGGCCCATAATATATACAAAACCCAAAGGCCCAATATTTCGATCCACGTGCTTTACTTGGGCGAATTAATTCCAATTTCAGCCAGCAATTTCTAAATGTCTACGACTCTTCAGTCTTCTTCACTCACTCTTTGAAGCCTGCGTTAGTCTGGCTCCATTTTGGTGTGATCGAAGCAAAGAGTATCATCCATTTTGCTACAGATATAGTCCGTATGATCAATCCTCTCAATTTCGTTTAATCTCATGCTCAATTTCTTTGTTTTTTTGTGTTAGGGTTTTATTATGCTCTGAGTTCTAGTTCTCGCTACTCAAATTCCTGTACCTTAGATTCATAAGAACTTAGTGTCGTGTTGTGATCATTACATGCGTATGGTAGAAAAATGTGTGTTCTTATAATCAGATATGTGTGTTTTATGTTTCAGCAATGAGTGTGAGTGGATACAAATCGGATGACGAATACTCTGTAATCGCAGACAAGGGAGAGATTGGATTTATTGACTATCAGAATGATGGATCTGCTGGTTGCTACAATCCATTTGATGAAGGTCCAGTTGTTGTTTCGGTTCCTTTCCCTTTTAAGAACGAGAAGCCTCAATCGGTTACTGTTGGAGAGACTTCTTTTGATTCCTTCACTGTCAAGAACACTACGGATGAGCCTGTTGATCTCTGGACTAAAATCTATGCATCTAACCCCGAGGATTCGTTTACTCTCTCGATCTTGAAACCGCCGTCGAAACATTCTGATATTAAAGAGATACAGTGTTTTTATGAAACTTTTACTCTGGAAGACAGGATGCTTGAACCTGGTGACACTTTAACTATTTGGGTTTCTTGTAAGCCCAAGGACATCGGTTTACATACCACTGTTGTTACTGTTGACTGGGGAAGTGATAGAGTTGAGCGGGTTGTTTTCCTTTTGGCTGAGGATAAGATATCGAGTTCTCTGACTTCTAATAGGCCTTACTCAAGAAGTAAGAGGGCTCCGAAGAAAGATTTTGCTGTGGATGATTATGTCATGGGATCACGACCTTCAAAGGTGGTAGAACAACGTAGGTTTAAAAATAGGCTTCCTCGGTATGAAATTCCAAAGGAGATTAGAGAGATGATCGAGAATAAACAAGTCCCCGATGATTTGAACGAAGGTCTTACAGCAAGGAACTATGCAAACTACTATAAAACTTTATTGATTATGGAAGAAATACAACTCGAGGTATCCTAATTGTTTCAGATTTTTGTTTATAACAGGAACTTACTACTACCTCAATAAACCTCTTGTGTTTTTCCCATGAATGATGTTTCTTGTAATCTTTTCGTTGTTTAGGAAGACATGCGAGCTTATGATATGGAAAATGTTTCTATGAGGAGAAGGGGTATCTATTTGTCTCTCGAAGTTCCTGGCCTTGCTGAGAGAAGACCTTCCCTTGTCCATGGAGACTTCATCTTTGTAAGACATGCCTATGATGATGGAACTGACCATGCTTATCAGGTTTTGTTCTTGATTTACTTTTTCCTAATTTCAGATAACTTCACAACTGCATATATGTTTTACCATTTATCTTCTAGAGGATAGAATATTGAAATCAATTTCTCACAGGGCTTTGTACACCGCGTAGAGGCGGATGAAGTACATTTGAAGTTTGCCCCTGAGTTCCACCAACGCCACACAGCTGGGAGTGTCTATAATGTGAGGTTCACATACAATCGAATCAACACTAGAAGGTTGTATCAGGCTGTTGATGCGGCAGAAATGTTGGATCCAAACTTCCTTTTCCCATCCTTGCACTCTGGGAAAAGGATGATAAAGACAAAACCCTTCGTGCCCATTTCACCAGCTCTTAATGCAGAGCAGATTTGTTCCATTGAAATGGTTCTTGGCTGCAAAGGAGCACCACCATATGTAATCCATGGACCTCCTGGTACTGGGAAAACCATGACTTTGGTGGAGGCTATAGTTCAACTTTATACGACACAGAGAAATGCTCGGGTTCTTGTCTGTGCTCCCTCCAATAGTGCAGCTGATCATATTTTAGAGAAGCTCCTTTGTCTAGAAGGAGTTCGCATCAAGGACAATGAGATTTTCAGGCTGAATGCAGCTACTCGCGCATATGAAGAAATCAAGCCTGAGATTATCCGCTTTTGCTTCTTTGATGAGTTAATTTTCAAGTGCCCGCCTCTCAAAGCTTTGACTCGTTACAAACTCGTTGTGTCAACTTATATGAGTGCATCCCTTCTTAACGCAGAAGGTGTAAATCGTGGTCACTTCACTCATATTTTCTTAGATGAGGCTGGTCAAGCTTCAGAGCCTGAAAATATGATTGCTGTATCAAATCTCTGCCTTACAGAAACTGTGGTTGTGCTTGCTGGAGATCCAAGGCAGTTGGGTCCGGTTATATACTCAAGAGATGCTGAGTCACTAGGCTTGGGGAAATCATACTTGGAAAGATTGTTTGAGTGTGACTATTACTGCGAAGGGGATGAGAATTATGTAACGAAGCTAGTCAAGAACTACAGATGCCACCCAGAGATTCTTGATCTCCCGTCAAAGCTCTTCTATGATGGAGAACTGGTAGCTTCCAAAGAAGACACAGACTCTGTTCTTGCCTCGTTAAACTTTCTTCCGAACAAAGAATTTCCAATGGTTTTCTATGGGATCCAAGGATGCGATGAGAGGGAAGGTAACAATCCGTCCTGGTTCAACCGTATAGAGATCAGCAAAGTTATAGAGACAATCAAGAGATTAACAGCGAATGACTGTGTGCAAGAAGAGGATATCGGAGTTATAACTCCTTACAGGCAGCAAGTAATGAAGATCAAGGAGGTTCTGGACAGGTTAGATATGACTGAAGTCAAAGTTGGTAGTGTAGAGCAATTCCAAGGTCAAGAGAAACAGGTAATTATCATTTCAACTGTTAGATCTACTATCAAACACAATGAGTTCGATAGAGCCTATTGTCTGGGCTTCCTGAGTAATCCAAGGAGGTTTAATGTCGCCATAACCCGTGCAATCTCTCTGCTAGTGATCATCGGAAACCCACATATCATATGCAAGGTACCACTTACTTATTTATTGTGGACAAAGACATAATGCGTTGACATCATTCCAATTTCTCAACTAATAAAAACTATTATATGAAACAGGACATGAACTGGAACAAGCTTTTGTGGCGATGTGTGGATAACAATGCTTACCAAGGATGCGGTTTACCAGAGCGGGAGGAGTTTGTGGAGGAACCATTCAATCAAGAAGGAAGCAGCAATGGGCCTCAATACCCTCCAGAAGCTGAGTGGAACAACAGTGGAGAGCTCAACAATGGTGGTGCGAATGAGAAAGGACAATGGTCTGATGGGTGGAACAACAATACCGACACAAAGGAAAATAATGAATGGTCTGATGGATGGAACAACAATGGCGGTGGGACAAAGAAGAAGGATGAATGGTCTGATGGGTGGGACAACAGTGGCGGTACAAATGGGATCAATCAAGAAGGAAGCACCAACGCTCCTCAATACCCTCAAGAAGCCGAGTGGAACGATAGTGGCGAGGTCAAGAATGGTGGCACAAAGGAGAAAGGTGAATGTTCTGATGGGTGGAACAACAATGGCTCCACAATGGAGAAAGATGTCTGGTCTGATGGGGGAAACAACAATGGTGGAACACAGGGAAAAGAAGAATGTTCTGATGGTTGGAAAAACGGCGGCAGTGGTGAAGAGATCAAGAATGGTGGTAAATTTGAAACCGGAGGTGATTTTGTAGCCAAGGAAGAAGATGAGTGGTCTGATGGGTGGAAGTAAATTAAAAAAAAAAAAAACAGGGTAATAAGGGAAAAATGTTCGTGGATGGACCAAAGGTTGTTATTTTGAATTTGTTCATATATTCTTGTCTATCTCTGAACCTTTGGTTTTTTTTGCAGAGTCTCATTTTAAATGCATTATTGGTGTGTATAACATTATGGAAACTGTTTTATTAATATTTAATAGGGCTATCAAATACAGGTACATCAAATACAACAAAACTTTAAAACATTATTTTAACCAGAATCAGGTAAAATATGAAAGTGTAAAGATCGTACATCTTATATTCTATGGAATTGCTCTATAATTAATTAGATGAATTTGATAATCATTAAAACGAAAGCAAATAGAAGACGTGAAAGCTTGAGAGAGTGCGAAGAGGAAGACGAGGCTGAAGGAGGTGGTGGACCAAACCCCATTGTGTCTCCTCCGTTGCCCGATCCGCTGTAATCCTGGTCTATTGTCAATTATAAACTCGAAAATATTAGTAACAAATTATGTGAAAAATGCTTAGAACTAATATTCTTAAGTATCAAATTATTTGGTTTACCATTAGGATTTTGCGAAGTTGTCGGAGAAGTAGGTGGACCGAAAGAAGCAGACCCTGCGAGTTACGTGACGTCAACAAACTCGAAAATCTTTTAGAAACAAATTGTGAACAAAATGTTTAGGAGTTGGAACTAGAAGTTGCAGTAAAAAGTTTGCGAGTACCTTCAGGATCCGAAGTTTGTGAATCTGTAGGAGAAGTGGTCGGACCGAAAGACGCAGGACCTGTGAGTTATGAACTATATATATGAGCTTTTGTTGATTTAAATAAATAGTAACAAATTAAAGGTTGATTCTAAGGAGTCTATCAATAAAATTATCCAAAATATAAGTACCTGGGGCAGGAAGAGGTGCTGCAGAAGCTGCAAAGTTTCACAAATATTTTAATGAGATACGAAAGAAACAAAATTCAATTGAAAAACTAAAAAAAATGTCGATTAATTCGATACAATATAGATATCAAACATCAAAAAGAAACAAAGTAGGACCTAGAATTCTATTATATAAAAAAAAAGAATAACAATATAGAAGTTAGATACCTTTGCATTGAACGGGGACACCGGGCATGCCACATGCACGAGGAAGAGATATGGCTAGAGTTCGGTTTATAGGAATATTGATTGGAACACTTGCGGTTACTATCAGACACAAACAGTCCATACCGGTTCCGGTTAAGGATTTAAGAGCCCCACAACAATCAGAGGTCGGAGAACTACCACCTCCCGTTAGAAAACTCATGCACCCTGTAACGCTAGAGAGCATGGTTGGTGAACATGGAGTATTGATTTGAGCAAGAATCGATATTGGAGAATTTGATAGTAGGGAGAAGATTAAGGCTGCTGAGATTAAGAAAATATTGGAGTTCATTTTTGTGTTTAGACTTTAGGGGTTTAAGAGAATTTTGGTAAATTGATCAAATATTGTATTCTTTTGGGTTTTGTATAAATTAAATGGTTATGTTGTTTATGTCCGGTTGTGATGTGTACATGATATATAGTGGAGAGAAACGGGTATTAAGGTAATTTCTTGAAGTTGGTTTTGAATTTGACTTTTGATACTCAACTACCTTAACTAACTTTTACCAAAGAAAGCTAGTTTTTGAATTTGATTCTTTTTTGGATTTAATTTAATTGAGTTTGGCTAAGCAAAAACACTCGAAAATATAATATTATGGAACAAGATGTAGTTATGAAATTAATAGCATCTATCATTGTCAAGAAAATGGTGTCATATCTATGTGGAGAGTAATTTTGCCCAAAAAAAAAAACAAAATCTATGTAGCAAAAGAAAGAAATTAATAATGAAAAGTAGTATCTATTTTAGGAAGTACTTAAATTTTTGTATCAGATAAATTGTGGCGTGACGAAAAGAAAACGATTAAATCAAAACTTGATTAAAGTTAACGAGATAACGTGTTACCAGAATCTAGTTTCGTAATCCTTCGCCAAAGAAAGTAATATCGGAAGAACTCTAGTAATACTAATTCGGTGAACTTTTTTTTTTTTTTTTTTTTTTTTTTTTTTTTTTTGATCAAACTAATTCGGTGAACTAAACACAAATACTTGTAATGGGATCTAGATGACGCCACGTTCAAGTATTTATCTTGGTCGGTGTTTCCAACGAAACTTTAATTATTATTCAATACAATTCAATACAACGATTCATAAAGTTAGGCTACTTACTTAGGATGAGACCCCCAAAAAAAACCTAGGATGAAGCGAAGAGAAAAATCACTTGCGATTTGTTTTTATCAGGCAAACAAAATTCTATGTCAATTCAAAGTATAAATATTCTATACGTACAACGGTACAAGGTTAATTCAGCCGGTCATAGTATCCCAAAATTTAATAAAATCGAATTAGGATACATATGTAATAAATACCGTGGGACATTTTCCAATATAAATTTCGGAAAAACTATGCAGACTATCTAAATTACATTGCTTTGAGAGATTACCTTAACCAGAAATTTCATATAAATTACATTATTATTCACATAAAACTATTGTACTATTATCATCTGGAGTTGGAGTTTGTTAACATTCATTAGGTTGGCTTTTAACGAATGATTATTTCTTGTTATGGTATTAACTATTATTAAGTAGTAGCTAGCTAGATGCCTAGATCCATGGACATAAATTGATAATATTAGTCATTGTTACAAATATAGAAGGAACTTGTGATGTGTTTTTGAACAAGTCGCAAGGAATCATTAATAACGCGTTTGACGTTTCCTTAAAACAAATGTCGTTAGAGAAAACAATTTTATTGATTTGGATTACATTAAATGTGATGTGCGGGGTGGAGTTGTGAATGTATATGTATGTTTTTTTTTTTTTTTTTTTGAACAAAGATGAATGTTAACATGTAAAATTGGGTTAAATCACATACTCCCTCTGTTTTTTAAAAGTTGTCATTTTAACTGTATTTGGACAAATTAAGAAAAGGTATACAATGACTATATTAACTTCATAAAAATGACAAGTAATTATTTACAAATAATTTGTGTTCAATAAAATGAGGGTAATTTGGGTAGTTATTGGCATAAATTACATTATTACCTTAAAACGACAACTAATTTAAAACAAAAAAAAAGCTCTAAAACGACAACTATTCGAAAACGGAGGGAGTAAAATAAAAGTGAAACGCACCCAATTCGAAACAAAAAGGAAATAACTGGACCCAAACTGAAACGAGAAAGATATTAGGGACCTATAATGTAAATATATTATACTTAGGCTATTATGTTAATTTCCCTAAGTATGTTTAGGGTTTCATGTGTAAGATGTATATATACTCTCTTCTTAATGTCAATAGAAACAACTTTCTCTTTATTCTCTTATCCCTTTGGCATGGTAGCAGAGCTAGGGTTTTAAGAAGAAGATCAAACAAAGGGAGAAAGAGAAGAGATTATGGCTGACGGTGAGAACAGTGATGGGAAAGAGCTCGGGCCGGCGAAGACTGCGGAAGGCGGCGGCGGCAGTGGGCTCACGGTGGCGGAGAAAGCTAGGACTTCGCCACTGTATCTCCATCCTTCGGATGGACCGGGTAATGTGATCACTACTGTTCAATTGAAGGGAGAAAACTATGAAGATTGGGCTAAGCATGTGCGGAACGCCTTGCGAACGAAACGGAAATTGGGGTTTATTGATGGGACCTTGGAGAAACCTACCAAGGATGATGAGATTGAACAGTGGGAAGTGGTTAATTCTATGTTAATCGCTTGGATTATGAACACGATTGAGCCGACTCTCAGGACATCGATTTCTATGGTGGATGAAGCTCAAGCGTTGTGGGAAGATTTGAAGCTTCAATTTTCTGCGGGAAACGGGCCAAGAATCAGTGAGCTTCGGGCTGATATAGCAAACTGTAGACAAAACGGGGACACGGTAATGGTATACTATGGGAGACTTAAGAAGATGTGGGATGAATTGGCAATTTACAAGCCTATTCGATCATGTAGTTGTGGAGAACTGGCTGCTCAGTTGGAAGAAGATCGTAATGAAGAGAGAACCAATACTTTCTTGAATGGTTTAGATTCTGCGAAGTTTGGTACGGTGCGTTCTACTATCACAAGTATGGAACCACTACCCAAGCTCTCACAAGTCTATCAAAGGATCATTCGAGAAGAGAGACAACTCACGATTACTAAGAATCGTGATGCCACTCCGGAGGCTGTGGGGTTTGCGGTCCAGGCTACGCAACGGGGTCAAACTTCTAATTTTTATCGCGAGAAGGACGTGACGTGTACTCATTGTGGTAAGTATGGGCATGCAAAGGCTGATTGCTTTCAGATAATTGGCCTTCCTGAATGGTGGGGAGAACGAGGTCGTGACTACAATTCTCGCGGTAGAGGTGAACGTGGACGTGGAGGACGTGGTGGCCGGTTTGGACGTGGTCGTGGGTCCGGTGGTAGGGCTAACGCGGTCACGGGTGTTCAGGCAAATATTGTTGGGGGAATACAGGCTAATTCAACAAGGACACCGGCTGATTTGGATCGTCAATCTCTACCCCATATGAGTGATGATCAATGGAATGCTCTCCAAAGTCTCTTTGCTTCTCAAAAGCCCAATGCTAATGAGAAGTTGAATGGTAAGAAAGAATGTATTAATTTTATTCTTGATACAGGAGCATCACACCACATGACTGGTAATTTAGACTATTTGTCTAATGTGCTGAATACCAATCCATGTATGATCGGGCTACCGGATGGTGATCATGTGGTGTCCACACAACAGGGTGATATATGTCTCGGGGGTGATTTGTGGTTACAAGGAGTTTTGTATTCTAAGGATTTAACATGCTCTTTGATTTCGGTTGCAAAGTTGTTAAAAGTGGTTAAGGGCTCTATTACATTCACTGATGAGTTGTGTGTTATACAGGACCGTGCTATGAAGACGCTGATTGGGGTTGGTGAAGAGTGTGGGGACGTGTATGTGCTTCGAGGGGTGATTGGTGCGAAGATACACAAGACTGTGAGCTGTTCAGGATCATGGGATTTATGGCATCGGCGTCTTGGTCATCCATCTAGTCGTGTTGTTCCTTATTTATTGAGTCATTTAGATATTGAGAAACAAGTGAGTTCAACAACAGTTTGTGACATTTGTTTAAGAGCAAAACAAACCCGTGATTGCTTTCATGAGAGTTCTAATAAAGCTGCTGGAGTTTTTGATTTAATTCATTGTGATGTTTGGGGTGCTTATCGGGTTTTGTCTACTACGGGGGCTGCATATTTCTTGACAATAGTTGATGACTATTCAAGAGCTGTTTGGGTATATTTGTTGCGTGCGAAGAGTGAAGTTGTTGTGACTCTTAAGAATTTTTTCAAGATGGTAGAGCGTCAATTTGACAAAAAGGTGAAAGTTGTACGGAGTGACAATGGAGGTGAATTTATGGGTCTAAGATCATATTTTTTGGAGGAAGGAATTATACATCAGACTTCGTGTGTTTATACTCCTCAACAGAATGGTAGAGTAGAGAGGAAGCATAGACATATCTTAAATGTGGCTCGATCTTTGATGTTTCAAGCTACACTACCACGTAAGTTTTGGGGAGAATGTGTTCTTACTGCGTGTCACCTGATTAATCGTACTCCAACTGCAGTTCTTGATGGAAAGACACCTTATGAGATGTTGTATGGTGTGGCGCCTAATTTTACCACCTTGCGGGTCTTTGGTAGCTTATGTTTTGCTCGCAATGTCTTACGTGATAAGGATAAGTTTGGGGAACGGAGTCGACGTTGTATGTTTATGGGTTATCCATTTGGTCAGAAGGGATGGCGTCTATATGACTTAGAGAAGTCTGAATTCTTTGTATCTCGGGATGTGGTGTTTCAGGAAGACATATTCCCATTTCAGCAGGAGGAGCAGCGATCGATCGATCCACCTCAGGGATCGATCGATCCAGTCCATGACGACGACGAGCAGTTTTTCCCAGAGACAATCGGATCGATCGATCCGCCTCCTGGATCGATCGATCCCTCGCAAGACAGACGAGACGGTGACATTCCAGAGGCTCAGCGAACGATCGATCACTCACATGGATCGATCGATCCAGGGGAACGACCAAAGGGTCCAGAGAAGGACGGATCGATCGATCCGCCTCCGGGATCGATCGATCCCTTACCTGGTAAGTCGACTGGTGAACTTTTGGGGTCTGCGGATAATGAAAATACATTGCCTACTGCTTTAGACGAAAGGGGGAGTGCTGAGAAATCGGGTGAAGATAAGTTGAAAGGGACAGTAATTAAAGTTCGTCAAAGCGAAAGGGAAAAGAAACTTCCGAGTCATCTCAATGACTATGTTTTACACACTACACGGTGCTCATCCGATCAACCCACACTCTCACCCGCCTCCTCTCAATCAGTGTCCTCTGGTACAGGTACGGTTCTATATCCCATTGCAAATTATGTGAATTGTAACCGATTCTCTGATTCACAGAGAGCGTTTCTGGCTGCTATTACTGCTGTCTCGGTTCCTAAGTCATATTCAGAAGCAGTTAAGGATGAAAAATGGTGTAATGCAATGTCTGGAGAAGTGAATGCTTTAGAAGCAAATGATACTTGGGATATTACTGATCTACCACCAGGAAAGAAGGCTATTGGTAGTCATTGTATTTTTACAATCAAGTATAAGTCGAATGGTGAAATTGAGCGTTACAAAGCTAGATTGGTAGCTATGGGTAACAGACAAGTTGAAGGTTTGGATTTTGATGAGACATTTGCTCCGGTCGTGAAGATGACAACTATCAGAGAATTTCTTAAGATTGCAGCTGTCAAAGGATGGGCAGTACATCAGATGGATGTTCATAATGTGTTTCTTCATGGGGATCTTGAGGAAGAGGTTTATATGAGATTACCACCAGGATTCGTTTCTCAAGATAAATCGAAAGTTTGTAGGCTGAAGAAATCTCTTTATGGCTTGCGTCAAGCTCCACGATGTTGGTTCGCTAAGCTTGCAAACGCACTCAAAGGGTATGGATTTGAACAACAAGTAGCAGATTACTCTTTGTTTACCTTGGTGCGTGGACCTTTGCAGCTCTTTGTGTTGGTCTATGTTAATGATTTATTGATTGGGGGAAATGATCTTAAAAGTATTCAGGAGTTTAAGGGATATCTTAGTGAATGCTTTCATATGAAAGACTTGGGGGTTATGAAATATTTTCTGGGCATTGAAGTATCTCGGTCTTCTGATGGCTTTTACTTGTCACAAAGGAAGTATGCGTTGGACATTGTAACTGAATGTGGGTTGTTGGGATGTCAACCAGTGTCTACTCCACTTGAGCAAAATCATAAGTTGCCAGATGATGAAGGAGAGTTTTATGAGGATGTCGAGAAGTATAGAAGGCTTGTTGGGCGTTTGGTATATCTTACTTTTACTCGACCAGAATTGTCATATGTTGTGCATATGTTAGCTCAATTTATGCACCAACCTCGTGCCAAACATTGGGCTGCAGTCATACGGGTTGTGAGATATCTTAAAGGTTCTCCGGGTCAAGGTATTGTGTTGAGTGCTGATTCTGATTTACAATTGACAGCTTATTGTGATTCAGATTTTTCTACATGTTCCCTCTCTCGGAGATCGGTTACGGGCTTTATTGTTATGCTGGGTGATTCTCCGATTGCTTGGAAGACAAAGAAACAAGATGTGGTGTCATTTTCTTCCGCAGAGGCTGAATATCGTGCGATGAGTTTTACTGCTCGTGAGTTGAAATGGGATCGTGAGCTTTTGGGATGTTTTGGAGTGACTCATCCGCATGCGATGCGTTTGTTTTGTGACAATAAGGCAGCCTTACATATTGCTGCTAATCCAGTTTTTCATGAGCGGACAAAGCATATTGAGAGGGATTGTCACTTCATTCGGGATGAAATTCAGAATGGCTCACTGGTTACTGCACATCTTAACACTACAGAGCAACCAGCGGATATCTTTACTAAGGCTTTGGGTTCTCAACAATTTGTTTATCTACGGCGCAAGTTGGGCATGTATAATCTTCATGCTCCAACTTGAGGGGGAGTATTAGGGACCTATAATGTAAATATATTATACTTAGGCTATTATGTTAATTTCCCTAAGTATGTTTAGGGTTTCATGTGTAAGATGTATATATACTCTCTTCTTAATGTCAATAGAAACAACTTTCTCTTTATTCTCTTATCCCTTTGGCAAAAGACACGTGTTAATGAAGGGTATGTTAGTCATTTACAACATAAAACAAAACTGCCGAGATCAGAGGACCGTTGGGACTTGACATTTAAATTTCAAAACGAAAGGAAATAAAATTAAATATAAAAATAGAGATTGATGAAATCTATCTAGGGCCAAAAATCAGATGATAAACAAAGAAACCATGAAAGGAAAGATATTAGTTTCACCGTCGGAGAAATCGAGCACAACAACAACGACGACTACTACAACTACTGTATCTACGGAAGATTCGGAGAAAAGAGACAGTAATTGTTACTTCCCAGATTGTCGTAAAGATGCGAATTGCAGTTGCGAGATTTGTCTTGACAGTCTCAACGCAACGCTTGATCTCATGCCTCTCAGTGTACAAAAAAGCTCTCTCACTAAGCTTTCTTTTGCCTCCAATTTCAAATCCACCGTTGAATCTACTCCGACTTCGTTTGATCCGACGGTGGTCACCACACCCGCTTCTGTTTCTCGCCCAATCTTGAAGTTGATGATCTCTTCGCCGAAGAAGAAGCAAATTAAGAAATCAAAAGTTTCCGAGAATGAAGAACAGAGGAAAACGACGAAGAAAGAAAGAAGCCTACTGATTCTCGTTGTTCTGAAACTAGTTTTGGTGATTGGGTTGGTTCTGTGTTCGGAGTTAGGGTTTAGTTGGGTGTTTAAAGGGCTTTTGAAACCTGAATTTACAGAGGAGATAGTGAGGAACGTTGGTGAGAGAACTCAGGCTGATCTTTATCTGGGAGTGAAGCTGAGACTCTTGGAAGACGAATTAAAGGGTTTTGTTAACAATGACGAGTTTCCGAGTTGCGGAGGTTCTGATTCTAAATGGAAAATCATTCAGGTAGTTATTAGCTTGCATTTATGTTCTCAAAGTTTGTAATTTTCTTTGACTGATATGAAGATTACGTTTCTAGGATGGTCCAATGTTGAACTCAAAGTGTGTTCTGTATAAATCCGCCATTGAAGAGGTGAGTATATGGGGATGGCCTTTGCAGACATCTGGATTGTTCCATACCGGTTTCTCATCAAGTTCGATCACCGTGTTATCAGGCCGAGTAACTGAGGTAACCAATCTAATTTCACTGCCTTACCTGTTTGAATATAGTAGACTCAAATGTCAAGGATTTGCTTGTTTAGTATCTGTTGGTGTAAGTCTATAGCTTGACATAGGAATTGTATGGCAAAAGATTGGCTTCTCCAGATAACTTTGAGTACGAGTACATTTCATTGTCCTTGCTTTGGTTTTGACAAAGTTGTGTTTATATGATTCTTATGTTTGATTGTTCTCATTGTAGTGGACAGAGGGGAAATTCGGTTACACGATGCGCGAGACCAATACTTCATGGAGGAAAACCAAATGGAGCACATCGGTTTTGCAACTAGATCCAAACACATGGGTTCTTGAGTACAGCAAAAGCTCGGTGATAGATGATAGTTCGAGTTTGTTGTCACTAACAATGGATCTCATCAAACACATGGTGTTCCGAGCAGCAAAGAATGTAAATCGGGAGGTTTTCTGGATGTTTTCAGCCTCAGGGAGTTTGTATAGTGAAGCAGAATCAAAGGCTAGCACAATGACACCAACTTAGAAACTTATGAGGAAAAAAAAGTTTCCCCTTTTTGGTTCCTTTGTATTAAGCTTTAGGTATAGTCATGAACAAGTACTTGTTATTGTTACTGTCTAGTTGTACTCAATGACTCAGATGTAGTAGTTGTTTCCTTGTCCTTTTTCGGTTCACTGTGAGAAACCCAATCAGTAAAACGTAAAAACGCTTTCGTTTGGTTAAACCAACGACTTCTTGTAAACCAAAAGATAGGTGTTGTTCTATCGGTAAATATGGTTTACGTTTTTGGTTAACGATTTATTGTTGTTTTTTTTTTCTTACATACAAATTTTAGTTTGAATTTGGTTTAATTCGGTTAATATTTCTCCACTTTGGTTTTTGGCCCTCAGTTAATATGGAAAAAGTTCCGGTATAATTTAACCAAATTATTAAACCGGACATGATGAGATTCGAACCGGTTCTTCTTGATGAGAGATTAGAAGTAATCACACACTTACTTGTTCTTCGATTCGTTTCTGGGAACTAGCTCTGAAAGAACAACGATGGCTATGGCCGCTTTGAATCAGCTTTTCTACGTCCTCGCGACAAAACCCGAGCAGGTAGATTACTCTCTTATCTTTTCAATTAAACCCTAGACAAATCCCAAAAAAAAATCAACTCTTTTTCTCAATCAAGTTTTACCCAATCTATAAGCGACCGATACAGGTTTCAAATTTCAGCAAGATTGTTTCTTTGTTCGATTAGTTTTCCTCTGAATCGATTTTGTTCGAATAAGCTGAGAATGTGTGTAAATTGTATGAATTGAATTGCTTAAATTTGGGATTTTTTTGCTCTGTTGTAGGAGAAGATAACGCCTGAAGAGTCTAGTGCTATTATCTCTTGCCATTACAAAGTTTTGTGGACTGCTAGTTTTGCGTCTGGTGTAGGGGGAGGTTTAACTTGGCAAGGTTCGTAATTCCTCCATCGACTCTTCTTCATTCATTGGCTCATCAATTTTTTTTGTTGGAGTTTGAGATCTGAATCAGCTCTATGAGGAAAAATTTAGTTTGTTTTCCTCTGTGTAACCCAAATTTGTAATAGATAGCTAGCTTTCTTATGATTCCTCTTCTGTGGTGTATAGTTACAAAGAAGTTGAAAAAGCCGAAAGGACTTGAGAGGATTGCTCTTGCTACTGGTAACTATTGCAGATCTTTGTAAATGATCATGGTTTCTCACATTCCTGTTTCGATTTTCTTAAAAATGTTTTTTTAACTTGACGCAGGAGTGGCTGCTGCGACTTTTGTTGTTGCTTGGAAACGGGCAAGTTCCAAAAATGCAGTTTCATGCCTTGATCATATCCTTAGTCAAGATGCAACACGAATGCAGAAAGAGCTTGTCAATGTGTAAGCATCTGTGAGAGCGAGCTCACTCTTCTTGAGACTTACTGTGTTATTGATTTGCGCCTGATAGATGCTTGTATTATGCAATATATCTGTCTTAGCTCGATTTTTATTCTTCTTCATTCCAAACTACAGCTTAGTCAGGTCCAATAGAGGTGAAGATTGGAGGTGGCAACTTATGTCCAAGCATTTTTACCCCGAATCTGTTTACGGTGATGAAGGAGACAAACCTCAAATGCGTTGGCGTAGACGAACCACTTTCACCGAAATTGCCTCTTCTTATGATGATGTCATTGCAACCAAATCTCAGAGAAACCCCAGTGGCTTACCAAACCCTTCTCATCGAAGCATTTCCAATGGATCTGATGCTTCAAAGACTAAACCGATGCTCCAAAATAGCTCTGTGAGTACTATCTAGTCTTAGTTGTTAATTCTGACGCCTATGCAAATGCTTAGGCATCAGTTTGGACAAGAACCGTTTTCCAATATTTTATTTGAAATCTTGTTTTCAGGGAAACTCAGATGGCGAAATGCCGGAAGAAGATGTTCTTGACATTGTATTTGGTGGTTCAGAACCAACAGAGAGCATTCCTGCGCCAGTTATTTCAAAGGTTGCTAGCAAAACGCAAACTCGCAAACAGAAAAGAGCTCAACGGAGACAGAGGCTTAAAAACCGTGAAGCTTCCACAAATACTCCTCAGTATGAACTTGCATAGAGAAAACAAAACAATTATGCTTCTTCTGCTTTATGTTTATCACCATGTATTTGTCTCTTTATCGATGGTTCCAAGTTTTAATCCCAATTTGTCATTTTGAATCCCATTTTATGAAGGATGATTATGTAAGAATATTGTTATTGAAGATGATAAGATCTTTTCATTGTACCTTATATGCATTGTAACTCGTAAAATGAATATGAATAATGGGCAGGCAAAACTCAGATTTACGAGGAAGAATCAAAAACTTAGCAAACAAACGTCGTAACGAATGTTTTTATCAAAGCTTTTCCGGGTGTGGAAGATAGCGAACTACACGGAATCAAGTTTAAGTTTTTAGATTTTGGGTTCCATGAATTTCGCTATCTTCGACACATGGGCCGACCAACTGTTAAATCCCTAACTACAAGTCTAACTTTTTTTATCAAACCCATTTTAGGGTTGGGCCGGCCCACTGTGAAAACTCAATTTATTGTTTTTATCAAAGCTTTTTCAGGTGTTTTGAAGATATCGAAAATTAGGGGTGTCAAATAATCCAATCCGATCCGAACCAAATCCACATGAGTTCAAAATTTTGGTGGATGGGTTTGACTCGATCCATTTATTTATATGGCTTGAATTTACATACCCAAACCCAAAACCGTAAAATTAGTTGGCTCAGTGAATTATATAGGTACATATATATAAATAAAATAGAATAAATAAAAAATAAAAATCTAAATATAACATATAATTGTAATACCAACAGAAGTTTTCAAGTAATAAATTAAAAATATCTAGATTTCGGAGGAGATTACGAATCATTCTCACCACATATTTCACATCAAATCCTCGTCCAAGACTTGCATTCTCATAGTCCCACTTGGTCAGATTTCTCTTGAAGATTTGTTAGTGAATTATAGGGGTATTAAGTCTGGTGGACTTGAAAGGAACCAGTAAGAGTTTTGTTCTTCTGGTTCAGGAAGAAGCTTCTTCTCATGTGTAAGGCTTATGGCACTTCTTGTGCTGTTAGGATCAATCTGAATGTTAGAGAAGGAAGACATGGCATTGTCTTGTTCAACCTTTTTAAACTTCAACCTTTTTCATTTATCTTGGGGACCGTTAAATCTTGTTTTTGAGTCAGTGTACTTTGCAGTTTGCACAAACATCGAACTCATCTTTGAGTCATGAGATGGCCACTTTAGGTTAGTCCAAACATTGCCTCCTCGTGAGTTCTTGCTGTATATATTTGCAAGGACAATAATTTGCGTATTCTTTGGCAATCTTAGGTTCTATTATCTTGAGTGCTTAAAAGAAATGAAAAAAAATTACTTACTGAAAATAAAGGTTTGCTTTCACCGCAGATTTTTGCCATTACATTCAGAAAAAGTGAAAATATAAAGATAGACAGCTATTTGGATTCTCTTATATATTGAAGTAAACTCATTAATACTATATTATCATAAAATCGTATATATAGAGATCATGTGGAAATTGACCCCCCTTTACTTTTTAATTCTTAGCAAAAAGTAAACCTTAATATATATATTATTTTTTACTTTTTAGTTTTAGCAATGAATCCATGTGTATTGAACCATTTTGACACCCTTATGAAAAATCCTCTAAATTAAGTGACGAAGATCGTAACAAAATGAAGAATGTGAGTTTTTTTTCTTTTTAAAAGAATCATAATCACTATCTTCTTAAAAAATTCATAAATTTCTTTCAATTGGTTTTGTAGAATTTAAGATTGAGGAACAATTATCGACGAATTAGAGCGCTTTGAAACGATTATCGACGAATCAGAACATTTTTTGTACTACTTTCAAACTATAAAAAATACCTTTTAGATAATTTAAAACATAAACCATCCATCTCGACAATATCGTATAACTAACTAATCAAGAACCAAGAATTAAGAAAATAAAGTTAATTACGTTTTTTTAGATCTTTAACAATCAGACGAGGATCTGTGAGTGATTCAGCATAGGGGGCTTGATAGGTATTAGGATTGATTTTATTCTGAGCGAGAGAATCTGAAACAACCATTACAACCGATATCCTTCCGAAGTATCCGTGACTTCGGAGGAGATTACGAATCATTCTCACCACATATTTCACATCAAATCCTCGTCCAAGACTTGCATTCTCAAGAAAAAAACAGCAATGGGAATTTTTAGGTTTTCTTCAAATAAAAATAAAATTGAACTTAGATATCAAGAATAGTAAACTTACCCTTCTTCTTACTCTTGTTTTCTTCATCTGGCGGATTATGCGGGGATTAGGTTTTGGTTTGTTTTTTTTTTTGAACACCGGTTTTATTAGATATCTTATTTTTGAACACCGCGATGTTTTTATCAACTGGTGATAATGTGGCACAGTCAAAGATATTAAACACTAAAATTTGAATGTTAGGTTGTAAATCTTCTTCTGCGTTTTATCATTATGTTTTGTATCTCTTTTTAAGGTCATTTAGCTAATTGATGGCTCCTCCAAGGTTTTAATCCCAAATTGTCATTTTGAATCCCGTTTTATGAAGGATGATTACGTATAAATATTATAAATTGGAAATAATAAGACCTTTTCATTGTACATTCTGTGCATTTGTTACTCGTAAATTGATTAATGAATAAATAAATGATCATCCAAAACTCAGATTTACGAGGAAGAATCAAAAACTTAGCAAACAAACGTCATAACGAATGTACAATTATGATTATAGATGTGCTTAGTCCTCGATGCTTAGATGAAAGTACTCTTCAAGAACTCCTCTAGGTGTCCTACCAAATCCCTTGGCTACTTCTTCCATTTCTTTAAGCTTTGTGACTTCTTTTCTAATCTGATCCAATCTCTTCAACACATTCGTCATCAAGCTATTCACATCTGTACCTGATACTCGCCTCGACAGCTCTGACTTCTCCTTCTCGAGTTGCCTATACAGATCACTCAGACATTCTTTCTGAGCATGAAGTTTGCCTTCTGCAATTTGGTACTCAAATTCCTGAGCCTTTCTCAGCGCTCTTAGAACCTCGCCGATTTCTTCCTCGAGTTTGTGCATCTCAGCCTCATGGTTGAATGGTATGGGCCCAATTGGAGTCACGTCCTGTAAACTTTGCAATGTATCATTGTCTCTAGCTTCTCCACTGTCGGAGTAATCTACAACCAGAAAGAAGATAATATGTTATCGTGAACATTAAATCAACTTCAATACATATTCACACAGCAAAGGATCGTGATATATACCTGACCATATAGTTGGTGTATCATCATTCCAGAGATCTTCCAAGCTCGTGCCGCATTTAAGCTGAAAAGATTAGGCTTTAGTTTCAGGAACGTCCAGTAAATATTACAAAAGTATATTATACCTTGATGACTGTTGATTCGATACAATTTAATAGCTCCTTAGCATTGTCTCTTTGTGAGCCTTGCAGGATACAAATACCGAGATTCAGGATCTTCTCCACGTCGCCTTGATATTCTACAGTCTGACATATTTCTAGAAACTTGTTGACATGTGGAACCAAGTCTTTTTTGGCGTCACATCGCCTGCAGTAGTACTCAGCATCCAACCCGATGCTGCCTCCAATGGTTCCAGCCATGTAAGCTCGAAGAGCACAGTTCACATGAGCAACATGTCCACATATATGACCCTCGGAAACCACAGCTTCACATTTGATATAGCTATAACCTTCATGCTCCAAACTTATTAACTTGCAGCAAAGGATGCAACAGCAATCAGAGCAGAAATTAGGTTCACCGCAGCAAATGTCACAAGGCATAGTAGGTAAAGTCTCGGCTTCACACTGTGGCATCAGGCTCCCACATTTGTCATTACCAGCCTTACAAACCGCAGTATCAGATCCATTATCATGCATTGGATCCTCATCTGAGCTATACACTGGCAACAGAACCAGCTTCTGAGGCATCTCACCTATCAAACAAAGAACAAATCACCATGCCAAGAAATCAGCAACTTGTTGAGAATGATGAAACGTAATTCATATCGTTAAGAACTAACAGAAACATGCAATGAGGGAAGCAAAATGAAAAACATAGTAAGTCAAGTCAACTGGAATTGTATATACTTAAGAGTATAGCATATAAGATAGGTCTAGAGTTTATTGAACCTGACCATCTCTACAGGGTATGCTCCAGCTGAAAGAAGCAAAGAACTTTTGAACATCCGCTTCAGGGAAGGTAACACGAATGTATCGTTCGAGTGAGAGCCTGCTCCTAAATACTTTATTTTTCCGCCATATTTCAGTATCTAAACCCGGAAGATGCTTAGGAGGATATAAGTATCTATCCACAAAGTAGCCTTTACCGCTAACTCTCGGTCCAGCCTTCCAATGCCAAGTATCTCCGGGATTAGGCCAATTCTCAGGAGCATATGGTAAACCTTCACCAGATTCCATTGGCCTTACTGGTCTCAGCAGAAGGTGAGGCGATTCACCTCTGTTACTTTGATCAATATCCATAGAGTCCATGATTTAAGACCTGTACTTAATCACAAAACCAATGGAAGCTTGAATAAGAACAACATGAAACATTTAAGGAACATTAACCACATATGCTAGATACTGCCACGAATTAAACCATTGATATAGCTCAGTTCCCATACACACAAGAGAAAAGGCTCATCTACAGATTTTTGCTATTGAAGACAATGTTTTCATGTTTCAGAACAAAATTTGGTTTTTCAAGAACTGTCTACACTGTGATCCAAAACAAATTTTCAATTTCTTAACCAAAACAAAAACAAGATTTTCAAGAAAAGACCCAAATCCAAACGCATGCATAATATTTGTTTTAAAAGAAAACGGGTTTCGATTTCTCGGTGAATCAGAAACAGCAAATCAGCGAAAACGGAATCCGTTAAAACCGAAGAGGGAATGATGAAAAGGAAGAAGAGAACGTACAATCTCCAGAGACTTCGAGACTGATTAATTGCAGAAGATCTCAACGATGGTTCATTCTTTCTTGCCCATGAAACCTCGAGCTTTATACGACAATGGTTGAAGCTAAGGCCGAAGTAGCGGCCTTGGGAAGAACAAGAACTCGAACCTCCGAGAAACCAAAGTATTATTGTTAATTAATAGGGTTTGAGCGAAGAACAAGAACTAACAGATCAATGCATCAAAAAAATTCACTTTTCAATCCTTGGGCCTTATTGGGCCTAAATTTAAAAGGCTTGGGTCGGCCCGGTCCGGGTCGGATCAGAGTACAGTAACAAACAATTGGACCCTAACCAGCTTGGTTCACAGGGATTGGTGGTGGGTCCATGACAAAATTGTAACATTGCAATCAGGCAGTGTATTTTAGAGAGTTTGAAGACGATATTGAATGTGACAGTGTCTTATGACAAGATATCTACAATGGAGTTTTATGCGAGTCTGATGTTCACACTCGACAACTTTCACAAGTTCAAGAATCATGTGATTTTGTATCTTGATGTCAATGTTTCCCATTAATGGAGTTTTTGTCGACAAGTTTTGACATGTCCCTACAATAGCAACAACACTGTGTGACAGAGATTGAAATAGAGATAGATATACCCTAAGAAAACAATCACCCATTCGCATTTTTATAAGATTCCTCTTGTGATAAATCCAATAAAACTATATGATGAATTCAAAATAATACAAAAATAGAAATTGATCTCAATGTACCTTCCAAAGAAAATGACAACTTGTGGGGCTAAAAGTTGCTGTATAATCATATCTGACATTTTGATACCATTTTTTATTTATACACCAAACAATGATTAGGGCATAAAGGCCTTTCGTATTACAAGCATTTATGACTTACCATATTATTATCGATCTAGTATATATAGTAATATAGATCGATATGTGTACGTATAAATTGGGTGATGTTGGAGGACATGTCACTCAGTCACCACTTTTGGCCGGTTCTCGTCGACAGAGATTGATCAAATCTAAGTATTATTGTTGATGATATATAGAAAGTTGCCATTCATAGATTTCTCAAACGAATATTTATTAATATAGGATTCTCATTTTTTTTTTTCTTCGCTCTGAAGTTATAACCTAGTGGCTTGTAGTAGACTACTAGTACCAGTACCACCGCCGTGTTATAACTTTTTTTTTTATATAAAACATTGGTTAGATTTGTAAATCTAAAATACTTTTAATGCAAAAGATTATATTCGGACTACTCGATCATACATTTTGGTCTAGCTTAATCGGGACATTATCTTTCGGTTAATTTGTTGCTAAGAAAAACAACGGTCCAAAAGATAAAATGAAAAAGGGAAGAGAACAAATATTAGTTAAGATGAGAAATGAGAAGTAATTAAGTGAGTCAGTAGTGTACTTTTTTTTTTTTTTTTTTTTATAACCCAGTGTCCAGACCACACTGTGATCCGACTAGCCCACTGGGCCTAAGTCCGCGTGCTTGAGATTTTTAAGCTTCCACTTAAGGGCCCCCTGGAACTGGTGGTCTGGGACGCTGCGCCCCGCATGTAAATTGCGCAGTGGCCGGGACTCGAAGCCGGGTAGCGGGTGCCTCAGCCGAGGTTCCTTTACCACCAAGAGACAAGCACCCGGTCAGTAGTGTACTTTGCACAAACATCGATCTTTCGTCTTTGAGTCATGAGATTGCCAGTTTAGGTTAGTCCAAACATTGCCTCCTAGTGAGTTCTTGCTGTTTATATTTGCAAGGACAATAATTCGCCTTCTTTGACAATAATTTTGAAATAGGGTTTATATATTATGTCTTGAGATCTTAAATGAAATGAAGAAAACTAATTACTAAAAAAAATAAAGGTTTTGCTCTCACCGCAAGATTTTTGCACATTACATTAAGAAAAAAAAAAGTGAAACTATAAAGATACACAGTACACTATTTTGGATTCTATATTTGAAGTTTACTCATATAATTTATATGTAGATAATGGAGAAAACATATAAATATCTTCCTGTCCGTATATAAACTTATTTCCCTTCTATCAAATCTAAGCAAAAAAACAAATACTTTACGCGTAGGCGCTTTTTCATGTTTAAAGTTTTGACTTACTATCGAGATTCGCTTTTTGAGTTATTTCACTTATAGTATAGACAAAAAAAGCATAAAATACCTTTAAAAAAAAAAAATTGCTATTTCATATGTTAAGTTCTTATTTTATTTTATTAAGATTGAATATCAATAATAAAATAGAAATTTTTGTTGTCAACCATAACATTATATGAATTTTATAATCTATTATGTTAAAATTTTAGTTTTAAGCATGTTATCCATTTTCTCATAGGACACAAATCCATTAAAAAAAGGTTTATGAATTACTGAAAATTGGTAACTTAAAATTTAAAATCCCTCAAACGAACAAACAAAAAATGTGAAGTTAAGATTAATTACTGTTAATATATAATATTATACTTTCATAAATTTGTATCTTATCCAAGCAAAATAAGTTAAATAACTAAGAATAATAAAGAGTAAATAAAATTTGGTCTTAAATATTATGACTCACAGCAAAACACGATTCATGGTGTAAATATAATACATTATATAAATACATGGTGGTACATAGTATAAAGCATATGTACATATAAATACATGCATGATACAATAATAGTATCAAACAAAATAAGACACCTAGCTAATCCACATGCTCAATACATATTCTCACTCTCTTTCTCTCTAAAACAAAAACAATGCCAAGAGTCATGTGGAAAAACTTCCATCTTTGCTTCCCATCAAATCTCACCAAGCCCTCTTCATCTCCGTCCGATGCCACCTCCGACGATCCCAACCGTCCATCCATTCTTCTCATCAACAACTTCAACCTCCTCTACGACGACTCCTCTGCCGCCCACCGCCGCCGCCTATCCAAGCCTCTCATCGACGACGTTGAACCCTCTTCCACCTTCACCGCCTCCACCTTCACCGCAGCTAACTCTTCTTCCTCTTCTGCCTCCTACGATGACTCCGATAATTGCGGTTTTGCCCCTGACGACGACTCTTCCCCTCCTGACTTAACCGCCGTTTTAGCCTCCCGTCGCTTCTTCTTCTCTTCTCCTGGTCGCTCCAACTCAATCACTGACTCGCCGGATCTCCGCTGCCAGGATAATTACGATACTGCCACTACTACAACTAGGCTTCTCACCGGAGGAACAGCCGTGAAACAACACGTGCAATCTCCTGATCCTTACAACGACTTCCGACGATCAATGCAGGAGATGCTCGACGCCGTTACAAACGCCGGAGATCTTCGCCGTTACGAGTTCTTGCACGAGCTGTTACTCAGTTACCTCTCTTTAAATGCCGCCGATACACACAAGTTCATTATCAGAGCTTTCGCCGACATTCTCGTCTCTCTCTTATCGGACGGTCATCGGATCAGCTGACGTCGCATATATTTATGCTGTCGTATAAACTTCATGTTATGTAAAAAATAACTTATGTTATTTACTTTTGTCTTTTGTAACGAGTCAAGACAAAAAAATTTTTAAGTTAATGTAGTTATTGTGTAATGATACGAGAAAATCGAGAGAGGCGTGGGTTTTTGTCTCAATCGCATGCAGTTAGATTTAATTGCTTTTAATCTTTTTTTGTTTTTTACCCTTTTAATTAAATGTAAACCGGAGGAAGATAAATGTTGAAACTTAATTCTTTGATTGAGAAAATTATAGCTTAATTTTTTTTTTTGTAGAAAATAATTTTTCTTTTATACTTTCGGAAATTGAATCTCTTTACAATTAATTGATACGGAAACTCAATCGCATTATACAAAACTTCAAAGTGATTAAATTTATTTTGATTTAAATCATTAATTCATCTTGCGGAATGGAACAAAAATTACGAGTTGAATAATTTTGTAATGGGTAAAAGCGGAACTGTGATAACGTATTCCACTGTTCTACAATTTTGCTGATTTCATTTAATTGCCTAATTGGTATGATGTATGATTGTATTGAAAGTTTGTCTTTTGGAGAAACTACCAAGAAAGCAATGAAAGCTAAGTCGACTGACAACAATTGGTACTATTTCTTCTTCTTCTTTCGTAACGTGTCAAATTATGTTTGAGATATATATTGAAGATTGACTTTCTTCTGCTTTTCTTGCTGTTCTCACGTTACATCCAAATCAAACCAAATTATATAATCTAAAAATTGTATATATGCATGATAAAATTTACATCGATAATTATAGTTTGATTCTGATATTTTAGTCCGGATTTCATGATTTTTTTGGTACGTTCGGGTTTATGTTCTATGGCCAAGACTCATATACATATAGCGTATATATGTTCGCTTGAAGCGCATAAAATATTGCCAAGTTAGGGAAGGGTGCATGATAGACTAAATATATTAACAATAGGTATTCAAATTTAGCTAATATTGAGATCTGTTGTAGACTTGTAGGTGATTCTTTCCATGAGATTTTTCACATAACACAAGGTGAGACAAAAACAAAATAGGAGAATCCTAAGAGACGGATGTTGGCTGAAGCCTCAACCAATATTATAGCAAAGCTATTTTTCATTATGAGAATTCAATTGATCAAACCAAATTATTAGAGAAGTAAACAAGTCTATATATAGAATATTCAGAACGATACTCATGGAGCTCTCAATAATGTGTTCCAGGAAATGAAAGAGGCAAAATGCGGAGAGGCGGAAATCAGCAGTTCGAGAAGTCTTAAAGGGTTGCGAAGGAAACACAAAGGCATGATTTATGTCGATCACTCTTGCGAGAAATTAGACAAGGGCAGAGTTTGGATGCGGGAGTTCATAGAAGGCATTAGTGTAATTTAGGAACACTAAGACCATGAATGTTTGCAAATATTTAAAAAGTTTAGATTTTGGATTTTAGTATATGGTTTTCAGATTATGTATTAATTTATTTTAGAAAAAAAATTCAAGCCACGTTAAAAAGTGAAAAACCAATGAAACAAAGATTTTAGATTGTCTTTGAAATTTGACAAAAACTAATCTAGATTCCACATTTTTACGGTATTAGCTATAAAGTAAATTTTTGGAAAAACTAAAACCAAAAACAACTTCAAAATCTGCATTCATTCAAGGTCAATTTATTAGGCTTTGAATAGATGAATGTTTTGCATTTCTAATTGGGTTTTTAGCTCTTCAGTAGATAAAACACATACTACATACCATTAGTAACATAAATCGGTAGTTTGATTCATAAAAAACTGTAGGCCCATTAAAGCGAAGCCCATTCTCAACCCTATATATATATATATATATTGCGGCGTTTGTATTTAATATCTTTCGTTCAGTGATTTCGAAACCCTCTAGTCGATATCGAGATCGATCCTCGCAGGTAAACCCTTATGCTCTATCTCTCGGTGCTTTAACCGTGTCAATCTATTTTTCGGAATGCATATCTGAGGTTTGATTCCCGTTCTAGATTGAAGGTTTAAAGTCTTTGATTCTTGAATGATCTCTCTTAAGCAAACTTTCAAAAGTTAGTATCATCTCATCCTCCTCCTTGTAATTCCTTGCTAGAGTCTAAATGCCATGCTGAAACAGGCCCCACCAACATGATTGGTCTTTTCCTTGACTCCTTTCTTCGTAAGAGTCCACCTCCATCTAATATGATGGTCATATCCCGCCAACCAGCCTACATTCCTGCAGAATTCTCTCATTTTCTTAACAAGCTAAGAGAGAAGGGATACTACATTATTTTCCCGTTTCCTCTCGAAGAAATGGCCTCCACTCATGCCACCCCTCTTGCAAAGAGCCTTTGGAAATAATTCCTTGTGGAAGGTGTGTGTTTCTCCTCATCGCTCACAGTCTTTTGTTGAATGAATGCTGTTACTGAACCAGCAACGATTTCTTTTTTTTTTTTCCAAAGATCCAGTGGCACTTGAGGAGGATAAGTCCACTGAAACAGGTGAACCACCCTCTTGGTTTTGCAATGTGTGTCATCATTTTGTTGCCCCAGGTCTTGCTGCTGGCCGAGGGGTTGATAATTTCATCAGGCATCTCTCTACTCGAGATCATGCACGGCTGGTAATTAAGCATCCTAGCCAATTTTTGTCATTGTCCAACTATTTTTGACTCAAACAAGCTCTTAGCTCTCACCCCAACTAGTTGTTTCCCTTTCTCACTACTTGTAGTTTTGTTTGCCTAAATTTGACCCTATGTTATCCTTTTCCACTGGATATGCATTTGGTTTTCAAGCAGGTTCATCTCCGGATTACTCCCAAGTCTGTATGCGAGCAGGCGGTTGAAGTCAGAGTTGAGGCTCCCCTTGATTCTTATCCCGAGAATGCTACTACCATTGTGAGTGAAGAAGCAACCAGAGGCCTGTAACTTTGAGATTTCTAATCATAGGGTTTTCTTGTAACTCATTTATAGGCTCCACTAGAATATACCGATACGGTTATCCTTTGTAATAGTAAATGATTCACTGTCTCAATCTCCACAAGAATTTTCTTACTTTCTAATGATTTTGCGAACAGATAACAGATCTAAACTCAAATAAACAATGTTCTATGTATGGTCTGTCTATAGAACAAGCATTTTTAACAATGTTTTAGTTTGTTTTGCTAAGAGTCGTGATTCGAGTTGGCTGCAAAAAAGTTTAGTGGAATAAGCATACGAGGAGAAGGAACCTCTTATATATCTCTCATAGTTGTTCCTACATCACGATCTTGATTCTTGAGGAAGCTAGTTGAGACAGAAGAGTGTCCTCATGTGAGTGCTTGGTCAGTGTTTTTGGCGCATGTCTCTTTGGGGTTCTGCTGAGTTAGTTGTGGAGATTGGTTACTTGTTTCATTATAACAGAGCTGATCCAAGGAAGAAGAGCAACGTACCTTTGCTTGCGATGAAGCCTAATAACTCAGGCGTTGAACATAGCTTTGGCGGGTTGTCTGGGACAAGACGAAAAGCTGAACAGCTTCTGGATATAGTACCGAAGATCGGTGTGAAAAGGTGATGCTAACTTGTTAGTAATAGAGCTCTGTATGTGTTATTGATGGCTAGGTTGCATTTACAAATTTTGAATCCAATACAAGTTAAAAAAATCAATTTGAAAATCTGATTAATTGGATAATGTAGTTATTTATATTCATCAAGTTAGTAGCTCCATTGTTGTTGGTTATTTATTTTTTCATTTAGTTGGTGAGAAAGGAAAAAGACTTACTGCAATGTATTCGTCTAAAGAAAGTGACCCATAATTTGATTTAAGTGATGTCAACCACACTATATTCAATTTGTTTTACGCAGATAACACAACAAGTAGCTGGAATAGCTCAGCTGGTTAGAGCGTGTGGCTGTTAACCACAAGGTCGGAGGTTCGAACCCTCCTTCTAGCGATTTTTTAGATTTTTTTAATTATCAAATTGAAGGGCAAATTCGTCATTTAGGCAAACAACTAGAACCATCATCCTCTTTCTGAGGTTCTTGTTGTTATCAGACAGGAAGATTCATGGGTTTCCTTGTAGCTGCCATGAACTTTTCTCCTACCTTGATGCATCACCATATGAAATCGAAGCATCATTGTCAAAGTATCTCACTCTTCTTCTTCTTTATCTCTTTTCTTTTTTGAAATCTCTGTTTGTATCATCGAATGTTGAAAGCAAACATGTCTCGTGAGTGATTCAGTTTTTTTTTTTTTATAAGAGATGGATTCATTTGACGATTTCTAAATAACTGCTTTAATATTTGCAAATTAAAACAGATGAAAAGCTTCTTCAGGGCCAAACATCATCTTTGTTTGATCGTCGTGGTTTCTTGAAATGTGTTGTTGGTGCTTCTTCGTTTATGGCCGCATTTGAGTTTTCTGGATTACAAGCTCAGGCGGCAGAGGAAAAGTTAGAAGAAGGAGAAGGAGTTGTTGGTGCTTTCAAGACTTTGTTTGATCCTAATGAGAGAACAAAGTCTGGCAAAGAGTTACCAAAAGCTTACCTGAAATCTGCAAGAGAGGTTGTCAAAACCATGAGAGAGTCATTGAAAGAGAACCCTAAAGACAATGCTAAGTTTAGAAGAAGTGCTGATGCTGCTAAAGAATCCATTCGTGATTATCTGAGCAATTGGAGAGGACAAAAGACTGTTGCTGGAGAAGTATCTTGTCTTTCTTTTTGTCCCATCTTTTTGATTGACACTTGATGAATTGGAATTGATTGATCCGTTGGTATGTTTCAGGAATCATACGTGGAGCTGGAGAATGTAATCCGAGCTTTGGCGAAATTTTACTCAAAGGCTGGTCCTTCTGCACCACTTCCTGATGAGGTTAAGACTCAGATTTTGGATGATCTTAACAAGGCTGAAGAGTTCTTGTGACATTTTTGCTGTAACATGTTTCACTCATGTTATATATAATATATATGAAAGTATTGGAATTTGAAAGCTATTGAAGAATGCTTGACCAAGAAAAAGAAAAAGAAAAGCAACACAAGATCTGTGAGACAATAATAGAGCTCTGATATGCAAAACTAGAATGGCTCCAAATATATTACTGGAACTTCATAGAATACAATGTTGTAAAACCCTGAATCTGGGTGAATAATAAATACAAGTAAAGATAACAACAACAGGACTCTTTCCACACTAATCGAGCTGAATATGAGATCACTCAGGCTTGAAAGATATTGTAATTCCACAGTATATTATCACAAGCTTTTCCACTCTACAGTATCATTAGCAGCTCAAAGGGGGGGTGTAATACAGCATAAAGCATATACCTTCATCACAAATCTCTTATGGGATATATGAAACTGAATCTCGACTGCTGGATAATGCAGCTTGAAAGTTATGACAATCCAAATGTCAAAACAAATCCAGGGAGATGTTATAGTTATACCTCCTCTAGGAGAACAGGTCTGAAACTTCAATGAAGAGCTCAGATTTTCATCCCGAGAACAAGGGTTTTTCCCCTCACAAAAGAAAACCATCCGCGAATGCATCATCTTTCGACTTATCCAACTTAGCACCAGGACCGAGTATGTTATAGTCTTTACATGAAGGAAACCCGTCTAATTTCGAAGATGTATGTTCACTCTTGGCTTCTTGGGAGATAGAGCTCAAATCTGATGATCCTCTACCAGAAATAGATAAAGAGAGGTTGTTTTCAACCTGAAAATTAGCTGATGCTTGTTGGATTTCCTGAGAGAGTAAGCTAGCATCAGCTTCGACATTCACATCCGTAAGGCCATCTTCACATGATGATCCTGTATCATCACATATATGGCCTAATACGTGCTTAGTGCCAGACTTTAATGTGATCTGACAAGAAGAAGAGCTAATGCCACATTCTTCAGCGCGAAAATGTCTACTCAACTCATCCTCCGACTTGGAAATCGTGCCCATGGCTGTTTCAACTGGTACCAGAATATTGTCTTCATCAGAAGCAAGAATATCCTTGTAGCAGTTTGCAGCACCATCGACACATTCAGTACCCTCAACGGAGTATGGACCAATTTCAACAGAAGAGGCAACTTCTGATTTCTTTTCTGTCTCTATCTCTGAAATCATGGCATCACCTGCAGCTGCAGGAGCTATAATGTTTTCTTTATGGAGCAGCGGTTTCTGTAACATGTCTATTCCAGGGAATACCAATGTGTTCAGGGACCTCATCTCTTTTCTAACTGAGTCATCAAGAGGAGTGAATCCAAAGTTACCAGTCCATGCATGCAAGAAGTCTGGAATGGCAGGGATAACCAATTTCTCAACCTTGAGAGAACGCATAGCCTTTAAAAAACAAGGCAAACCAAAAGTTAAAAAGTTTCAGCATCTGGTCCCCACAAATAATGATTATATAGTTCACACAACTTACCGATTCAATCGCATCAAAAAGGCGACGACACATTCCTTGACGCCTGTATATGTGCCTGGTTCCAATAAATGGCATCTCCGCCAATTGCGTACCATGGAACCTAACAAGGAAATAAAACACTTAAACTCTAGAAGGTCCTCGAAATTGAACATCGATGGAACAACTACTACTTTAAATGAATGAACATGTGCAATCACTTGCATCCACAAGTATAAGCAACTGAATAACCTACAGCTGATAAATAGCGTTACTTAATCACAGCTGGTTAAATGGTCATCGTCCTATCAGCAACCAATTTGAATAGACAGAAGATAGACTAATAGAGAACCAGAGAACTCAAAGTTGTAGCGAAGAGGGTGACAAAAGAATCGGTACAAATACACTTTTAGTTGTTTAAGGACCTAGAGGGGGGGTATCCAAATGTTCACTAGACAACTGATTTCCAATTATTTTCAGTTCAGATGAGATAAGTTTTATCGGATACTACTCAGGGATGATTCTATGATGCCATTGCCTTTTATTAAAAAAGTGTGGACTAAGATGATGGAAAAATACCTGAGAGATGCCGCAGATATAATTTCATCTCCTCTCTCTAGGATAGCAGTGTAGAAGCCAGTATAATTTATCCGGTTGAAATTGGATCTGCATAGAAAAGGCAGTCATCATTTGAATAACCATAGACAGTAAAGAGCAACCCAATTAAATAAGTGGTCAAAGTTCCATGCAACTGCATCTAAGAAAAAAAGTAAGAAACATACATACAATGAAGATCAAACTAATATCAAAATTGAAGAGACACTAACACCAGCCATTGCTTCAGTATATCTACAATGTCGCAGTGACAAGTTTACATTTATTACAGCTGACATGTTAATCTCTCAGCTCCAACTAGATACCATGTTCAATTCACTTTCAGGTAAATCAGTTATCCACTTCAATGCTTATACATAAACTCCATATCAAGAGGTATTGGAGACATCATACTTTTTCGTAAAAATATAAAAGACAGACTAAAACACAAACTTACCCACAATTATAAAGGACATTGCGAATCAGATTTACCCCACTCCTTCTGTCAACTATGGGCAAAAAGCATTCATCCATGATAGCCAGCCCTACAGCTAGCTTTGAATTATTTTCGATCCTTTGTGCCGACAATTGAGAATTTATATCTGAATCAGTGTCCACCCTATGTATAAGAGACCACGAGTAGCCACCTTCTATTTCATTTTTGACACCAAGATACTTCTGTAACTTTTCGAAGAGCTGTAAAAGATAATGAATGTACAATTAAAGGATATGGCTATACGAGAAGAATGCCAAATACATGCACTGACATGAAAATTTCTGAACAAATTGATAAAAAAAGCTCTAAGCATTTCCCCATTGTATAAATACAGAAGTTGCAAGTTCTCTCCCAGGAAATTGATGATATAAAATAAACACCAAGAGAATGAGCCTTCAATGAGGCTAATACACATATGAGAATCTTGTACAATGCACAAAATGTACAACGTAACAAAAAGATGATGTTTTAAAAAATATAATATGACACTTTTATTGGACATGAAGCTAATAAGTCGTGATCTTGTCCTACCATCCTCTATAGTCACTAAGAAGAAAATAGACTCCATAATAACGAAACAACAAATTCCTGAGTAGAGTAGACAAGTCAATACCTCTAAGCACTTAGGCCCACAAAATGAAGAAGCTGAACCAAAAGATTGAACCTTCTGAGCTTCATCACTCAGGCATAATTGGTGATCTACAAAAGAGGTGGTAAAATTTAAGTGAGATCACCATTGGCATAAAAATTCATTTAAAGGGGAATCAACCTCAATAAGGGAAACATCTCACATCTTCTCTCACACATGCTGCAGGAAAGTAATGATAAAAAATTTCCGTCCTTGCCACCAGAAGCCACAGCTGCATCACAAAACTTGCATGTGCAATTTGGACAATGCCAATCACCCGAAGGAAGCACCTACAATCATAGCATGATACAAGTATGTAAATACACACAAGAAACCAGAACAGATAGAAAGTTGAACTCGAAACCAAAAAAATGGAAAGAAACATTAAATGGTCAAAACAAGTAAGACTTCACAGTAGTTACATACCTGCATACCTAGGCAGGTTTGATGATATGTTGATGGACAACCATCACAGCAAATCAAATCTCCACCATCTCCGCAGATACCACAAGCATCATCATTTGGATCATCCCCGTCAGTGTCCACTTGATGGAGACCAACATTCGTAGCATCTTTCTGCATATTCCACGCTCTGACTTGGCATTGAAGAAGAGAAGCGCCAGATTCCAGATAAATATTTTGGAAAGGCTGACATGCCTTGCTCCCAGCATGAATCTCAAACCTGGAGACTGTGAGAATTTTACTGCAGCAATCACAATGAATCCCCTCTCTTGTTATCCATCCCTCCAGCATCACCTTTGCACCTCGACGCTTCATGTATTGCACCTTTTGTCTGAGTTGAACAACTCCAGATTCAATCAACCAAGAGAGCAATGTCCGTTTTCCAGAGTATGGATTGAACCCGTCAATCGCTGGATTCTTTTTATCCTTAGAACTACGCACCAACAAAGTACATCTTCCAATTTTTTTGCTTTTTCGTCCATGTAGATAATGTGAATCGGATCCAGAGGATGGCCTTGCACTTTTATAATATAATGATCTTTTACTCTTTGTGTGTAACTCATCCCAATCAATTCCATTTCTTCCCTTTTTGGTCGATTTCCCACCCAGCTTTATGGATGAACGTATCCTCTCTTCAGAGGTATCAGTGTAGGCTCCTCCATCACTTTTGTTTTCACTATCACTACCACTGGAATTTTTTTTCCATTTCTTCGTCATCTCAGTACGGGTCTTCTTTGCCTTCCTTGCTAACTTGTTCACAATATCCTCCGATACTGAAGCAACTGCAGCAGTATCTTTCCTAGGCCTGGCATCAACTCCCTCGTCTTTTAACTGCTTTAAAAGTGCATCATATGCTTTAATTATTGACCAATATGCTGTTCCTGAGGGGTTTACATATACAGCATCCAAATAACTTTGGTTCCTCCTAGGTTTATAGTCTATCGTCCATCCTGCATCAGTAAGCATTCCCTTAATTCGCTCACGTAATCTTTGCTTCTCTGTTCCACCACCACGCCTTCCTCTTCTTTCCTCTCTCACGTCAGGTTTCACCGATTCAGGAAAGTTTGATTTTGATTTGGTATTGATCTCCTTTTTGGGTTTACTATACTCTGATTTCCTCGGCACGTCGCTCCCTTCTGACTCTGAATTACTCTCCACATTATTTGATTTCCTAAAGGTTGGTTTAACTACAACATTCTCACGCCTTTGAGCCTTCCTAGAGGAGAGCGGTCTCTCATATATTTCTGCGTCCTGGTGGTGGATTGAAGCAGCAAGAGTGCTTGTCTTATTGTTGACCTTCACCTTCAGAACACCGTTTCTCCCTTGCACCCTCGTTTGTTCATCAGACTTCACCTTCAGAACACCGTTTCTCCCTTGCACCCTCATTTGTTCATCAGAATCAGATTCACTACTCGAATCCTCCTGTGAGCTCGTACTACCTGTGCCATTTACAAATGTGTGTCTCCTCCTCCTATCAAATAGACGGTCCCTGCCTGATCCAGACCTTCCCACACTACTATCAACCCTTCTGGATGCAAAAGAGCTTCTTCCGCTAACACCAACACTGCCATTATCAAAACGTTTTCTCATCAAATTGGCGCTATCAAACCCATCGTATTCATCAAACTCAAAAACATCTAACTTGTCCCTCCTCATAAAACTTCCTGACGCCTCGTTGTTCCTCCTCACATACCCATTTCGATCCCTCTTCCCAACAAACTTTTCTTTTGCCCCAAGGGTTTTGCGATCAAGGCCACTTGTACGTGGAGGTGGTTTCATAAACTCATCACTTGATTCGGAATCACTAACAATCATTCTGGATCTCTTCTGTCTAGTTCCAGTAGAAGACACAGTCCTAGCAACCCCATCGCTCTTCTCCTTCAAAATCAGAGAAGTATTCGCAGCACCGGAACCACCACCCCGTTCCATAAACGATCACTAGACAAAAAAAAATCAAAGTAAGGACCTTTAATCCTAATCCCGTCAAATCCCAGACCAAATCAATAATGAAATACCTAAATCGATAACTCCGTTACTCGAAAAGCATCAAAACGCGCCTTAAATCACCGGATCCGGGGTGTGAGAAACGAGATGAGTCACGATCCTATCGCAAAACAGAAGATATGAAAATGAAAGTTATCGGCGATGAATCCTTTAAAGAATCGACGTGACGAGCTTAGAGATACCACTGTCGCCGGTTTCCTCGGTGGCCGACAATGTAACTCCGCCGCTAGAGAGAGGAAGGGAAGGAGAGAGAGAGAGGCGCAACGGAGCGGTACAACAAAATGATGAGGAAACCAAAACGGAACTTATTTTTATTTTCCATCCCGAATTTATTTATAGTAATCCACTCTTATTAAAAATGCACCCCGGTAGTTTTTGATTTGATCAATTAGCCCCCTCTATTGGGAGAAATCAATCTCAATATTTCGCCTAATTGGCGATGTTAACAGAGGCAAATAATTCCTGAAAATTTAATTGGTTGATGGGCCAAAAAAGTATGGCATCGAAGCCCAAAACTTTATTTTTATAGAAAAAAAATAAGCTATGGGCTTATACTTTTTTTCTTTTTTTCGTCAACCGGGCTTAGCCTTATATTTTTTTTCTTTTTGACGGCAGCCTCATATCTAACGATGATTTCAGTACTATTTCAGTAATTTGTCATTATTAAAAAAGCACCGTCAGGCGTCAGATTCTTTTTTGCTATATATTCTATATCAAAATTTTATACTATAGTCTCTAAACTTATTTAGAACTTCACGTCTCCTAAACACCTCTAAGAACAATTGAATTTGAAAATAAAGCAAGTGATGTTAAAAAAAAAAAAAAAACCAAGTAAACACATAAGATATAGAGTTTTAAGTTTTGTAAATGGTTTTATGGTTTATTAAGAGACTAAATAAATTTAATAGTTAAATGACTCATCATCGAGTTGGAACTTGGAAGACCATGGTTGGAGTTTTTTTTTATGTGATTTCAAACATAGTTAACCAATGTTGATACTCAAATAAAATGATAAGCATTTTTTTGGCGCTACAATAATTTCAGATATTAGTATTTTGACTTTGGCTCGAAATCTCAAGTTATCAAAATAGTATGTATACTAGAGTCTTTGATGGAAGCAAATGTGCATAATCAACCAAAGAGATATAAAAATGTGAAATGATGGAAAATTCGAATGGTAATCAAACGTCACTAACTTAATGAAATTATCATTGTTTCTTGTCATTGGCCCGATTTCAAAATTTGAAATTAGATATGAGAACAAGAAAAAGTGAAAGATGAAATCGAATTTTCAGGAGGTTTGGTACAATGTGATAGAAATGTTTTAGCAAAGAATAAGAAGAAGAGAGACTTGGAATGGGGGGTCACGTGAGTGAGTTGTTGTTGACATGGTGCGTCAGAAAATTATAGTATTTCCAAAAGTCGCTAAGTCAATTATTACTGTAATAATAATGTCACCACTGTTTCTTATACCTTATGCTATCTATTGTCAATTTCTTATCAGAAAATCAGAAATCAGGAATATATGTCGGACTCCATTACCAAAACAAAGTATTTTTATAAGCCGATAATTAGCAACGTTAAATTCTGAATTATGTTTACTTGTTTTTTCTTTCGCACACTAGAGGTCAACATGTTAGGTGTTAGAGGACAACATGGTGTTAGGTTCATCGTAGTGTTATTGGATTAACATTCAAAATATTAACGTTAATCCACATTTGAATTATTGGATTAAAATTCAAAACAAATTTTCAAAAATATGTTGTTTGTGTGAGGATTAACCAACATCTAAATAAATCATCTAGTATATTGTTTGTAATTGTAAGTACTGATGAAATCGAGATCTAAATAAATAAATAGAGTTGACGATCAAAAAGACTTGTCAGCTATGCATGCAAATTTATTTGAATTAAAGGACGTTGCTAGCTTACAATCGTCATTTAAAGACATAATCAATCTTACATTTTATTTAAATACAATGATGAGTGTGTTATAAATGAACAAAGAAACATAATCATAGTGACTTTTCATGCGATTAATAATGAAAAGTTTGAACTAAACTCAAAGTCGTCTCATTGTATATTAGTAATCAATCCTAGTAAATGAACTATTTCCGTCTCATTTATCTTTAATTATTTTATCTTCAAAATATATTATTCACAAGCATCAAATCTATACTAAATTTAAGCAATACTCCCTCCGTTCTTATATAAATGATGTTTTAAGTTTTTGTTTTTGTTTTTGTTCTTAAACAGATGATGTTTTCAGTTTTCAATGCAATATTAATTATTTTTATTGGTTTTGATAATTTATATTATATAGATTGTTTTTCTATTGGCTGATTAGATAATAAATAATGTTTTAGTTTAGAAATAAATAAAAACTAAATGATTTTTTAATTTATGTACATATCGTAGCTTTTGTTTTCATTAAAAAGACAGCCTGATATATGTGCATACTAATTATTCCACTCAACTATTTCTTCACGGGCTTTTTCTTCTTTTCCTCCAGCTTTTTATCTCAGCATGCCTTTGTTTTCTTATTAGTTTTTCAAAATGATATTAGCATATGTGACCAAATCATTCAATATACGGATGCGGATGTGACCAAATTGACATTTGACTACTTGAGCATGATGCGAGTTTGTTGCATATGTATTGGATAATCTCAAATTATACTGGCTTTTCTCAAGAATAAAAATTTTATACTATTATGTTTACTCCTCCACTATACACATTAAGGGCTTGATTGGTTATCCCGCTAGCACCCTCTTAGCGGTTTCTAGCGGTCGGTTGCGGTTGTTAGCGGTTGGTACCAATCATAGAAACCGCTCCATCCCGCTTCGAACCGCTCGAAATCGCTGAATTTCAAAAGTTCCTTCCCGCAAGCGTTTGCGGTTGCGGGCGGTAGCGGTTGGATTAAAAAAAAAAAATTAAACATTTACTTATAATTATTATAATATATATTAATTCTATATATATCTTTCATCTTTGTATCACTTTGTATCACGTTCTCATCAGAAACCCTAATAATATTCTGAAACTCTATTCTCTCAATGTTTTCCATCCAAACTGATGAAAATTAATAACCAAATGTAAGTATCATATATCCTTTTATTCATTCATCACCTCATGTGTAACTTTTTGAATATTTTTCATGGCATCGTTTTTTTTATTTTCATTACGTATTGCTTACCTTTTTGATTGAATATATGTTTCGATTTGTTTTCTCGAATAGAAACTCACTTGCTTTTTGATTGAATTCAACGTTATTTACAGTTTTTCTCATTACTTGATGCAATTTTTGATGTTAAACCAGATGCATAAAGTACTATCTTGTTACAAAATTTCTTTATTTTTGAATAATTATTTAGTACTTTATTTATGGTTTTAATTATTAAGTATGTTCAATTTTTCTAATATTATCATCTTAATATATTGGTGTTTTTTTTTTTTTTGAAATATTTTTTATTTATTTTGGTCATTTTTTTATTTAACTGATATCGCACCCGCTGGTTTACCAATCATAAAACTCCCGCAAACGCACTAATTTTCAAACGCTAAACCAGTCGTTCAAAACGCTTGATAACGTTTAAAGCCGCAACCGCCCGCTTCCGCAAACTCCCGCAACTACAACCGCAACCGCTGTGTTTAAACCAGTCAGACCCTAAGAAACGCTTTTAATTTTTGAATTTGCAGCGAAAACCAACTTTTCAGTCAATGACTGAAAAGTTGGTTATATATATATATATATAGTTGGTTAGATCGTGTGAAATGGTATGGGCAGAGAAAATGAAATCAATAAAAAAAATATAGTATGTAAGTTCTCATGGCCGATATGGAAAAAAATAATCGCCAGTAGAAAGAATTACTGATACTGGAGAAAAAACACACACACAAAAGGCCAATATATTCTACTTGAAGGTACACTTTTAGTTGATACGAATATTTGATTTGTTACTACTGTTGGCTGTCAAAGACTGAGTCTTTTTTGATATGTCGTTTCCACACTTCCTATTTAATGAACTCCTTTATATCTTATCAAATACTATATCACTGAACTTTATAATTTATAACTCGGACCGTTGTGAGTTATACGGTATATTCTAATTATTAATTCTCTGAAGATTCGTACATGGTACACATGCCATCCTATTTCACAAATTCAGAAAATAATTCACACTGGTCTAATGATCGTTAACCCCATTCATAAAGACAACAACCAAATTTCAAACTTAGACTTGGTGGAGAAACATTATAGATAAAATTAATCAATTGTCTACCTGTTCTACCTAACAAATTCACTGTCAAACTCAAATATATATAACTTTATCAAAACAAAGTTAGAATGTGATCATGTAAACTTGAACGTTTATTAGAGCTATAATAGTTGATAAATTTAAGGTATCTTCATAAGTACTAGAGCTTCTGAAATTGAATGATAATTACGTAAGAACTTGGTTTCTATGGTAGTGTTAAAATTTTGAACCCAATATAAAGAAAAGGTTAATCTATATTTATATACTTATAATAGTCGTCATTGATATAATCCATGTTTTTAGATTGTCGCATCACACTGAAATAAGAAAGAAAGAAAAAGTGGAGTACATAACGCGAGTTGGATTTTCCCTCTGATGAGAAGAAACACGATTGCGAACTGCCCGATCTTATGTGGCAGCATATTAGCATAACAATAGGTGATTAGCTAGCTAGAAAATAAAATCCCAAGCTTAAAATGCTTTAAGACCATCTCCAATGCATACCTCTATATTTTCTTCTATTTTAGAGGAGATTTTGCTTTAATGTATCTCTGTAATCTAATGTTTCTCTCCTCTATCTTAGAAGAAACTCTATTTTATAGGAATACATTGGAGCAAAATCTTCTCTAAAATAGAGTTTATATAAAATAGATAAAAATATAGAGATGGGCATCGGAGATGCTCTAAGTAATGATAAATTAAATTATGACACTCTCCATATATTCTATTGAGTCCCGGTTGATATGCTCGCCCTCCTATATCACACTAAAAATCACTTTCGATTCACATAATTAAGATGCATTCATTTGTTCAAAAAAAATATTTCGTTAAAGAAAATTTGTTCAGATCTTTTATCTTGTATTAGGCACCAAACTTGCCTTGATTAACTTCTTAGTTTTTAGCTCATCCAATTTATTAGTTAGAAAGAAAAAATTTAAGTTTTATTTTAAAATATGTTAATACAAAATAATATTTGACTGATTTTTTTTAACGTATGAAAATATTATACCACCCTGTTAATTACCGATGCTTTGCACCTTACATTAAAGGTATTAATTAACTTTAATGGGTCCGATGTTTGCTTTTTGTTTTTTTGTCGTTGTTTGTTGTGTTCTCTCAAAAGTGTTAAAGCTATTGGCATTTAATATCTTGAAGACTACTTAATTCTACTAAAAATTTAAAGTCAATGTTAAATCTGCGTATTTACTGCACCAGGGACAAAATGGCTGTCAATTAAACCCGATTCGAAGCACGAGAGATATCTACCCAATCAACCAATTTATTGACCCTTTCATGTTTCCTCTTTTAAAGTATGTCATGTAAAATACACACACGTATTATGTAAGATATCAAAGGGAAATCTATTTTGTTGATTTATTCCCGTTTTGACAATCTATACTATTGTAACGTAAAATGATATTCTTCCATAGGAAATAATGTGCATCTGAAACAAAATTAAATGTAAGATACAATGTTATCATCTATCCCACAAGATGCAAATTCGACTAGTTCTGATTTTACATATTTTGTTTAAAATCCAAACAAAAATATGTTTGTTGAAGAGTTGAAGTAGATGTTTAGAATAATACGTTTGTTGTACAAGCAAAATAAGATTCAGATTTTTTTTTTTTTTTTTTTTTTTTTTTTTTTAAAGAAGGGAGAGATGATCAAAATTAGTGCTTTTAAAAACTATTGAAAGTTCAACGAGTTTTGAGTAAAGTAGAAATCCTTGAAATTATACCTGTTCCAACGGGCATACCCTGCAGCTATGCTAATAACACTTGTGCCTTTTGACCCCTTTTTTTTTTTCATTTTTAAAAAAGTGAATATGATTTTTTTCCTATCCCCGCAAATAAAATTTTATAAAATATACATTTTCAAGGTTGTAATGTAAAATTTCATTCGGTTTAAGATATGATATATTGAGTGGATGATATTTTATTTCTTTTCTAATTTTAAATTCTAATGTTACAAAAATTAAATACAAATAGCTAGTTTAATTTAATATATCAATAAAATATTAAACAAATGACCTGGACATATGTGCTTTGCGTAGTGTTAACGGCGTCAGCTGCCGTTATCTCCTTCCCAAAATATATACAAGGGAATCTCTTTCTCTCTCTCACCATTCAATCACTTCCATTTTTTCAAAATCTATTTTTCCCTCACTTCTCTCTCTCTCCTTCTCTCGCTTGAATAACAAGGTTGGTATATTTGTTATAACGGGCTAATTAATCAATCTCTTTTAATTCACAAATAAAAAGAAGAAAGAGAGGAGACATTTTTGGGGTCGATATCTTGAAAATGGGAAAGAAAGAGCAGAAGGATCATCATTCAACAGTAGAGAGCGACGACAAGGTCGAAGCTGTTCTTCATCTCCTTCGTAAACATTCTCCTCTAACTCTTAAACAGGTTGGTTTACATATTCATTAGCTCACTAACTAATTATATTTCCATTACTTTAACAACATTTTTCTTTATAGAAAAATGATTTTTGTTGTTTGTTGTTGGTTTAATAAATATTGCAGGAGAAGTTCTGTAACAGAGCTTGTGTCGGTAGATTCTTGAGAATAAAAGGAGACAATGTGAAGAAAGCAGCTAAACAGTTAAGGTCTTGCCTTTCATGGAGATCTTCTCTTGGCATTGGTACTTTCTCTCTCTTGATCATTACATATACTCAAGCACTATATATATCTTCATACAAAAATTTGATAAACGTATATTTGCTTATACTAAAATACACGTACATGAACACGCGTACGTTACATCTTTAGAGGTCCGAAGCTTTATACTATATAAAACGGTCTAAAATTTTAAAATAATGAAAACGAGAGGTTATAAAACATAAGGCTTAAAATAAAGTAAGCATGTAGTGTGTATAGATGATAGATTTGGTTAGCTAGTGTTTCTCGTATTTGTATTTTTTTTTTGTGTGTAATTAGAAAAATAGACGTTTCGTTGCTTTTTTTCTCGGGTTTTGATGTGTCCCATGTTTGAACATCGAGCGTTAAAGTGAATATCTACTCATTATGACACCCACTTATTTTTAACCTCTTCTATTTATTTTTTCAAGATTCTGTTTTCCCTTTTTCTTTTCTTTTTTATATTTATTTATTTAACACAAACTTGTTGAACAAATTCGAATTTGTTTATATATATATATATATATATATATATATATTATTTATCTTATTAATATGATATACGTTTTAACAATTACAGAGAGCTTGATCGCCGACGAGTTCACGGCGGAGCTTGCTGAAGGTCTTGCCTACGTCGCTGGTCTTGACGACGAGTGTAGACCCGTTTTGGTAACTTAATTAATCTCACTTTTGTTCATTTTATATATTGATTCATAATCAAACCTAGTGTAACACTTCTTTTTCCTCTTAGGTTTTCCGCATTAAACAAGATTATCAGAAGCTACATACGCAGAAACAGTAAGTATAAATTATCCTTACATATTAAAACATGAAAAACATATTCACAAACTTAATGTATATATTCGTAGGTTGACTCGTTTGGTGGTATTTACATTAGAGGTTGCAATCTCAACCATGTCCAGAAACGTCGAACAATTTGTCATCCTTTTCGATGCTAGTAAGTTCCCTCTCATTTTCCATTTATCATTTTATATATTACTAGGAAAAAAGGTTTTCAAAATAAAGGGGAAGAAATTCAAAATGTGGTAACTATTTTTATTTTGTCTTCTTATCTTTTCAATGGAAATATTGTCACGGTTAACGAATAAACATAAATGTGTTTTTTACAAAAAGAGAAGTTGGTAAAAAATAGGGGACCGGAACATGTCGGAACTCCGGCAGGAAAGTGGGAGAGATAACGATCCGATAATGTCCGTAGTGTCCCTGTATAGTCACGGTCACAAACGAATTATAGTCTCAATTATTGAGGGTATTTTTGGCATTTACTTATGTTGATCTTCTACACCAGTTGCAGCAGCAGTACTTCTCGTAACTCTGATAGTACTCTTTAGCTTTTCATTAAATGTTCCTCTTTTGATCCACTGCACACCTTCCTTTTCTTATTATTATTTTTTTTTTATAAAGCAAAACACAAATTTTCAACATTTATTTTCACATGTATTTCCTAAAAACATTGTCAACTGTGTCAAATTTTTATAACAAATTTTGATTAGACTAATGATTATTGCATATTTTGAAATCGCAGGCTTCTTCAAATCAGCATCAGCTTTCATGAACATACTTGTGACTACACTTAAAATAGTCGCAGAGTATTATCCTTGTCGTCTTTTCAAAACCTTCGTCATCGATCCTCCTTCTCTTTTCTCTTACCTTTGGAAGGTACGTTACCATTTAATTTGATTAAATTTTCAAGTATGTACAATTTTGTCTTTTAATTATGCTTAAGTCAAAGTGTTAGTTCACCTATCTAAATGTGACTTTGAAAGCGGGATGATATATATTTTTAAGTTGAAGTCAAAGATACTGATTCTCTACGCTCACGTGTAGGGTATTCGCACATTCGTGGATCTATCAACGGCCACGATGATCGTATCAATGCAAGATTTTCAAGACTCGTTTGACTACGACGACTTCTCTTCGTCTTACCCATCACGAGTCTCCTCCCTACGATTCGACACGTCATCACTCAAATCAACGGACAAGATCGGTTCTTGTGCATCCTCTAGGTTCGCTTTCACCGTATCTCGCGACGGTCTCGACACTATCAAACCATGGTGTCTTACGTTGACTGACACGTCATCATCCAAACTAGGACACAACACAGGCGCGTATATCTCACCGCTAAACGCGCGTTCTTTCTCTTTCGCGTCACCGGCGGCAAGAAGCGAGCCATTCGGTGGTCCAAGGAGGAGTTTCTTTGCTTCCACTCCGATGCCAGCTAGGACCACCGACCGTCACTCTATCGGAACCCTCCGTGACCCGCGGATACCTCGCCCGTCTTTCTTCCAATCTCCGGCGGTTTTCTTCAGGCGAGAGTCACACGTCAGCAAAAGTGAGAAGCCACGAGATTCGTTCGTTCAGTTTCTCAAGTTCTATCGTAGACCGTACGATGAGATGACTTATAGGTCAAAGATGCGGCCACCGCTCGGTGGTCTTGTCTCCATTGTTTCAACTCAGATTAGACGCCGCCACGTGTCTTTATCTCAACGGTTCTAACTGTGATCCAAATCCATCTATTAAAGTAGTATATAAACTTTTGCCGTGATTGTTCTTTTTTTTTTCTTTACTTATCATCTTTAGTTCGTCAAGTGTATTTTTCTAATAATTTTGATCAATTGTCTATGGTTTTGATTTCAATTATTTATCTAAATTGTTAGAAGTGAAAGTCGTACCGTTTGAATTTTGAATGCTTTGTATCAAGGTTATTATTTGAACTTTAACATTTTAGTAGCTTTTTAATAGATGATGATTTGTATTAATAATTACGATGGGCACATTTTCGGGATAAGCATGCAAAGTGCAAACAAATAAAAATAAAGTCTTCGCTTTGGGGTAAATTTGAAAAGTAAGGAGAAAAAAAGAAGAAGACAACGTGGTCGTGACGGAGAAAGACTCATTGGGAAAATTCAAATGAGAACATGCGATGTTGCTGTTGTTTCTTTATTTGTTAGAGGATTACAAGTACCTACATGTGACCCCATTATTTCCTAATCATAAAAATAAAAAAGCAAGCCGTTGACAAAACACTCGTTGACGCAATATAGAAAGATGGGGAAATTTTAAATTTCTTATAGTAGTAAAAAAATGAAAAGACAGTGTAAACAGTTAAGAGTTTTCTCATTTATTTTAGCTAAAAGACAAAGAGATATTTTGGTTTGAACAAAAAAAGAAAGACAAAGAGACATTTTTTTAAATGCATTCACTCGCCTACTTCGTTATAGACTCAAAATTTATTCTTAAATTGGATATATAAACTTACATAACCACCCTTGTGAAAACAGTTTTTAGTTATGCATATTAGTTTTGGATATTCCATTTGAGTTTATCACTAGGAAAAATAAGACGACATACATAAGGGTTATAGAGTTGACATTACTTTATTCAGCTAGTTTCAGTATATGTTAGGAATATGTGTCAATTCTATAAAATTGATTGAAAAGGTCAGGGTTGACTCTTTTCTGTTTTGTAGTGGTTGTGCCTATATGCAGTTTGTTGCATTATAATATAACACCTTTGTTGCTGTAAGCAAATTTTATACTAGTATTAATCTTAGTAGGAAATATTTTATGTATTTGCATAGAAATGAGTAATATGTCTTGGAGCAATTGTCGCTATTGCATCAAGGTTTATACAAAAATTACATTTCTGAAGTGAGATGACGTAACTTGTGTTAGGCATTTTCTATTTGGAAGTTTGTCTATAAATTTTATCCAAGTATACTTATAAGTTAGTACTAAATTGGCTTTTCTTGCATAATGTTCGGGGTCTTTTTTTATCTTTTATTTATTTTGTTTAACTTTTGAGATTTGTGTCTTCTTGCATGGGAAAAATACTTTAAAGACAGACGAACAGTTTATTTAAGACTCTCGACTTTTATTCTTTGTCAGTTTCTGCGGTAATGAGTTCTCATTTGTCCCTTTCGCTTTGTTACTTTTTGCGGTAAGCTTCGAAGTTGATTTCGTCTTTTAAGACCATACTCTATACTTTTGAAGTAAATTTCTTAGCCATTTATACAGGATTTGGCTTTGAGATAAACCCCTCTTTTTTTTTTTTGTTGGTCATACATAATACTCCCTCTGTTTCACAAAGAGTGTCATTTTAGAGTTTTGCACACAGATTAAGAAAACATTAAATTTTTTGTTTTTTCTAAACAAAAACATCATTAACTATATACCTAAACATAATCCGCCCAATAGTAAAACAATATGCAGAATACTAATAGTCATAAAACATAAAAAAATCATTAAATTTTGCATTGAAAACCTAAAACGACACTCTTTGTGAAACAAAAATAAAATCTTAAAACGACACTCTTTATGAAACGGATGGAGTATATATCATAGGTCAAACATTGATTTCTTTTCAATAACCGTGTCTACAAGATAGAAATGTTAGGTTTTGGATCTTAAATCAAGTAGAAACTTGGATTTCAAGTAAATTTAAGAACATTAAATGATAAATTTTATCGAGACCCTAAGTTCCTTCTCGATTTTTAACATGCTCAAATTTTATAATTTGCATTCGTACTACAAAGTCAGAGGAATCTCAAAACAAAATCTTATAGTAGTAATTAAACATATATAAAAGTAACAAACCTCAGACATTGAAGATAATGTATAAGAAATTTTTCCAAAATTGAGTAGAGAAAAAGAATCAATTTATGTCAGCTATATAACATTATAGACACAAAAAAGAGTTAACCGTTCCAAATCTATTGGCACGTTTGATTTATTTGTCTTATCAACGACCCGTCGGTGGTGACCCGATCACATGACTTAACTTAGTAAGGAGACCATTTTTTTATGTTGAGGGAGGTGAATGAAACAAATCATATTTATAACTTTAGTTAGAAATTCCTTTTTAACTTTCAATTTTTTTCTCTGTTTTTTTCTTTTCTTTCTGGACACATTTGTTATGTTCTCAGATAAGAAGAACCACAATCATATTGTTTCTATGAAAGGAAAAAAAAAAACCCCACAAAGTTAGAAAAGAGAAATAAATTTCTGGACTACTTAGATCTCTTTGAGCTCAGCGACGACTTGTTGGTTAAGGCATCTAGTTCTTCTTCTTGTTGCTTCTTTAGGTATCTCTGTGCAGTTGAAGTCACAATCTGGCCGAAGAAATTTAAAAGCATCAGCCACACGACTCCATTCCACACTGATGCAAAAGAAAGATCCCATTTCTTGACCTGAACCAAGAAAACAATCATCCAAATACCTCAATATGCAGAACAATGCAAAACGGTAATGGCCTAAGTAAAAAGAAACAAAAAATACGTTACGTTGATATCAGAAGATACTGGAGGCGAAGCAACCAAGTACTTCTCTTTCATTAAGCGGAGTTTTGCTGTGAGCTCAGGCAATGCAGAAGCAAAACCGGGAACAAAGCTCAATATATATATCAGCTCATTCTCTACCCAGTCAAGAAGCTGATTATTACAGACACATATGATGAAAACCGTCTGCAAAAGACAAAAATGTTGACTTTGAGATGAGAACGAAAGTGACTCAAAAAAATAGTACAGTATTATGGAAACGCTCACAAAACCTGTATATGTGTCTTGATGATTGCCTTTCCAATCAAGGTTGCAAGGAAAAACTCCCAAAACGGTTTCTCGAATTGTCCACACATGATTCCAGCAAGGTCGAATAATGGGTTAGGAACCTGAATGTAAGGCAGAACGTAATTGTAATAAGCGCATCATAAGTTTTCTGGAACCTTAAACAGATGCACAAAAAGTTTCTGCAAGAAGCATTGGATTGTTCAGAAGACTCATTAAAACATACCGAAGCAAGAATCAGAATTGTGAAGAAGTTGAGGTATTGTGAATGTGACAATAACCAGCCTTTGATCTGATTTACGCGTTTAGCAATGAATCCGTTATCGTCACCAGAACATGTCTCCAATTCTTCCATTTTGCCACCGGAAAGACTAGCTGTATAGGGTCAGAGCATTAATAAACAATCTTGCTGCATAAACTGTTTGCATCTCATGTAACAGAATTTAACTCGACAACTCTAAAAAAATTTAATTCAATCCCACTTAGATATAGCTCAAACATCAAGAAGCTTCTGAAAATGGGCCTCAAAGCAGATATGTTAACAGTAAACCACAAACACTGAGTTGTCAATAAAAAGGTGGGCAGAGTGAATTTTCACCTGCTCTGGAGATAAAGTAAGGAGGAAGTTCTCCCAACGCTGTTCCTAGACCCCAGAGGATGGCTTCTATCTGAACCTGAGGCAGTATGCTGCTCAGAGGAACTCCAGAAGAAAAGACTGGGGAGCCAAACTCGTGGCAAGGTTTATCAAGCCATGAAGGACTTCTCTTCAACTGAATTGTATCATATATAGCACTTTTTAAATCGACTCGCCCGCACTGCATTGCTTTTATGGTAAACAAAGCAATATGGGGACCCAAATAAAGAACAAATGTATGCAAACCAGATCCTGGAATCATAAATAAAAGAGAAATGAGAAGTATGTTAGTAGTATTCATCAAAACATTTCGGCAATAAGACAAGCCGGAAATAAGAAACTGATACAGAATGCCCTGGAAGGAGTAAAACATATTCTTACCAAGGCCAATTGATGATGCAACACCTAAAAATATCCACCATAGTCCAAACCTGGTGTACTCAGACAGTTCTTCAAGGTGCTGCACGAGGAGAAAATTAGGAGATATTGATCATCACTCATGACTTTTGATATGCTCTTATCCCCAATTATAATAGCAATAGAAAAGCCGCAGTTCTAGGATTTCTCCTCCCGAACATTTTGGAGATTCGTAAAAAGACTCGCTTATGCAAAGTAAAGAAACATCCTAGCTAAAGCTACAGACAGAAACAGTCAGAATCTGTTTACCTTGACGTGAGGGCCATCTAGGGTCACAAGAAGAGCTGCAAAGGCAACAAAAATGCTGCCAAAAAGCATAAGCCAACCAACATTTGCAAGAAGGTAGGAGGACCATCTTCTAACATATAGCAAAACAGCAACAACGAAGAATCTCAAGGTTTTGAATGGCTGTGAGGTCAATGTTAGTTTTTCTAGATCCTGTTGATGCTTTTCACGCAAACCTGCAAAAACCCATAGACCTATTAGTCGCCAAGTAAAAAAAAAGCTCTAATTTTTAGATTCTAAGAAATTTACAAAGAAATTACGAGTCAGCTCATGAATCAACCAAAGACCGAAAATTTCTAGTCTAATCATATAAATCGGATAATCATCCAAGAGAGGCGCACACAGATGCATGTATGTAAACAATGTATGCACCGATTAAAGAGATTGCAATGTCGCAATTACAAACCCTAAAGTTTCAAATTTTAGGAACGAGAACAAAAAAAAAGAAAGAAGGGCACCTGAGATCGGAGGAGTTTTAGAAGAAGCTCGATTTCCAGAACCCATCTCTCTTTGGCGTACTAGGAATCAATAAACCCGTAATCTGAAGATGAATTTCAGGTGCAACTTCTCGTCGAGTGTCTACTGAAGAAACTGGTTTCTGATTCTAAGAGAAAATTAGATGAAGAAGATTGGTGAGGAGATGAGCATTGGGTCTGAAGATTTTGGATGGATTGAGAAAGGATCCATCAATCTCGATCTCAAAAGCTTCTTCTCCTATGTTTAAGGTATGCGACCAAAATCAGGTTCCCGTTTTGTTGGATGTGTGTGATATGGCGCATGCTATTGGTTCTTCGTTTCGGTTTTTACCGGTTCTTTTGTAAACCGGTTTCAACATGTCATTTGTTTTTTTAATTGAGTTCGTTTTTTTTTCTTCTTCTATAATTCAAAAATTATTTTGTGTATCCTAAAAAATATAGTTTGTTTTAATGAAATTCTATAGCTTTTCAAACAATTTTGTATCTCCTTCCTTGAATCCTTTCTGCTTCAATTCTTCTCGTATTCTTGATTTACTGAAAAATTTTGTTGTGAATTTGAAGTTACCTTTCATCTGTTGCTTCAATTCTTCTCGAATTCTCGTTTGTTCTTTTATCTTTTGTAGTGTTCTTGTTTGTTCAATCGAAATCGGAAAAAGCTAAGATCTTTCGATGAATATGTGATCGCTCCTAAGCCAGCTGTTGAGGCTGTGAAATCGAGAAGGAATATGTAGAGAGATTGAGAATTTTGGGTTTGTTATAGTCACGGGAAAATTCCTAAAAAAAACCCCAACTATTTAATATTTGCCAGAAAAAACATGAACTTTTCTCGATGCCGGAAAAAAACCCCAACTAATTTACCGCAGACAAAAAAACACGAACTATTTTGTTTTTCCAATTTCCTCTCGTCTCCGTTACGGGCGTTAACGCCGTTACTATTTTTTGTGAAAATTCTTGAAAAAAAACCAAATTATTTAAGTTTGCCAGAAAACTACATGAATTATTTGTTCGTTGCCAGAAAAATACATAGATCAACATTTTTCTTTTCTTTTCTTTTTGTCTTCCATCAACAATGTAAGATGGTAAGAGCTCATAACTTTTATGTGTTATCTTGAACCTCATAAAAGTTTTCATTTTCACTATTACTTAGGGCAATTAAATTTAAGAACAAAAATATACAAATAGATTAGTCGATTTTTAAATTTTTAAATTAGATTTGTTTTTGGATCTATTCAGACTTTACAAATTTTGGGACATCATCAACAATGGAACACTAAATTTCATAAGAGCCCCAAAAATCTTGGTAGATCTTCAAAACTTTTCTACATAAATCGCAAAAAAAAAAACTCCAATCAAGCAAAATCCACCAAAATTGAAGGTAAAACTATCTTAATCAAACCAACTCAACGCTAAAAAAAACGACTAATCTAATTGTGTTTTTTTTTGTTCTAGTTAAAAAATTAGGGAATCAACTAATGTAATTGAGAGATTTGTTCTAATTAGAAAATTGAAAAATCGATTAATATAATTGTAGTGAGAATTTGTATGAGGTTCAAGAGAACACATAAAATTATGAGGTCTAACCACCTTACATTGTTAATGAAATAAAAGAAAAAGAGAAAAATCTTGATCTGTGTATTTTTCTGGCAACAAAAAAATAATTCAGGTATTTTGCTGGCAAAATTAAATAACTTAGGTTTTTTTAAGGAATTTTTCTAAAAATAGTAACGGCGTCAACGACGGCGTTAACGGCCGTAACGGAGACGAGAGGAAATTGGAAGAAAAAAATAGTTCGTGTTTTTTTTGTCAGGGGTAAATTAGTTGGGTTTTTTTCTGGCAAATATTAAATAGTTGGGGTTTTTTTTAGGAATTTTCCCTATAGTTAACCCAACAACTTATTCCTTCTCAATTTCATATCCTGAGCCAGCTGTTGAGAAGATCTTTCAAGGTGGTCGGTGGTGTTTTCTAAAGATGGACCTCTTAATTGTTGTAATGAATCGACAAAGAATCTTTGTCTATTTCTTCTTAATCTCACCTGCACGTCATCAGCGTTTGCTGGAGAGGATGAACGGAGAGCATACTTGAATGATTGAACTGTCTTGTGTTGCCTTTTAAATCATCCTAGTCCTCGATCAGTGAGAATGGTACTTATTAATTTTGATTACCATTTGGCTTATATATCTCTCTCTTCTAAACCTCTGTTTCTGATTGAAATGGCATTTCCTTGGCACAATGTGTTTGACATGTGGAGAAGCTTCTAGATGAGAGCATGTCTAAGATGAATGGAAGATGAAGCTTCAAAGATCAGTGGATTGACTAAGAGATAGTTTCTGGTTTTAAGAATATGTTTTGGTTGACGATGAAGCTTGAGAATAAGTTTTTTAGAACAAGTTTCTGGTTTTAAGAATATGTTTTGGTTTTGATTTGGAATCATACGTTCACAACACCATGTCACCATCCTTTCAATTTCTCTTTAGTACTTTGGTTTGAGATTATGTTCTAGTTTGAGTTCAATTTTAAGTTTGTTTTCCAATAATTCAGTATTAGTTTTATGTTTCAGTTTCACGTTATTTTATAGACATCTTGTTTTCTGTTTAAATTGAAGAGTTGATCAAACCCGAAATCTTCTTCAGATTTACTAAGAAAAGCTTGAAACAGAGGCACACATTTACAGCTTGTGGTTTAGGTGCTCATTGGACAGTTGGACTCGTGACACATTTTCTTATCAAACGTTATTGCCAAACGAGTTGCACTCAAGATCGTTCACACTTTATTACATGTGTGTTTCTTCTTTGCTTCAAAATGTTAGTTTAGTTACAGAGAAAGAGGAATCACGGCATAAGAAACAAAATCATTCTCGGTGGCAAGGTAATCATTCTCTTAATATTCAAAATTGTAAAGAAAAAAAATTCAAATACGATTATTTCCTAAGAAAAACAAAGAAGAGCTTGTCATCTAGTGTAGTACTTTGATGTAAAATGTCTACCCAGTCGCTCTGCATCGTTTTTTTCTTGAGCTGAGCACAATGGAGACATTGTTGTTGCGAGTAAGCATTGGAACCATCTGACGCAACTCTACAAAACATCTTCCTTTGATATAACCTTTCACCCTTGCTACAATCAACTCTAATGTCTTTGTGGTTTTAAGCACAAGTTGCATAAACGAAGCCACTTGCTTTAACTCTACATCAAACTCCGAGCTCCAGGATTGATCCCAATTCAAGCCATGAGAATCCAAGTATATGTCAATATGCTTTTCCTGTAACACAAGGTAAAAGATGTTCATATTTGCAAAACAACAATATCTAAGATTCTACAAAAGGCAAAGAGAAAGAAAATGATGATTCTTCGATGATTCAAAATTCGGCAATATATAGTTTGAGTGGTCAAGGGAAATAAAAGAGGCATAATTATGAAGAATAATACCGGTATGGGATATGTGCCCATTGGTTGTATGGTTAGCTTCTTCAAGTCAGGCGAGTTTTGTAGCACCCTTACTATACCGGCAATAACATATCGAGAGATCATTGTGTCAAGTGTCAAAGCTTTAAGCTTCAACTTTGGAAAAGAAACAACACGGAGCTCGGCAAGAGATAAAATCTATAACAAAAAGGCACAAGACAAATGAGTGTATACCAAAAACACAATAGTTTTCTTGAAAATCAGAGCCTAATTATGTAAACTAAATCAATAGGAAAAAAGTTGATTGGAGTGAAAACATATACCTTAAGAATGTTTGCCCCCAAAGTAAGCTTCTCCACATTCTGACACTTTTCTAGCATCTTTACCACCATGGTCTGATGAAAATCAACGTCCAGTTTATTATCAACTATTTTGAAAACGGCAATGTCTAGTTCAGCTTGGGATAAAGAGGAGACATCAACTAAAGCACATGGTTTCTCAGAGTTCCTCAATCTGAGACAACGGATATGTGGTGCAACGAGCTGTGTTGGCTCCGTAACACAATAACGCTTGATTTCTAATGTTAGTAGATGCGGTGATTTGCTGAGATCAAGAACCCTCAGTTTATTGCAGAAAAGCAAAGATAAGCTCTCGAGAACGGGACAACCAGATAGAATATTAGCAATAGATTCATCAGAGATGTTGCAATCATACAATGACAGGGTCTTAAGGGATATCCAAGACACAGAGCATTTGGGATTCATATCATTAGTGAAATACCTTAATTGAAGGTAGAGTTGTTTGAGAGAGGAATTGACGTAAAGGAAGTCAGGGATATCATATTCATCCTTATCGAGATACAGGGACAGATTCTCCACGTTTCGGGACACGGCGAAGTTGATCCAACTGTCGATGTCAGCAAGCTTGTCGGATCGGTTGGCACGGGAACGGAGGGAACGGGAACAGAGGGAACCGGAACAGATACGGAAACTCATCATCTTGGGAGCCCTGTAGCGATCTAGGATTCCGTTAATAGAAGCAGCATCTGGTCTATCCCCATAAAAGGTGAGGGACCATGTATCAGACCATAGATGCCTCCATCGCCTGGACAAGGCTGAAGTTCTGATGGCGAATCTGGTTGGAAGATAGGAGAGAATAAGTTGGAGAATATCATCATGCAAACTACTGATCAAGTCTCCAGCTTCTTTGGCGATGATGTCACTGTGGCGATTGCTAGGGCTTCCTGTAGCGGCCATGGCGGTGGCTCGTCCCTCATCCGCCATCTTTAACTGATGACGGCAAGCCCTCCTTATAAGAGGGTTCAGTCTTTGAGTTAGATTGGAACTCAAAGCCCTCCTTATTTATTGAGTACTCGCCGGCTACAACATCTCCAAGAACCCACCAAACCCTAATTTCCCAACCGTATACGTCAAGCATAAAGAGGAGGCTATAAACAAACAAAGAAGATGATGGTACAAAAATATATAATGGGCTATTTTAAGGCCCAGTGTGATCTACAATCTTTAAAACAGACCGAATAAATTTATGTTCCTTCCTTCTTATCTCGGTCAACATTTTCTAAAAGTCAAACACTTTTTTTTTTTTTTTTTGGTTCTTTCTTTTAGTGAAATTAATAACGTTTTTGGCTTTAAACCTTTTGTAAATTTCGTCTCTCCCAAATCAGATTCGATTGCGAGCTGAACAATGGAGGTCGAATTCAAAGCATTGCTCGATGATCTTGATGTCCTCGAGAAATCTCTCTCAGATCCGGCTCCGATTCACAAGGTGTGTTGGTTTTTTTATTGATAAATCTTGTGATTTATGGATTTCTGTTCCAATCCTGTCTTCTTTTTTCTTTATCTTTGTATTGATCTGGCTCTGAAATCTCCGAATTTTCGCATGTATCTCGATGATAATTTCGCTTATCAGCTTTTTCTTGTTGCATTGCTTATGTAATTCTCTCCTTGGGATTATTTGCAGCTCCGATCACATGTTGAGAATCTAGCCACTCTGTCTAAATGTAATCCTCACCGGCGTTCCAAAGTCAAGGTCTTGCATTATACTATACTCACAAATTCTTCTATTTTTTAATCTTCTGTGAAACGCTTCTGATTTCAAGGAGAACCTCTATATGCAGGAATTAAGCTCGGAAGTGGTAGATAATAATCCTTACAGTAGGCTTATGGCACTCCAGCGGATGGGTATTGTGGACAACTATGAGAGAATTAGAGAGTTTTCAGTCGCTATTGTTGTCAGTGTTTCTCTCCTTTTTTCCTCTGCTATATAACTAAGTTTGTGCATTCATTAATCTATATACATGGATTGTTTAAATGACAGGGAATTGGTGGTGTTGGAAGTGTTGCGGCTGAGATGCTGACCAGATGTGGTATTGGTCGTCTTTTGTTGTATGACTATGACACTGTGGAACTAGCTAACATGAATAGACTGTTTTTTCGACCTGATCAGGTATGTAACTCTCATTGAGTTTTGCAATATCTCTTCTCATCCAGTTTGTATTGTTTCTGATCTCCGGATAATTGTGACTTTAGGTTGGTATGACAAAGACTGATGCTGCTGTCCAGACCCTTGCAGAAATAAACCCTGACGTAGTACTTGAGGTATGTTTTCTACTTGATCATGAAGTTACACACATTTGGTACTAGTTTAAGTGGGAGATCTATGCTGTATGTATGTATGTATGTATGTATCCTTAGGCTCTTTCTGGGTAATTTATTATTTCTGCTGTTTACTGCGGAAAATTATTAACTTCACACCTACAGAATTCCTGAGTCATTAATTTAATGCTATTTCTATTTTTCTTCTTCTAGAGTTTCACAATGAACATAACAACAGTGCAAGGCTTTGAAACCTTCACGTCGAGCTTGACGAACAAGTCATTTTGTCCTAGCAAGGAGGGCGGCAGTGGTGTGGATCTTGTTTTGAGTTGTGTCGATAACTATGAAGCAAGGATGGCTGTCAACCAGGTAGCTGTTACTTCTTTCTCGGAAAAGGCCTTTTTGTTACAAATTCCACATAGTTCTTACTTCACCATCGAGCATTTTGATCTTACATTCTACATAATTCAATTAGTTATGAATGGAAAATATATAAAAATGTTGTAGATTGGCTCTGATTTTAGTTTCTTCTTATGAAATATAGGCATGCAATGAGTTACGTCAAACATGGATGGAGTCAGGTAAATAGTATGAAAAGCTAATAATTATATGTACTTCTTATTTTCATTTGTCTTTTGGCTAACAAAGAAGATGATATTTTGTGCAGGTGTATCCGAAGATGCTGTTTCAGGTCACATACAGCTCTTGGTTCCCGGAGAAACTGCTTGTTTTGCTTGTGCACCTCCCCTGGTATGTTTTTTTCCTTCTTATATCACTCTTACAGCTCTAACCTATCATACCCTGCCTTAATGCTTGAGGAATGTATCAGTGGAATATGGGTGAATTTAAGGATTTTGTTATCCAGGGTTTGTTAATACTACATTTGGATTTCCTCTAAACAATTTCTTTATTATTTCTGTGGTAGGTCGTGGCATCAGGAATTGATGAACGGACACTTAAGCGGGAAGGGGTCTGTGCTGCATCTCTGCCAACTACTATGGTAATTTTATACCACCTTACAATATGGTTGAACAAAATTTGGCTATGTTGACTATTTATCATATTTGCTGCTAATTCTTTTGTTTATTTAAGCTCTATCTATGTTCTAAGACTCTTGTTTGATTGTCAATTCAGGGTGTTGTTGCGGGTCTTTTGGTTCAAAACTCTCTCAAGTTCTTACTAAATTTTGGTGAAGTTTCTCCATACTTGGTAAAAGGCTTTGCTTCCTCTAGCTCTCCTCACATTCAACACTTCATGGTTTATCACAGAATCATTATCATTTGAATCAGTTAAAGCTTACTAGTTATATGCATGTTACTTGATCCCACAGGGTTACAATTCACTGAAGGATTTTTTCCCAACCATGAAAATGAGACCAAATCCACAATGCTCGAATGTAGCTTGTCTACAGCGGCAGGTAACTTGAGTAAATGCAACTACAAAACTATCTCACCTCGTCTTTGTTTTGCGACTTGGTTTCCATCCATTTTCTGGTGAAAAAAATAAAATCCCAAAATGCAGAAAGAATACATGCTTGCGAAACCAGAAAGGGACGCTGCTGCTAAAGCTAAGATGGAAGCTGATGCATCCACAGCTATTGATGAAGGTCCACTCCATGATGATAATGAGTGGAACATAAGGTAACAACTCAGTGAATTAGTTAAAAACCAAAGTTTGTGGTTTTTGGATCATATTTTTCTCCTTTCCACAGTCATATTAGCAACAAGAAATCTGATGTGTATCTCATGTCTTTTATCAGTGTTGTCGACGATGAAAATGAGAAGGATACTACAAAAGCTGCCTCAAGTTCAGGTAATTTCAACTTGGGACTCTTATGTGCTATCTATGTGAAAATGTAACAAACTTAAATCTAATTCTTCTAACGGTTATCTAAATTGATCTTGTGTTATGTTATAGATACATTGCCTGAAGGGCTTACTCGGGAGCTCCCAGTTGCAGATGAGTATGAGAAAGCAATAGCCATAGCCTCAGGGTCAGGAGAAACAGAGGAGGAAGATGACCTTGAAGATCTGAAGAAACAGCTCGAAGCTCTTAATGCTGCTTGAGACTTTTATGGAGGAGAGAATAGTTGTTTAGCAAATTTATACATGAAAGAGGCTACAAAGTGTATGCAAAAAAAAAAAAGTGTTGGGGTTGATAAATTGGATCTCATGGACATATAAACTTTTTGGATGATGACTTCTCCCGTTTTTTTTTTCTTTTTTACCAAAGACAAGAAAAAAAAAAAGATACAATTTTGAAGATGTTTCATGGTTTTGTTATTATGATCATCCGAACTAGAACTTAGAAATTCAAATGAGGAAAAGATTTGTCTAATGATGATGATCCAAGTTTGTTTTGTAATGTGTAAATCAGCTTTTTTTGAGGTACAGTATATTAATTGTGCGAAAAAATCAACTAAGATGACGTGTGAATCGGGAATTACAATTACGTTTATGTGTGGAGAACCAAATTATTATCTTTAACATTATATTATCACCAAAAGAACTGTCTTTTTTTTCCTTTTTATATCCCTAAAAGACTTTTTTACATTCGTTTATATCACAAAAACAGAGTTGTAAGATGATTCAGCTCCAATTGTTTTTTTTCCCAGTTATCGTTTGTCGAATTCATAGTTACTGTTAATTTAGTTAACTTCCGAAGACTTTGACCAACATTTAATCTTTTCTTAAATAATGTACAACTATTACATGATGATTCAACAAAGCAAAGAAAGAAAAGAAGCTTATGTCGTTTTTCTTAAAAATTCAACAAAACTTGGTCTGGACCGTTAGAACGCCACACGTGTCGACATAAATCCCGTACCACGCCTTTCGGCTGAAAATGTCCAAATTAATTTACAATTTTTTTAGTAAAAACTTTTGATCACTTTGATTGACTCATATAATTACTATATTATTTGTTTGGAATTTATTCTGGTGACGTAACCATTAATGTTCTATCCTCCACGCGGTTCTCATAAACCGACCTACTACCTTCTTTTATTTTTCCTTGATGTCTCTCTCTATATATTTACATACACACGCATTTGTACATAAATATTCAAAGATTAAAACATTCTTGATCGATTCAAAACATTGTTTTTCAGACAAATATTCATAAAATCTTTGCCTTAGATCGAAGTTCTTTACACTAATCGCTCCAAGATGAGTCAGTACGATCACAACCAATCTGCGGGTAAGAAAATTCCTCTGTTTTTTTTTTGTCTTTAATCATTTTCGTTAAATCTTAAGAATATTTTGTAAACTTTTTATGTAACGTACGTAGGAGCTAACCCACCGCCACCGACGTCTACCGGTCCATCACCACCACCGCCGATTGGTTACCCGACGAACCAACCGAGTCATGGTTCGGTAGCTCAGGGTAAAGTGGAAACCAAGTCTAAGGGCGACGGATTCTTTAAAGGCTGGTAAGTCATTATCATCATAATTATCCTTAATGGGCCGATATATTAAGCCCAAATAGCTTATTTCTTTTTTTCTGGAATTTTTGTTTGTAGTCTTGCGGCCATGTGTTGCTGTTGTGCCCTGGACATCTGCTTCTAAGCTATTTGGAATGGTTTATTTATGACGAGTGTATGTGAATGTGATGTGAATTATTTATTCTCTCCAGCCTTATTGTATAAATTCTATATTTTTTTGTTTATAAGTTTCTTGTAATACTTGGGATTCGAACATATTATGGTTTGTATTTGGACCTCTAGTATTTAAATTCATTTGTCTTGCTCTTGGATTTGTATAATTAATTAATAGCTTTGATTTTGTATGATTTATTCAATTATAACGATAGATAAATCTCATTATTACAACTTTATAAAGAAATCTCTTATAATCAAATAGCAATGGTTGCCTCTGCTTTACAAAATTATTAGGGTTAACATAAAACTAAAAGTCTTCGATTTTCTTCCAACTTTATAAAGAAATCTCTTATAATCAAATAGCAACAAACCTCTCCTGCTTTTTATTTTGGTTTTCAATCTAGCCGTCCGTCGTAGCAATTGGTTAATGGGATTCGGTTTGATCTGAACCGGCATGGTTAAGGTCGACCGGTTTTACCGTAACTTCGGCCATCAACTTGAAAACTCCTGTGAAGTCCTCGTCAAGCGGTCGTGTCACCTTATTAACGTACAAAATCAAGTCATTGACCAAGAACTGAGCCTCGTATGAATCTATTCCAGCATCCTCGACAAAGAATTCGTAGAGTTCTGCTTTCTCATAACAATCTTCGTCTTCCCAGATGAAATCATGGACCGAGGTTGATAAGAAGATCTCTAATGGAGAAGATCCTTTTCCGAGAACCTTGACCTCGACATGGACAAAAAAATCTTCAGCTTCTTCTGGTGGTTGGTATTTGATGTAATGGTCGAGTTTCGTTAGGTCATAGGGAGGAGTGTTATGATCAGCCATGGTTAGTTTTAGTTTCAGGAAGAGTTGTGATTTGTTTGTAAAACTGAGAGGTGTCTACTGTCTATATATAACCAAAACATTAGTCCTTTTTGGATTGAAATTGGTTTCTCTTTTTCCTTTTTTCGACTTCCTTATTTATCTAGTTATTTCCTTTTCTTTTAAGTTTCCTTTTTTCTTAAAACCCTAAATTAAGTACCTGCAAATCATATAATACAATATCTCGCTGAGATCTCAAAATAACAGAAAATCAGAAACAAAAGTAAATATTTCCATAAAACACGTGATAATATTCGCATTAATCTAACGGCTTTATCATTTTTCAATTTAATTTCGATGAACCATTTCCAATAATGTTAGAACTAATCAGATTCTTGTGCTGATACTGCAACATGTGGCTTGCTTGGCCAATAAGAAATAAAAGGATGGTAAAAGCAAAAAGTCCTAAAACCACGAAATAATCAAACAAAGAAATCTTTCGTGTATAAAACAATCAGAACCATAAAGAATTCAATAATTTTTCCCAAGAACGATACCTATAATGACAGACACAAGAGCCACTCCAAGTACGATCTTCAATGTCATGAGATGCGATGTTTCAGCTTTCTGAGTCGTAACATTTCCCGAAGAAGGCGAATGCGAAGGAGAAGCATCTAAGTTCTTCTTGCTCTTACGTTGCGTTGGAGTTGAGAAAGATAAGTCAATGCCTCGAGATTTCACTTCTACTTCCCCTTTTCCCGTAGACTCAGTTTCCTGCAAATTTGGTTTCTACATAAACAGAGCCTTTTTCCACATTTGTAACATGTAGTTTAACGAAAATGTGGTTATGTATACATGTCTGACCTTAGATTTAGCATCTGCAAGCTTCACTTTCTGTTCAAGCTCTTTCAACAGCGATTCGAGATGAAGAATTATAGATTTCTTAGCTTCAAGCTCTTCTTGTGATTTCTTTATTGTAGCTTCCAACTCCAAATGCTTCTGAGACACTGCTTCTTTCTGACTCCGCCACAAAATAAAAATCAGAACTCAACAATATAGCAAGCACAATTAGATTTCCCTTTTTAGCAACAGACTTGAGAGCTTAAAAATCCGAAACGGTTTTGCAAAGTTAGAAGAAGCTAAAGAAAGATTTGTTAACCTGTTCAGAAATAGCTGTGTGAGAAGCTTGAAGCTCTTTATGAAGCTGAATTGCTTGCTCGTCAAGCACATCTCGGTAACTCGCTTTATGTTCATGTTCCTGCAATTTTGAGGTCAATTCTGCAACTTTTTCAACCTGAGATAACAAAAACCAAGAAACATCATTAATCAGTGAGAGAGTATTCCAAATGTTAGCCAAATAGTATTACCTCTTCTTTCAACTGAGCTTCGACTTTTTTCAAATGTATTTCTACTTGTTCAAAGTTTGACTCCAACACCGACTTTTCAGCAGCCAGGACACTGAGCTTCTCGATTTCGCATACCATATCATCGGATTTAGTCGTGTCTTCTTGGAGTTGTTCTTGAAGCTTTACGAGCTCATTCTTTGTGCTCTGATATATCTCATTGACTTGGTTCTTCTCTTCTTCAAGAGAAGAGATCTACAACAGAACAAAGTGTCATTTTTTCATGATATCAGATGGTTTATTAATACCTAAAATAAAAGATTTTTCAGAATTTATGTCTACCTGTGATCGTAGTCTTTCTCTTTCAGAAGTAAGCTGTTTTGTTAGATCTTCTATGGTTGTCTGAAGCTCTTTAGCTTTTTGATCTTTTTCAGCCTCTAAAGCAGAGAGCTTTGCCTGAAAATCGTCGGTCTCTGACCCTTGATTTGCTAGTTTCTGGTTCAGCTTTATATTCACTTCAGCCAAATCTCCATTTTCTTTCTCAAGCTCTTCAATTGTAGATTCAAGAGTCTTAAGTTTCAGTAGAGCCTCTTCTAGCTCCACTTTTCTAGTATCAGCAACTCCAGATGCTTCAAGAACCTGCCTTTTGTGCGCCTCGATTAGGCTTTCATGGGATTTCAACTTTGTAATCAGGTCTTTAGCTTCTGTATCTTTCTGGTTTAACTTTTCGGTTGCGGCTTCTTTCTCAGAATCCAGATATCCTTCAAGTTCTTGAATCTTGATCTTGAGCTGGTTGTTTGTATCTGCTAGTAATTCATTCTCCGCAGACGACTGATCAAGTTCCTCTTGCAAAGAAAGTGATTGACTACATGCTTCAGTCAATTTCCCTTCATATACTCTGATTTTCTCCTCAAGATCCTCCATTGCCTTTTGAACTTTTAGCTCTGAGTGTTTATGCAAAGCTTCAAGCTCTATGCTTCTTGTGGTAGCTTCATTTATTTCTCTTGCTTGCTTCTCAAGTCTCTCTTCCGTGGATTTCAGCTTCTCCATCACAGCATTAAGATTTTCTGACAAGTCCCTCTCTTTCTCCATTGCAACGCTTAAAGCAGTTTCAAGACTCGAGTTTCTCACGTGGATTGCCTCCAAGTCTTTCAATTTTTCTTCTGCTTTCTCCAATTTTGACTGCGATGTTTTGAATAGACCTTCTAGTTCAACGCTGCGCTGAGTACTCACATTTCCAATATCTTCATGCTCTGCACCTTTCTGCAAAGCAATTCTCAAATCTTCTTCAAGCTCTAAGTTTCTCGCTGATGATTGGTTCAAAGACGACTCCAGCTTAGTTACCTTTTCTTGGTATTCCTGCATCTGACTAGTCGACTTTTTTTCTTCCTCTTCAGCTACTAACAAAGCAGATTTGAGTTCAGATACTTTCTCGGATAATTCCTCCAAAGATTTTAGTTTCTGCTCAAGAACAGAGTTTTGAGACAATGCTTGAGAAAGAAGAGAATCTGTTTTGGAGAATCCTTCATCTGAAATCTTCAGTTTCTCTTCAAGTTCGTCAGCATGTGATGCACTTTGCTTTTGCAGCTCTTCAAATCTCTCTGCCTCTAAAGCAGAACTTCTTAGCCTTTCCTCCAACTCTATCATCTTCTTTCTCGAGTTCTCAAGCTCTAGACCTAACGCATCAAAAGCTTCCTTAACTTCAGTTAGTTCCTTATGTTTAACATTATGTAACTGCAAAGCATCTTCCAAAGACTTCAACTGTGAGCTATGTCTTGCTTCCCCTTCAGAGATTTGTTCTTACAGCTTCTTTTTAACCAATTCAAGCTCTTCATGCTTCTTTTCGGTTTCTTCTAATCTCCCTTTCGTAGAAGAAAGGTCGTCCTTCAAAAGGGTATTCTCGGATTCATACCGTTTCAGTTCCACTGTTACTTTTCCCAATTCAAACTCCAATTCTTTTGCCTTTTCTTGCGATTCATGTAGTTCTCTTTGTGCACCGTTCGAGTTTCCTTCAATCAAGGCTTGCTTCTCTGCTTTGTCATCATCATCATACTTTGCGTTGATCCCTTCTTTCTCAACTTTTACGAATCCACCATCAAATGTTGTATCCTCCTCTTCTTTCTCCATGACAGTATCTTCCTTTGTCGCTTCTTCATTCACGACCTGTAATAAATCGTCACAATACTTTATCTTCTCCAAGAACGTAACTAGTAAATATACTTAATCTTCCTTTGCCATAGCTTCAATCCTACTTAAAAAGTCAATATAAGAAATTATTTCCTTGAGTTATACTTAATCTCGGAGTTATCGTTTTCCACGAATTATAGGAAACTTCGACAATTGATACAAATTATTTTGTATGACATCTATGTTCAATGAGCAAGGGAAAAATGTTTAAAACTTTAGCAAAATTTTCAGCTGTGTTACAAGGAAAGAAGATCATTACCTTAACTAGAGGGACCTCGGAACTCACTTTTGTTGCTTCTTCCATAACTATAATCAAGCAATTCTTCTTATTTTATGTTCTGCAACCGATGAAAAATTGAAGCTTTAAATTGGTGTAGAGAGTATACTTTGTATATATGAACGATATGTCACACGTTAAAAGTCTCAATAATCACCATATTTTTCGAATTTTGTTTCTTGCATCAACAAGTAATATGATCAAGTTCAGTTGAACAATCCAACCGCAACAATTTCATTTTTAAAGCGGAAAATAAAGTCCTAACTTGCAAGAAAACCAATTCCCCATAGATTATATATAATAACTAACACGATAATATCATCTCTTTGTGACGACAGAGTGCATATAAATTATTTTTATTTAATTTTATTGTAAATAGGATATTCAATGGTGGATTTGTTATTGCCAACAACATTCTTTCAAAGTATAATAAGAGAAAACAAAATTGTGAACGTTTGGAAGATCTCCAAATAAAGGTCAACGTTTCACAAGAGTTTAATCTGGTTTAATACCTTTATGATCATATAAATTACAATCTGATCAAACTTTATGGTGTCAATAAATAAAGACTACCCAACAAATAAAAAACATATTAAATGCCCACCAAACTAGTAGCTCTCTCTTAAGAAAATGTGGAATTCTAACCAAAAAAATTGATAGAAAAAATATTATCATAAATTCAAAAAAATAAAACATTATATTACTTGAAAGATCTAGCAGGCGAAAATAATTCAAAAATAAAAAAAAGAATTCGACTAAGATAAAAGACTCACAAAACCAGTTACAATAATAGATGATTAAAATAAGAAAAGAATCATGAGCAACGGCGACCAGATGCAGAGTGATGACACAAGTATATTATTTAAACAAGAAAAACATAGAAGAATTCATCCAAATTTGACATTTTGAAATGATTCAGTAGCTTATTATATCAAAACATATAATCCATGTATTAAATTTCAGCCAGAAATTTTCGGCCAGTTTTGGTTAAACACCAAAAGGTCCAAAACAAAGAAGATCGTTTACGAATTGCGTGGACGTCTAATCAAATTTCTATCCGTTATGTTAAACCAGGCTAAACCGGAATAGAGACAAGATAACCAAAGCATCTTTGATGGAATAAGAAATTGTAATTAAGCTTTCTTAGTCATTAACCTAGTTTTGTAGACGCTATCTATAGATAAAGACATCTCTTGAAAGTTGCACCTAAATCTTGAAAGAAATCATATCAAAGATTTACCACATATCAAGTTTTTAATAGTACAATCTAATAAGGAAAACTAATCAGCGATTAGTATAAAAAATGATTTGATCAAATAATTTGAGTTTCTCAAAGCTCTTCAAATATAACACAAAAGAGTAGAGAATTTGAGTTTGAACACTAATACTTGAAAATATGATCGATTGAAATCTGAAGTCGGAAATGTCACGATCTCCCGAGAATCAAAAACAGAGACGATTTAATTGGATCAAAGATCAAATATATAAATTTAAAAAAAAAAAAAAAAAACATAAGAGGTGGATATGCTTACTTGAAGCTGCTGAATCTAATGTGCTAATATGTATTTCTCTTTTCGGATTTTTTTCTAAAAATATGAAAATTGGAACAGATTTAGTCACAAAATGCAGAAAGAGAAGAAGATGAAGAGATGTAAATGGGAGAGAAAGAGTCTTCTCTTTTTTTATTTAAAGAGTTTATAAAGTGGAGAGGGAGTGGTGGGTCTCTTTGTATAATTATTGAAGGATAGTTATCTAAATTCCCATTATGCCCCTTCTTATATTCATATGGTTCGACATTGCTAACAAGTTTTTTCGGTGTTTATTCAGTAATTAATGATCCATATTCGGTGAATTATCATATGCGTTATTGACTAAGACAGTTAATAGACTAATAAATAGTCCATAATGGTAATACGTAATTACAAAATTTGGATCGGGTGTCAAAAAGAAACTCCATATATAACTGGTGAAATAACAAAACTTGCAAATATTGGGACCTTTTCTCTTCTTATATGGTGAACGTGTATGCGAGATAATATCTCAAACTGGATTTCTTTTCACGTGGGAATTTGATGAATCATGAACCTTCGTTTCTGTTTATCTTAGTTATTATAATTAGGCTGTGGACACTGGACGGTATATAGTCAAATAATCAATCAAACAAAGTTAAATGTGTACTCAACTTCCAAATAATGAGGCTTATTGAATTAGAGTAGTTGAACAGACTAATAAGAAAATCATTTCTAACTAAGTTTTTTGCTGTATTTCTTTTTGCAAAGTGAAACAATATAGCAACAAAACATTGGAGCTAACCGAGCTTTTGCTTGATAAATGGAATTAGTATAAAATTCTATAAAGTTGGTCATAGATGAATACTTTTTCTCTTTTTTTTTTTTTTTTTTTTTGTTATTTTCTGAATTTGGAGTGTATATCTAGAATAATAATCACTTTATTATAAACATGAAAGATGATATATAATTTATCACCTTTTTTTTTTTTTTTACATGTGAGATAAGTACGTAGTTTTAGTAACGACTATGGGATCTCAAAGTATTAGAATGATGAGTAAACTTTTTTGAATTTTTATAGTAAAGGCTATGAGCCTTTTTGTTAGGTCGATCGAGATAGTTTAATATTTGTAAGAAAGCAAACATTAGCAAAGGGTAATTTGCAAGGCATTCCAACAAATCCTTACACTTCATGCAATTTCATATTTTTTCCTTTTGTTCGTTTTAAATAACTGTCTCTTTTGCATCCTCCTATTCATTAAGTTCCTTTTATCCCTTCCCTCTCAAATCCCTGAAACAACCAACCCAAATTTCACAAATTATCTTCTATTTTCCAAATATCACTTATACCAAAAAATGAAATATAGAAGAATCTCATTATCTCTATCCATAGGCATTGCCATAATTGCCATTTTAGCATCCAAACCTCTCTTTAAAACACATCCTGAAGCTGTTATGCACAATCCTTTTGATATTTTACATGGTATCAAATCAATATCATATTCAGTCAAAAAATCCTTTTATGGTCACCATCATCATCATCATCATAATCATCATCATCACCATCATAGACCTTCGGATACCAAAAAAAAGGTATCAATATGTGACGATTTCCCTAAAAATATACCTCCATTGGACACCGACACAACGTCCTATCTCTGCGTGGATAAGAACGGTTGCTGCAATTTCACGACGGTGCAATCTGCCGTGGACGCAGTGGGGAATTTTAGTCAGAGAAGGAACGTGATTTGGATCAACTCCGGCATGTACTAGTATGTTGTTATCAAATGATTTAGTTACTACAAAAACAATTAAGAAATCTATGTACGTTAAGAAAATGATATACAATTATTGCATGGCAGTGAAAAAGTGGTGATTCCGAAGACTAAACCAAACATAACGTTGCAAGGACAAGGGTTCGAGACTACGGCCATAGCATGGAACGACACGGCCTACTCAGCTAATGGCACATTTTACTGTGCCTCGGTCCAAGTCTTCGGTTCTCAGTTCGTTGCGAAGAACATTAGTTTCATGGTAAATGAATTAGTTTATTAATTACCATTAACATATATACTTAAATAAAATCGTTAGAAGGGTGTTTTTTAAGATCAAACAGAGATGCACAGTCCGGTTCTGAGGTTCGGATTTGTTCGTTGTATTAAGTATCAATAGAAACCGGTACTCATTACTCAATTATTTCGAATTCATAGAAACTATAGCTTTAGTTTGAAGTATTTTTAAAAAGATGTTGGTTTAATCGGTTTGATATTTTATCTCTCAGCTTTTGCTCGGTTTGGTTACGATTTGGCCGAATAGGTAAAATGTGAAAACAAATCGGTTTACTTGAAACCAAATCGGTTTACTATCTTCTCTACTTGGTTTGGTTTACTATCTTTTCTACATGGTTTTCTAATAATTTTGTTGGTACGCTTTCGTTTAATTTAACCGGATTATGTATAACTAGTATCAACAAAACAAGCTACATTAAAGATAACTTTGGTGTTGTGTGTGATATATTTTGTGATAGAACGTGGCTCCGATACCAAAGCCAGGAGACGTAGGAGCTCAGGCGGTGGCGATAAGAATTGCCGGAGATGAATCAGCGTTTGTAGGATGCGGTTTCTTCGGAGCTCAAGACACTCTTCATGACGATAGAGGTCGTCATTACTTCAAAGATTGTTACATTCAAGGCTCCATTGATTTCATCTTCGGCAACGCTAAATCTCTCTATCAGGTAATGTATATATATTTAGGTTACTTTTTGTGTTTTGGTTTAATGGTCGCTAATTAGTGTTTGGATCCAATGTTAAATGTTTGATAAGTGTAGGACTGTCGAATAATATCAATGGCTAATCAAGTGAGCCCAGGGTCAAAAGCGGTCAACGGAGCCGTGACTGCAAACGGGCGTAGCTCCAAGGACGAGAACAGTGGCTTCTCCTTCGTCAACTGCACGATCGGTGGCACTGGTCACGTGTGGCTCGGTCGTGCATGGCGGCCTTACTCACGTGTGGTCTTCGTTTCCACTACCATGACCGATGTTATCGCACCTGAAGGCTGGAACAATTTCAACGATCCCTCTAGGGACGCGTAAGTACAAAACCCATTTTTTCGATAAAATTTGTTTTTGTTAAGGAATGTTGATTAGTAATCAACTGACATTGTTTGTTTAGGACTATATTTTATGGAGAATATAACTGTTCGGGTCCAGGAGCCGATATGTCAAAGAGGGCAGCATATGTGCAGAAGCTTAATGAGACTCAAGTTGCTCTATTAATTAACACGTCTTATATTGATGGAGATCAATGGTTACAGTTTTCTGACCTTTAAATAAAATATATCAATCAAAACTCGTTGGAATAAAAATAATAATTATCTTGAATCGGAACATATTATTGGACAAAAGTAACAATGATTTAAACTGAATCATTGCAGATTAAAGTTCAAAGTAGTTGAATTTCAGAAAAAAAAAATTTAAAAAGGAAATATTGTTTTCCTGCATAATTGGGTTCAAAATTCTTGCAACTTTTGTTTTGGTTTTCATTTTTGTAACATTTAATTTCTTACATTGTGGGACAAAACTATTTATAGATGTTACATAACCCAGCGATTACAAAGACTACGATCCAATTGATAATTATGTGGGAATTTATTAATATTGTATTAATGGGCCTTTATTAATAGATCTATTTAACTGTTGATGACAAACCAATTGTAGTACATAATGTTAGTAAACCGATAAAATTGTTCCGGATTCGCACCTTACCGGTTCGGTTTGGTTTGGTTCAGTTATATTAACACTGCATATATCCAGAGGAGTATTAAATTATTTCAAGAGCTTTAGAAGATTCAGTTATTTTGAACAAAACAAAACTATCGTCATTCGTCACAATCATACAAAGTTGTTGAAACTCAGTTTCAAAGTTTGACGAATTAATTATGAATGATTTGTCTCAGGAAAAACAAAATAGTCAAAGTGATTCTTTAAGTACTGGCCCATACATTAATCATCCGACGGCTTTAACCTTACATAGGGTGTGACACTCATATATGCTATTTGTCTCTTCTAGCTTGGGAGAGAAATAAAGTTTTATTCCTTATGTTTCATAATATAAGACGTTTTGAAGAAATTTTTTTGTTTCACAATATAAGTCGTTTTTAAGTTTCTATGCAAATTATATATTACTTTAATATTTTATGATTATTTTTATTATGCAGTCTCTTATATGATTGGCTAGATTTTTAAAAAGTAGATCTTCTTAATCAGCGTGCTTTTAGCTAAAACGTTTTATATTTTGAAAGGATGAAGTATCTTTTAATGAACCAATGGATATCAAAACTTGGATTTGAATACATGTAAACATAAGTCAATATTAAGTGACCAGACTTATCTTTACTAATGCCATAATCTGTTTTTTTGGTTGATAAATAAAACTTTGGGATGAATGATTCATTAGTTTTGTCATATTCCACAGTTACCAATCAGCAAATACATATTAAAGATTGGTCACTTCAGAAACTTGGAAGAGGGTCCTATATTGATTATTGTGATTAAACCCTCACACAACGACACTAAAGAGTTCAGATCGATGGTGGAGGAACTAGGAAGTCTTCGGTGATGTGAAGTGAAACCAACCAGGTTCGAAGAATCAAACCCATTTTGTTTTTTTTCTTCAAGAATCAAAGTCAGTCGGTGTGGACCATTTCACAACTCTTTTCAAAATTTGTGTATCAATAAAAGGTTTTGTTCTCTTCACTCTTCAGTGTTGTTTATAAATTAATGTTTTCATAAAAGTTTCAATAATATCGTTTGGTTGTACTTGTAGTAATATATTTGTATTGTAATTTAGTATATGTTTTAAGCGGAAAATTATCTTCATGTGCCGTTGACACAAGATTAAATTATCTTAGTATGTCTGTATTTTGAGGCACAAACTAATGATCAAATCATTAGAAAATGAAATATCCAATACTAAATTATGGGAAAGTTATAAATATACTTAGTGGATATAATTTTGTTTTTGTTGGTAGATAATGTCCCTCAAATCAAATCAGTGGTTCTTCTTTTCTTGTAAAAGGTTTTTTAGCATATTAGATGAGATCCACAGAAACAAATATCTACACATAATAAAAGCAATAATTCAATTCTGCTAAATAGTAAATCCACTGAAGAAGTTATAAATTCTAGAGATTTTGGGAAAACAAAACTCGTGATTTTTTTTGCTCTTCCAGTTGGACGAGATATTATCTCTTGTGATTTCTTTTGCTTTTTGTGATTTTAATTTCAAAATCCGATCCTATATGTTTGTGCATTGCGTCGCATATGCATGAGCAGTATACTGCACCCATGCCACAAGCAACTAGTACAACACATTCAATCTAATTAATATGTACGAAGTCCGAATGCAGTAAACATATGTAGTAATGTCACACGATTCTGAAAAAAAAAATCATGGCAAAGATGATATAAATGCCATTTTCATGATTTTGTCTTTGGTTTATTATGACTTACATCTTTTAAAAAAATCAATATATTAAAGGTAAGAGGAAAGAGATTTAGATAGGATTATTAAAATAACACGTAAGACATGGTAAAGTCCAAAATATGGAAAGGAATTGGGAAAATAGAGTCATAATATCGACATAATCAGAGGTTTAAGTCGGTTGACTTCACATGTGCTTAAGCAACGAGAGTAGTAGTCAACTTGCGTTTTAGATAGTTCCGTACTTTTATGTCGACATTCTCTCGACATAATTTTAAGGAGAAAAGGTTAAAGCTCTTTATTTTAATGGTTTATTAGATATAATCGTATTTAAAGTATTCACAAGAAAAACAGTTTCATAGTTACACGTAGCATGAATGAACGTAGTCTTTCTCACTTTTAATAATCTATTCCCTAAAGATTCGATTTTTCTTTTATTTCCACCCCTTAACGTAGCTCTCAACCGTTTGTAGTTTTGTACCATGTCTAAAAAAATTAAACAACATGTTCGATGACCGCATTCCCCCTTTTTTTCTTATCAATTTAAAATGATTTGTTGTTTAGATTCTTAGTGAATTTTGTTAAATGGGCCATTTGGTCATGGTAACCAAATGAATGCGAATAGTTGATTATTGTTTTATGTAATTTGAATGGATAAACAAAAATTCTGCTAAGTTTTTTTTTAGCTTTTCTTAACAACCTCGAGTAAGTTATTTTAAAATCATTTTTATTATTGAATCATATCAATTAAAAACTATTTATGAAATAGACAACTACATGTTCATCCGTCTTTTATTAAAATTTCGAAGGACAAATTTTTAGTTTCTAGGGACAAAAACAAATATGGACCTAATAATTATTCTTATCTCTTTTCTTCTTTGAATTATGGAGTCGATCTTGTTTGAGTTCCCACAGAATTGAAATACAAAAAAATAAATAAACCAAAAACACAAATATTTAAAAGTCAATTGATAAAAGTATATAATTTAAAAAACAATTAATACAAATAAGTCTTCCATTAGAATATCACCTGTTAAATCTTACATATCTATATAACTATAGCATACACTTTGAGATAAATACGAAGATCACGCCAATCTCCACATATATGATATATCGTCCTTTATTCTTCCATTTGTTCTTATTCTTCCACATCATCATCATCAGCATCATCACGAAGAAATTCAAATTAAAACTCAATCAATAAGATGAGAATCACACAAAACGGCAAGCTCTTTCTCTTTTTCTTCTTCATCTCCTTCCTCTTCATCGCCGTATCCGCCGGCGAGTCTAAATGCGAGTGTTCACACGAAGACGACGAAGCGAACAAAGCCGGAGCTAATAAATACAAGATCGCCGCAATACCTTCCGTTCTCACCGCCGGAGTTATAGGCGTTCTGTTTCCGTTACTAGGCAAGTTCTTCCCGTCGCTTAAACCGGAGACGACTTTCTTCTTCGTGACGAAAGCCTTCGCCGCCGGCGTAATCCTAGCAACGGGGTTTATGCATGTGTTGCCTGAAGGTTACGAGAAGCTGACGTCACCGTGTCTGAAAGGAGAAGCCTGGGAGTTTCCGTTCACTGGGTTTGTTGCAATGGTCGCTGCGATTTTGACTCTCTCCGTTGACTCGTTTGCCACGTCGTATTTCCATAGACTGCATTTCAAGACGTCTAAGAGGATTGGTGACGGTGAGGAACAAGGCGGTGGCGGTGGCGGTGGAGACGAGCTCGGTTTGCACGTGCATGCTCACGGTCACACGCACGGGATTGTTGGCGTGGAATCTGGTGAATCCGAAGTTCAGCTTCACCGGACTCGAGTTGTGGCACAGGTAATTAATTAATTACTTTAATTGACCTCTATTTTTCCCATATAAATTAACCTTTTTCTGGAAAAAAGTAAAATTAAGATATATGCCAAGTTGAGAATATGTCACTGAATTTTTATTAACCTATATATTTTGTCGTCAACTTCCATTTTTTTTTTTTTGTTAAAGAGTCGTCAACTTCCATTTAGCATGTGTACATGTAGTGAAAGAATAAAAAATTTATGCACCATATAAATTTTGTAAGAAATTTGAATATATATTTTAACTACTTTCATATCGTAATATTTTTCCAATAGTCCTTCTTTAACATAATTTTTTTATATTACTATGATACATACATTTATGATTAAGGTCCAGGCCGGTAAGAGATTCTTGGGAGAAATTTGACCACATATTAATTATAGGGTCCCCAAAAGATAAAGCCAGAAAAATCAACTCTTGCTCTAATATAGTAACTAATACGGTTTGTACCCTTTAATATAAGTTTAAAGTAAAAGTGAGTCAACTAAACGTCGGGAAACCTAAAATTAGATCAAGATGCAATCTTTTCGTGTGTATGAAATATGTATTAAAATATGAGATACAATAGTGATGGGTCCATATGAGGCTACATGAGTTTGCTTCTCTCTTTACGTAAATTTCGCATGGAGATTCCATAGAATCCTTTTATCTTTATGTAAAAAGTGAAGCTAATTACTTAATAATTTTATATAATACTATAATATAGGTGTTGGAAGTGGGAATAATAGTACACTCAGTGGTAATAGGAATATCACTGGGAGCATCACAAAGTCCAGACACTGCCAAAGCTCTCTTTGCTGCTTTAATGTTTCATCAATGCTTCGAAGGACTTGGTCTTGGTGGTTGCATCGCCCAGGTAAACTAGATATCCTCTTTGCTTTTCATAATCTTTTTTTGAATATACAAGAATCATATTTAAGATCAAAGATGTATAGTATTCATTGATATATATATATTTTTTTTTGTCGTGAGTATTCATTGATATTATATATTGAATTTTACATTAAATGTGTCGTCCATCTTTTCGGCTTTCTTTGACTTATCTCCCACTTGCAAATTTCAAACAGTGACTTCTTTTTTTTCCAACTCTTTGTTATACACATATTTGACCTTTTTTGTATTTCTTCATTAAATTACAAAAAAAAATCTTTAAATTGTACATTTTGACCAGACAGCTATTCAAATTAATTGGTAGAATGCATGCAAGAGTTGAATAATGGCTCTGAATACATATTTGGCAAAAGATGTACAGATAATCTATTGTTTTGTCAAACATTTGACATGATCCGATAAATATCATCTAATACACTCTAGATTATGGGAGTGAATGGAGACGTAAAAAAAAGCGGATTTCAGTTTGGTTTTTTGAAAACCACATAAAGTCACCAATCACATATCTTTTTCTATTATGTGCGGTTTTCAAAAAATATAGAAAAAAGTGTTTGCGTTTTTGCATATCAGGTATTAACCAGTGGACCGCACCTATTTTTTCAAACGATCAATTACCCAGCGGATTTACCAATTCCGCACAGGTTAAAACAGTTCTCTCTTTTTTTCTTTTTTATTTTTCTTTTTTCTTTCAACAGCTAACCTTTTTTTTTTTTTTTTTTTGGGCTGAAAGCTAACCTTCCTTTTTTCATTTAATTTATGATTAATAAAAAAAGCTAAAATTGCCTCCACACATTTTAACAAATAACAATATACTAAATATATATTTTTTAAAAAATTAACTTGTTAACAATTCTCATAAATATTTTACTTTGAAAATGTGTTCTTTTAGAAAAAAATTAACTTACTTCACTATTTCTTCATAAATTAGAAAATAACTAATTTTAGTAAAAAAAACAGATCTATAGAAGAAAAAAAGTTATAGTAAGATTTTATTAAACTATGGTTAAATTATTTCATATAAATTGTAGTAGTTATTAATAAATCAATATGAAATTCGCACCGCAAATAGTTTTTCACCAATCAAATTTTATTGTGTACCGCTTATTTTGTATAAACCGCATTTGTCCCGCAAACCGCATGTACCGCAGTTGATCCGTACCGCACTCTAAAACCGCTTTCCCCGCACAACCAAATACGCGGTCACCATTCGGACCCTATAAACATCAGACCTGGCTTACTTAGAGTAATAGTAATTATAAGCATATAAAAAGGTTTTATGTCTCTTAGCATAAGTTTCTTCTAAACCAAAATCTAAACTTATTATGGATGTAACGAATTCCTTTATAACTAAATAAGTGCATTCAAGGAAAATTTTATCTACTAAAATCATTTGGTTGATTAGATCACAAAGTTTATCTCAATTGCGTGTCTCTGATCATTCGAACTCTTATATATTGCAGGGAAATTTCAATTTTATGTCAATTACAATAATGTCGATCTTTTTCTCTGTAACGACGCCGGTCGGAATCGCGGTCGGAATGGCAATTTCAAGCTCTTATAACGAGTCGAGTCCAACGGCTCTGATCGTCCAAGGAGTCCTTAATGCTGCATCTGCAGGCATCCTCATCTATATGTCTCTAGTAGACTTTCTCGCAGCAGATTTTATGCACCCTAAGATGCAAAAAAACACTAGACTTCAAATCATGGCCCATATCTCTCTTCTTGTTGGAGCAGGGATTATGTCACTTTTAGCTAAATGGGCTTAAACGGCCTATGTACCATTATACATAGTTTGTCATGCAATCTTGGAATCTTGGATACGACTCTAATACAACACTAGTAGATTATACGAGTTGTAGTTTATAGTCTTGTTCATACAAGTTATATACCCTTCTCGTTTCATGACATATATTGGTTTTAAATTGTATTTTTGTTTCACAAAAAAATTATCGTTTTATTTCTTTTAATGTAGATTTGTAAACCAAATTCCAGCTTTAGTTTTCTAGTTGAAGAGAAAAACTTAAAGTGTATCAATAAAATGTATGTTCAAATATTTAAATTCCTTATTTGCTGGAGGTTACAAATTTACAAATCTCAAAACTTCATAATGACTGACGGCCGATTAGTTGAATTAAAAAAAAAAAAAACTAAAATCGTATGAAATATAACGAAAACGTTTACTGTTTGTTGACAAAATAAACGTTGACTATATATAGAAAATATCAAAATTAAAAAATATCATACGTATATAGATGAAAATTTGACAAATAGATGAAGATTGTATCTTAGTCATTTTTCCATTTTAAGACATAGGCTACAGTTCATAACATTACCAATTAGCTATAATTTCCTTAATTACGATGGATAAACTCAGGAAAAAAATCCTTATCCTTTAATGGCAATGGATAAAATAAGAAAAGAAAACAATTATTTGTTGCAAAAAATAGAATTTAATACGTTTTGTAATTGACTGATAAAATACGGTTAGAAAGCTTAACAGACACGAGACTTTGGATAAAACACAACTTAAGCCAAAACTGAAACGTTTTATCTGTTACAAACAAATAAAATAAAAATAATAATCGTATGGAAACGAATCAAAATTAAGCAAACAAAATCCTTTTGCATTAAATAAAATCGAAATTAAGCAAATTATATATATATGTGTATGTAAAATCAATGTCATAAATAATTAAAAAATTAACAGAGTAGTGTAATTATAATGTTTTTCTCTCTAATTCGTCAGTGTTATCGCTCATCTCCGGCAGATCGAAAGGAATCATCTTCTTCTTCAACCGCGATTGATACGCACGCGCGGACGACGACGACGACGATCTCTCGAAGTGTTAATCGCCACGCGCCGCGTTGTCCGGAGCAGAGAAGGATCGACGGAACACGGCGGTGGCGGCCGTCTCTTTCTGCCATTTCCGAAGACGCAGCATCCACCACCGTATTCGCCGGAGAGGCTGATCGCTCGTTTGGAAAAGTTGTAGCCAGAGAAACGACGTCGTTTTCCCGCAGAGATACGACACTGAAAAGAGCCTGGTAAAATTTATGATTTTTTTTCTATTTTTCAGCTTTTTAAAAATTCATTAATCAGGAGTTTTTTTTCACATATATGCAAAAATAATCCTCGATTTTATTATAGTTTAGTGTGTTTTCTTTGATGGCAATACCATTTCTTCTCAAATTGATATTCTTCATCAACCAAAAACAAATTGACATTTTTTTTTATTGAAATTAATTTTTATCAGCAAGTTTAGCGGTTAGTAAGATTTGGAATACTAATCAAACTCACACTAATCCGGATTAGAGTGGTTGACAAATTTAAAAATTTAAATTTAACTACTTTGTTTAGTCGATTTTAGTCCAACAGTTGTCTGATGTTGCATAGATCTGATGACAAAATCATAAAATATTTGTTTGATACTATATATGAGAAATATAATTGTGGTCTGAATGCAGGAGAAACACAATCACATACCGTATAGCATCGCCGGGTTACGCTCCTTCTCCGTTCATGTATTGAAATTAAAATGTGTATTCTACTTCACCTTCTGTAATGTCAAAGGTTTTTTATGTAGAACCCTCTTGTCACAGAATTATTTTATTGTACTGTAATTGTTTGGAAAGCCTTAATTGTATTATTAAAACGACATCCTTTTATATTTTAGCGGACCCATGTGTAATTTTTTTTTTTTTTTTTTTTTTTGGCACAATTCATGATTTCATATGGTTTTAAGTTTTAACGTTAGAGCTGTTTATGTGATGTTACAAGTTAGAGGCTATATTGCTGACTTTTTCTACAGATTTCGATGTTATCTAAGTTATATAGATCCAAGTTACTCTTGCTTAAAAAAGATAGTTCAAAGATGTTGGTGGACATTTCCTAACGATAGATGTCTTAATTTGTGCGTTTGGATTTTGGGGATTTCATGCGGATGATATGAAATTCTTCTCTCTGCATACAAATATCATCACAAAATGCCAAAGACATAATTTCTCTGAAAATTATCAAGCATTATCCGATTTAAAATGCTTGAAGCTCTAAATCCTTCAAGTATTGTTTTTGCTTGCCTGATGCGCTCCGTGTCAGTCTATTCTTAAGTTCCACATGTTTGTTACTGAAAAGTGTATTTATAGAAAAATACAAAAGCCAATAATTTAGCACTGTTAGGTAACATGTGTAATGATACATTACCATCATAGATATTATGATTTTATTACAAATGATGATTAATCTATCATATATATCTACATGCATCACATACGATTCTATAAATATGTGTATATATATATATATATATTAAAAAGACTACACTAATAATAATAAATTTGTTAACCAGAGTGAATTAAATTGTTTTGGATTGACTTTTTGTAATTCTATCTTCCATAACTGTTGTTAAGTATATATATATATTGGTAAAAAATATTATTGTTTTGTTACTTTAACTATATCTATTTATTTCTATTGGACAAGTGTCACGATTTGATTAGTATTAGATACATGTAAACATGTATAAGAATCTTATAACTTATAATTACCCCACATGTCATAATACTGTAGAACGATAATTAAAATAGTTAAGTTTAGAGAACATTTCTATTTAAAATGAAAAAAAAAAAAAACTTTCACACAAGATTCTCAATTTCACAAGGAATCCGATCGCTTCTTCTTGACTCACCTTTTTTCTTTTAACCTCTTGAAACAAGAAAACAAGAAGACAAACTTGTTTCATTATAGAAAATGGAAGAGGGGAACAAAACGGAGAAGAAAGGATGCTTAATCAGCGTCATCATTGTTTGCATTGTTTTGACTGTAGGCTTTGATATCGTCGCTGGTTTCGTCGGATTACAAGCCGAAGCCGCCCAACAAGATGTAAAATATATCTTCGTCAACAAATGATTATGATGATGATGATGACGTTTATGGTTGCATATTGTTTTTGGCAGGTGAAGCACAATAAGCTCGAGTGTCAAGCTCCAAGCAAAACAGCTTTCGTGTTAGGGATAATCGCAGTGTCATGTTTGGCAGCAGCTCATCTCAGTGCCAATGTGATCGGATGCTCTATCTCCAATCTATTCCAAGCACTCGGCGCCTTACCTAAGAATAAGATCACTACATACTTCAACATGACATGCCTTTGCATCAATTGGTAATAATTAATTTTTAATACTACTAATTGGCTAAAATGTCATGAGAAAAGATAAAACTAATAGATTTGCTGTAAACATATATATATCATGTTAACATAGAGAAACATCATGACATACACACAAAATCATTACGTTATCCGAAATTAAGCACATATATTTTAAAAGGTTAGAAATTAAAGCCTTCTTAAATTTTTTCATACAACTGATCTATAAAAGTAATTAGTAAGCTTAGGAAGATTTCACAAATTTTTAATCAGTATTTAAACATTCCACAATATGGTTTACAATTTGGCACAATGATTGTTGAGAACAGGATCGTAGGAATAGCGGGAGCATTGATCCTTGCGGTGGGGATATGGTCGAACAGAGAATCAAGATCAGAATGTGTATTCACAAACAAAGTCCATGTGTTTTCTATCGGGGGTAAAGTGTGTTTCCTTCATGCCATTGTCTCTGTCATATATTACGTATCGTCTATAGTAGCTAGGTGTGGTCATTTTAACCGAACCGAACCGAAACCGACCGAACCAACCGATCCAAACTGAACCAAAGTCTACACACAACCCATTAAACTTTTCTACAACCCGATTGGTTTGGTTGAACCGAACCAAACCAATAACCCAAACTGTTTTTTAATTTATAATTAATCTATTTAAATAAATAATGTCATAACTCTAAATACTAAATCCATGCTTAAATATTATTTTGTGAAATTTCATGTGGAAAACATTATAAACTGTGGAATTTTTTAATTTTGGTGAAATTTCTTCAATAATGTTTATGAATCTGTAAGGGAGATATAGGAGATGGATACAGATGAAAATCAAGGATAAAAATTTATAACAGTGAGATTCAAACTGTTTAAATGATATTTAGACTCGAAATGTTAAGAACTTTCTAACAAATCTTATTCTAAATTCCCTTTTATTTTTTTCTTATTCTAAATTCTAAACTTGAAAATTCGAAACTTTCGCCGATAGATTCGATTTTTTCGTCATATTTCTAACAAAGCTGTCTTTATATCGAAAAAGATTCCCACTATTTACCAATCTGCCACCCCAAAAACCCTATCAAGCAACAGAACAACCTATCTATATGCTTTAATTCATAATACCTTATCCATATTTACCACGTGTAAAAGTAACTCTTAGTATAAAAGAAAGACAAGCAAGAGAACTCAAATCTATAATGCCTTTCTTTCAAATCTAGAGATCTTAAATCTTACACTGTTCGTAATTTTTTTTTCTTTTTCAATTAAGTGCAAAAATGGGATCACCATTGTGCGATCATTTGGCTAGGCTTTGTCTTCAATGTGATTGGAAGTTACACTCTAAGAGTCCTGTAAACAATTACGATTATTCGCGGATTCCGTTGTGTAATAATTGCAATTCGCAGACCGCTGTTGTAGAATGCCTTGAACAAGGGTTGTGCCTATGCCAAACATGCTTTTCAAACCCTAATGTATTCTCACGTTTTATTCTTCTTCGAAACGGTTCTAGTGATAATTCAGCATATAATTGTCCACTGGATCTTGATTCCTCTTCTTCTTCTTCTTCATCTTCTTTTATTGATCGCAATTGGGCATTTTCCCTTGGTTCCTTACCTCTCAATAATGAGGATTCATCATCATCTTTTGAAATCCTTCAAATATTTGAAAATCATACAAAGAATTATAGTGATCAACATGTGCTGACGCTTCAGCCAGATTATTTGAACATTCCTAAGGTATCTATATATATTATAACTTCTTCGTTTTTTTGTTAAAGAGGGTTATTTATTTATTGTTATGATGATATATATGTTTGTTTAACTGGATTTATTGTTTCTTGTGTGTCACTTTACGCAGGATAGTTCATGCTCAAGCTTCAAAGGCTATGAAACTAAAGAAGATATAGAGAATGTTTTGCTCAACACTTTTGATGGTGCCGAGGCAGTATTAGACCTAAAAGAATATAACCTCGAGGAAGATTTGATCGTCACCAATCAACTAATCGATGAATTATCGAAACACAATTCAGAGATCACGCCTACCAATGTAAACGTCAGTTTAAATCTGTCTCATTTTAGTGTTTTGAATATCTTTAATTATGGTTGACTTATTAGTTTTTTGTTTTATTGTTATAGATTATACAATCTTCACCATCGGGTATGTCATCATCGCTTATACAAAAAGATTACAGCATTGAAGCTTTGGCTAACGCAAGTTCTCAAGATCATTATATAAATCAAATGATTGGCTCAAAAGCAAAGGAAGAGACCAATAATCTTGCCATATTCCCTAACCCTCTTGCTCAACTTGACTGTGGACAAACGCAGTTGATTTTTACCGATGAGATGTTACCATGGCAGAATCAAACATTTGTACCTGTCAAGAGATCTAGTCCACAAGATCGAGAAGAGGCGAAGAAGAGATATTTCGAAAAAAAGAAGAAACGCAAGTAGGTATTATACCTCCTGAATTATATTACGTACAGATAACTCAATGCAAGTGTATACGTACTTACAAGTTCAAATTGATTACAAATGCAGGTTTGGGAAGCAAATTAGATATGAATCTCGAAAATCTACAGCTGATACGAAGAGAAGAATGAAAGGAAGATTTACAAAAGCTGGTGCTGAGTACGATTATGACCCACGAGCTGATAATATTGACAAAGGAACTAATAAAATCACGAGCTAATGATAACCAAGCTCAATTTTGAGATACCAATAAGGAAATAAAGAGATGGTTGCAATCATATGATCATCATCATTATGGTTCCATGATTTTTTGGACTTTGTTTTGCCGAGGGTGTGTTGTAGTTCAGTGGTTTTGTCTGGTTGGTCGAGGTATCGATATCCACTGCATGCACACGCTTGAGGACTGCAAAAGGTTCACAGAGAGGTCAAAAACGATCTCTACTATAGTTTTGATTCCATTCAATAGATTTTTTGGGAGTTTCTATTATTATTATTTTTTTTTTGTTTTTTTTTTCCAAAAGGATTTTTATTTTTTAATTGCAGTTAATGTTAAGTTATCTTACCAAAAACTACAAATTAAGAAATTTTTTGGTTAGACTTTAACCGAAAGCGTTCGTGTTATGTTTGGTTTGGGTTTTGTTCGGTTAAGTTTTGAATCAGTTTTTGTTGGAGTTGGTTCTCAAAGACTCAAACCTGCAGCTTCGCAAGTTTTTGTCTTCCTCTCAAACGGTCAAACCATTGTATCTTCATGACTTCATCGTGTATCTATCTCTTGTACATCTATCTCTTAATCGATTGGTGGACGTATGGTATAATGTTAAGCAGAAAATAGTCCATTGGCTCCACGTGAGTCAGTAAATAAACCACCTTTTTGGCAAATTAAAGATAGCGTGTTCATGGCAATTTCATTTTTCCTAACGAGTTCTTTAATCATTTTTCACGAAACAACTTATGTCTTAGAAATATATTAATATCCCCTATGGCTCGGATCTTGTGACACTGCACATGTTGAGGGCAGCAAAATTTACGTTACTAAACGTTGCTTGTTTCGTCTCTTCTCAATATTTTAATGTGTGATAATATTATATGTGCTAATATTTAAGAAAATAAAATAAAATCACAGAACAATTATAAATCAAACCAAGCCTTAATTGGTCTAGTCCGATTTAAAATCATACAATTGATCCAAATAAAATTAGGAACGAGACATTAAATAAAATAGTTAATGTTTGGTACACATTTACCAAACATTAACTATTTATATATTTTTGTCAACTCACATCTAATAGACTATAGTTATATCATCATAAATCTAACAGAAATTTAATACTCATCCTTTTATACAAAACAAAAGCAGAAAAATCTCACTATTGTTATGGCAAAAATAAATTTTATATCTCTATCTCTATCGTTGTATGGAAATAAATTTATTGAGATCCATTACCAAAAATATAAGCATCTCCAATTAAGATGTACATTACTTTAAACTGAGAAAAATTGCAAAGTGGAGAAACAAGTAACGTATTAGTCCATAAAGACTCCCACACTCAAATTAGATTTTCTATAAACATAATTAAATAAGCTCCTTCTTTATTTACACCTTAGCATCCGTGCCTAATCACAAAGTCTAAAACCATTTTTTTAACATGACTCCATTCCTCTCCCTCTGATCAACCTTTCCTCCTCCACCGCCGCTACAAGCCTACAACCGCATATAGCCACCGTGACCACAACTTTAATATAGCCACCGTCTTACCATAATCCATTTAAGATCTTTCCGTTCATTTATATACATAAAAAGGTTATATATACCAAAATTTATCCTTCTTTAATTTATACCAAAAGTTGTCCTTCTTCATAGACATTTTTTTCTCTTTTGAACCGTAAGGAAATGTGTCTTCCATTTAGACCCGTCTCGAAAACCTATTCTTCCTCTTCTTCTTCTTCGACTATCGCGACGCGTATGATAAATTGCATACTGCTTTTTGTATTCATTTTCTTGGTCTACCTCCTCATCTCGGCCTCAAGGCTTCAATCTAAAGACTCTATTCATGCCTACTTCTCATCTTCTGATCAAGATCAATCTCAGATCCCAACAAAAATCGAGCACGTCGTATTTGGGATAGGCTCAAGCACGAACTCGTGGGGTGCACGTAGAGAATACGTTAAGCTTTGGTGGGATGCTCAGAAAATGAGAGGCTGCGTCTTTGTTGAGCGTCCCTTTCCGTCTTCGGAAAACCACACAGATTCAAATCTCCTTCCTCCGGTTTGTGTTTCCCAAGATACTTCCCGGTTCAGGTAAGGGAAGTTCAATTTGTTATTTTATCAGAAAAAAAGTTCAACTTTAATTTCATCATCAATTAAAAGTAGGTATAGTTTTGGTTTATTAGTTTAATAATCAGTGCTGTAACGTCTATTGCTTTACAAATATTTAATATATAATTTTTTTAAAATTTAAATATATTTTGACCTTTTTTTGTAACTTTATACCTAAAAATAAAATAATAAGTTGATATTTCTATTTTATTCCTTTATCAATTTAACTCGCAGAATAGATTATAATTAAATCGAATCGGCCTAATGAGACATGCGTCTACAGGTACACTTGGAGAGACGGTGACAGAAACGCGATCCGAATAGCCCGGTGCGTTCTAGAAACCGTCAGACTATTCAATACCTCCTCAAAAGAAGTAAGGTGGTACGTATTTGGAGACGACGACACGATTTTTATACCTGAAAATCTCGCTCGAACTCTCTCCAAATACGACCACACATCATGGTATTACATAGGATCAACCTCAGAGATTTATCACCAGAATTCAATGTTTGGACACAACATGGCGTTTGGCGGTGGAGGGTTCGCTTTAAGCAGCTCATTGGCTAATGTTTTAGCTAGAAATTTCGATTCTTGTATCGAACGGTATCCACATTTGTACGGAGGAGACTCTAGGGTTCATGTTTGTGTGCTTGAGCTTGGAGTTGGATTGTCTAAAGAACCTGGCTTCCATCAGGTTTTAAAGTTTCTATTTTTTTAATAATAGTTATTACTAGTTTTTTTGAAAAAAACTGATTAAATATATTTGTCTTCATTTTTAAGCAGTTTGATGTGAGAGGAAATGCATTAGGAATATTGACATCACATTCAATGAGACCGTTGGTGTCACTACACCACCTGGCTCACATTGACCCAATCTTTCCAAACTCAACCACTTTCTCCGCCGTCCGCCACCTCTTCTCAGCCGTAGAACTTGACCCTCTCCGTATATTTCAGCTCTCCATTTGCTACGACCGTTGGTACTCTTGGACCATCTCCGTCTCTTGGGGATATACTGTTCAGGTTAATATTTCTTTTTACTTTTTTTTTTTTTTAATTTCGACTTAAGTTTCTAATTCTAATATAAGATACGTAATTTTATGACTCCAATAACCTGATGTTATTAATTCAAAGTAAATTTTTGTTTCAAATGCTAGATTGATAGTAGGCATTTGTTTCTACCGGATGTTTTGCGGACACAAGAGACGTTTCGACCGTGGCAAGATTCCGGCGGATTGGCAAGTGTTTACATGTTCAACACAAGAGAGATTCATCCTGATCCTTGCCAACGACCTGTCACTTTCTACATGCAACATGTATCTTATAGTAGCCATAATGGAACCATTAAAAGTGTTTATAAGCAGGCTTATGAGAATTGTACATACGATCCCATTACATCGCCTCGCAAAATCAAAGAGATTAGAGTGTTTTCAAGAAGACTCGATCCCAACATCAAACAAGTAAATTATTCTATCTTTTCTATTTTTTTTTTATTTCTTGGGAAAAATATAATTAATAAAGCACTAGTTTTTGTTTAAGGTTAGATTTTTTTATTTTAACAAAATATAGGATAGATTAGGGCTGGGCATTCGGGTATGCGGGTCGGGTTCGGGTAAAACCCGATCGGGTACGGGTCTTTCGGGTAGAGGAGTTTAGGACCCAATAGGGTAAATCTAAAATATCGGTTCGGTTTCGGTTCGGATCTACTCGGGTTCGGGTCGGTTCGGGTTTAGATTTTTAGAACCGCTAAATACCCAAAAAAATCGGGTACCCATCGGGTTCGGGTATTTTATACCCAAATACCCAAAATTTTACCAAATACCCGAATTTTATCCGAAATTTTATCCTAATATCCGAATTTTATCCGCAATTTTACTCTAATATCCGAGTTTCACCCGAAAATTTATCCGAATAACCGGAATTTTTTCCAAATATTTAAAAAATTTACAAGCATCTCGCGTATAAATATATTTTATCTTAAATATTTAAATATAAGTGCATTTAATTTTTGGTAACTATTCTCGGATATTTAGATATAAATGTATTTAGCTCAAATATTACATATATAAAAAGTTTTATATGTATAAGTATATGTAATTTCGGGTAATCGGGTACCCGTTCGGGTATCGGGTTCGGATCGGGTTTTACCCTATACCCACGGGTACGACAATACAAGACCCAATAGGGTAAATAGCTAATACCCGTACCCGCCCCGAACCGGTTTTTTCGGGTCGGTTTCGGTTCGGGTACTCGGATACGGTTTTTTTTGCCCAGGCCTAGGATAGATAGTATAATTTTGGCCATAGTGAAATACATTTTCTAGATTAGTAATATTTGTTGAAATATCAATTACTATGGTTTCTTTACCTAGAGATACATAGAGAAAATATGTCTTAATTTTTTTTTTCTTTCAAAATAGCACCCTAAAAATATAGTATTTCGTATAGCTTTTTGCTTCTTCCTTACTTAGATTTAAGTTTGTTTTATCTTAACAAAACCAATATTTTGAATGCGGTAGTTGAAAGCTCCCAGAAGACAGTGTTGTGATATTTTACCAACTTCTTCCACTGGTGGCAACATAATGGAAATTGGACTGCGAGAGTGCAAAGAGGATGAGTTTATCTATATACATCCCTAATTTCACCATAATTATTTATATATTGCCATCCATTTTTGAACCTAATTATAGTTTTTTTTTTGTTATGTATATTTAATTAACATTAAGTTGTTAATTGGCTGGTTGCCTTTCAATTTTTGGTGCATTTTAGTCACAAATTTGTGATTACTTTGTGAAAGTTCTTTAAACATGACATGCAATCGATTAAAACTAGGGTGGCCCTAAACTGAAATGGATGAAAATGACATTATACTCAAAATTAGGCTACCTACCTAATTCGTACCCTAGCTAGATTTAATATATTTCCAATTGTATCCACTAATAAAATATAAAAATTAAGAATGATAATTTACTTCTATTACAAGCTAAGAATCCAAGATGATTTTTCAGTCTCTCACTTTTACAGTTTGTTTCCCTTTTAAAAGCTAGAATCTTCAAACAGAAGTGTAGATGTGCATACAGTGGTATCAAGTGATCACATTCACACACTTGTCAATTCATAGAATTTCATGAAATTTGAGAAAAATCTGAACATCAATGTTAACATTCATAGAATTTCATTTTTTCCAAGTTTACTAATGGAAAATATTCTTTCACCAAAAAAAAAGAAAAGGAACTGAGCCAAAATAAAATAAAAAAAGGAAAAACAAATTTAAATGCGACCGTATTGACCCGGGCCAATCACAAATCCGGTTAACCGGTTAAAGTATAATTGGAAATTAATAGTAAATTGATTAATGTAATTTAATTAAGTACTAATTAGACGACTTTCCCACCGTGTTATACCTTGCCTTGTTTCTTTCTTAGAGATAATCAGATAACTAACCATTTGCGTGATCTCAATCTTTATCTTCGCCCTCCGAAATCTTCATAATTACTAAATCTGCCATCATCTCCTCGATTTCGATGACGATAGAGCCGACGCAATCATCGCCGTCGTCGGAGCCGGATGTTCACTCTGGCGAGGACTTCGTTCACATCGATGACCCTAGGCCTACCGGCGATATCTCGTTAAGCGACAGCATAGTGAATGTGGACAAGGATGAACTGCTCGACGAAGCGGCGGAGGAAGAATTTAGAGGCTCCGATTCCGTTTTTAGCGGCGGTGATGGCGGTGGAGCGGATGATGATGGCGGCGAGTGTTCATCGGAGACGATTAAAGTGGAGCTACCGGAGGATTTGGCGAAAAGCGTTGTGATTCTGACGTGCGAGTCCACAGCGGATGGTGGATCTTGCGATGTGTACTTGGTTGGGACTGCTCATGTATCAAAGGTAGTCCTCGTTCGATTTCGTTTGTTTCTTAATTTGCAAAGGAGCTGTCTTGGAATTAAAGTAGGATTGGTAATGGTAACTAGTGAACGATTCAGAGAAAGCTGAAATTGTATGTGAAATTCAAGAAATCTATCAAACCTTTTGGGGAAATAATGCTGAATTCGTGTTTTTGGTTGTGTTAGAACAGTTACCGAAAATGGAGTTAGGGTTTTTGGATTTAGTAATAAATCTTTAGCTTCTGGAAAAAATTGCTAAATTCAGCATGATTGGGTTTTGTTTGATTGTTTAGGCCAGAAAAAAAAATGCTTAGCTCTTTGTTTCGGATTAGCATTCAGTCTTTCATCGTGGAATAATCCTGTATATCCTTGCTTGCAGCAATCCTGTCTTGAAGTTGAAGCAATAATCAGCATCTTGAAACCAGAGGTTCTTTTCTTTAGCTGTTCAATAAGCACTGAAGTTTGACATCTTTATGTTGTCTATGTTCAGGTCTAAGCAAGTTGTTGATATCACAGGTTGTCTTCGTGGAGTTGTGTTCGAGCCGATTGTCTGTTCTCAAACCTCAGACTTTGAAGGTTTTTTTGATTCTGCTTCTTCTTTCCTATTTGGTTTGCTTCTTTGTATATTATGGCCATCTATCATTGTGTGAGATTCTGGAAAAGAATGTGTATCATTGCTACCTCTTTTGGTAGAAGATGATTAATTTAATTGGTGTCTCTGTCGATATTTATAATGATTAGTCTTGCCAAATTTTCACAAAGCAGAGGCTGTCTGTTTCTTAAATGAAATTTCTAAGATGCATGTACGTCACTTGCTCTATATGCTATGCTTTGGTGATGATATATCACAGATCCAAGTACTTATACACGGTTCTAGCCCTTTTGCTTATGCTGAAATGGTACTATATTTGCTTTTCTAGATTCCAACCATGTCGGACATGATAGAAAGTTGGAAGCAGAAACAGAACACATTTGGAATACTTTATGGATGGTTTCTTGCAAAGGCAGGTTTCGTTAGTCAAATTTTTTGTTGATGGAAGCTTTAACCGTCTGAACCAAAAATTTACATCCTTTACTTCTGTTAGATCGCCAGTCATCTTGAGGTTTTTCCTGGTGCTGAGTTTCGTGTGGCGTATGAAGAGGCGATTAAATATGGCGGCAAGGTGATACTTGGTGATCGTCCTGTACAGGTGATATGTTTGTCCGTAGTTTCAAAACATTATTTTAGTAATGTTATGCATCTTATAACATGGAGTCGCATCTCTAACACTTCATGGGCTTATATCTTTCAAAAGCATTCCTCAGTATACTCACTAAATCTGTATTTTTTCGAAGCAGATTACGTTAAAAAGAACATGGGCCAAGATGCCTCTATGGCACAAGGTAAAGTTCTTATACTCCATACTGTTTCAAGCTGTCTTCTTGCCGAGCGCTGAGGAACTTGAGAAAATGGTAAGTCTTAGTGTATTCTTTTTTATTTCCCGTTTCTGCACATGTAAATGAGTGTGATTTGTCGTGACAAGTATACATTGATTCTGAATATCGATCAATGGTAAATTGGACTGATTCAGCTGAAAGATATGGACAATGTGGATATGGTGACTTTGGTAATTCAAGAAATGAGCAAGGAATTTCCAACTCTCATGGATACAATTGTGCATGAGCGAGACCAGTTAGTATTCTCTAATCCCTCTATGTAGTTTAAGAAATACTGGTAGTAGCAAATATAGAGAAGATTTAACGATTTTTCATCGACTTCACAACTAAAATATCTCCTGATATATGAAATTTGCAGGTACATGGCATCCTCGTTGCTGAGAGTTGCAAGTGAGCATAGTTCGGTTGTGGCAGTTATCGGAAAAGGGCATATTAATGGAATTAAGAAGAATTGGAAGCAACCTATAACGGTTTGTTGTCATGTCAATATCTGAATGAAGGAGCTTATTTTGTTATGGATTGTGCTTTATGTGTTCGTTTCATGGAATTTGCAGATGAATGATCTAATGGAGATACCGAGCGACAAGTCAGTATTTACGATAAAGAGGATAATATCATCAGTGGCAATTGCAGTTGCAGGGACAGCTATAGTTTCGGGTATACTTCTTGCAAGAAGAAGGTGAAAAATATTGTAATTGGGGCAGAGTTTTTCTCTTCATTCTCCTGAGCCATACCAAGAAATGAACTTTTACACTCGTTTACTCTTTCTTTCTTTTTTTTTCTCACTTTTGTACGTTTGTTGATGAAAATAATAAAGCTTTTTTTTTTTTGGTCTTTCGGTATTTTCTTTAGATAATTGGAAGTTAGTAATCCGAGTTTGAGCTAGGGCCTAGGGGTAGGTGAAAATACTCGTGTCAAAACTGCCACTAAAAGCAATAAAACAATCTGGATCCTCTCTCGGTTGCAGATAACTCTATCCACAAAATGGCAGTGTTACTCAAACCAACTAAAATGTCATGATTCCTACACGACAAGCCAAATATGTAAAAAACACACTAATATTTTTATTTCTTTATTGACGAACAAAATCCATACACACAAATCCCAAAAGGCCACATCACAATCATCATCTTTTATTATCAACTACCCCACAAACTCCCAAATCTTTTACATATTAACCCCTTAACTATTTGCAACGGAACATTGCCTCCTAACCACTCCAGCTGAACCAGTCTTGACATTGATCCGACCCATTTTCTCCATCGACTTGGCAAACTCAGAGAAGAAACTCTCCACCGAACCCGTCAAGATCCGGTTTATGTTTGAGAGTGTTGTGGGGTTAGTGGTGAGAGCAGAGTCTGACTGAAACAGACCTCTACGTTTGAGAACGAGCTGGTAATAACTAAGATCAAATGTTTTGCGGCTCCCTGGATCCATCTCAACGATGGTCTTGTTGTCGTTGAGGCTAGGACATTTCCTAGACTTGAGATTCGCTGCGTATGCGCTGTCTAAGGCTGGATCTTGGTCTCCACGACCACTGAAATTGTAGAGACGGTTTGTGAAAGACGAGCAGTGAGATACACCGATAGTGTGAGCCCCTGTTTTAACACAATTATTTCTTTTAAATATATCTTGGAACTAGGTTGAAATGTATTCTATATAAGAAAAAATACTTTTCTAATTTTCTTTATTGAAACAATAATAATAATTATTTTTTGGTTATTGTGAAACCATCATTTTTAGTCCTTTTTTGTGTCTATGATTTACACATGTTTTATAAAAATCTTAAACGCAACTATTTTCTTTTAAAACACAATAATTTAATTCTTAGCAATGTGTGGAGTGAGTTTTAGGCTTTACCGGAGAGTAAAACAAGGTCCTTAAGATCAAGTCCTTGGTTTGCAAAGAGTGTCTGAAGATTAGTAATATTACTAGTCGGAGGAGGAATGTTGGCTAATGCCTCCGATGCGTTTGATATCCTCCCATCTCTTCTCCCGGTCGGTACACTCCAATTCGGTCCTCCCTACAACATATGCAAAGACACATTTATGATGATAAATACTTATCATTTATATTTTACAATGATGTTACGTGAATATGATTCGCTTACGGTGAAAACGACAGCGTCACGAGATGCTAGAGCGATAATATCAGCGCAAGAGACAATTCCAGGGCACTGAGCTTCAAGCACGGCTTTGATTGCGTCGATGAAGCCAAACCCTCGAACCGTTAGGTTAGGAGTTGCGTCTCTCTCTGCGTTTCCAGACGTTGAGTTTATAAGCACTGATCCATCACAACCCTACATGTACATGTATATATATATATATATATATATCCGTGATTAAGAATGATCCACAATATAAAGAAAACAAAAAGAGGGAAAAGAAGAGTTTACTCGGACAAAACAGTCATGGAAATGCATTCTAATGAGAGCAGCAGCAAGAGAAGGAGCATTAGAAATGTGGTTTGAAACAAAATCTTGAACAATCTTTTCGGCATTAGGACAAGAATTGGCATAGAAATTCATCTGCAATTGAGCTTGGATCGGTCCAACCATTCCCACAAGAAAGAAAGAGAGTGAAAGAGATATAGCTCTCAGGTAATTCATCTTTAAATTTTGGGTTTTTGAAACTCTTGTCTGTTTGGGAGGATTATGTTGTGTGATGTGTATTGAGACGTTAACATAGGTTTATATAGAAGGTTTTCTATGTTTGGTAGTATAGGTGGGTCCATCTAAGCTAACTAACATGTGCTCTTTTTCTATTTTATTTTTCTGACTCATAATCAGCGCCACTCACAATGAAAATTTGAAATTTTTTATTCATAATTACAAAAATGGTTTTATAGTACTCTTTACAGTCTTACTAATGAAGAGATAATGTTTCACTTCAATAAGGCAAGTTGGAAAGTTTTTTTTTTAAGTTAACTAAAGTTTACGTTTTTCCACTTATATTTATTTTCCTATAATTTGTAAATTTGTATGTTCCACAACACGTAGCGAATTTGTTTTCTAATATTATTAAAAAAAAATCGAAAATATACTCTGATATATACTAAAACGCAAATTTCAAATCCTCTAACTAACTATATCTACTTATAGTTATAAAATAAGTAATTTCTTTTGTCAACTGTGATAAAATAAGTATTAGATATGCTAAAAGATGGTGAATGTTTGGTCCATAAATCAAGCTATAGTAAGTAAATATCATAGAAAGTCTAGCTAAACTTATTTGATTGTATTGACCGTTATGATGTCATAATCAACGATTTCTGTTCTGTTATATACTAAAACGCAATAGATTGTGTTAAGCGTTATGATGTCATAATCATCAATAACAAAAAGTCATGCCAACAGTAGGTTATAGTAAGTTAGTAACATAGAAAGATTAGCTGGATCTAATTTAAGTATTGAGCGTTATGATGTCATAATCAACAACAACAACAACCAAAAAATTATATATAATTGAGACTATATGAAATCTTATTTTAGATTGATTTATTTTAGTCCAGTACTAGAATTTGTAATCTTTTTTTTTTTTTTTTTCTGAATTTTTAATCTTGAATACTCTAAATTTTTGGATGATCAATTGCCTCAAGACAAAAAGTACTTTAATTTTTCACAAAAGAACAACTCATTTCATTTTATTTTTTCTGTTTATAAACAACTCGTTTTGGCTGACATCTTCCCATATATATATATAAAAAACAACTCGTTTCGTGATATCACTGATCTTTTTCAATTCCTAAACTACAGTACGTACTCGACCTAATCCCTAGTAGTACAACTAAAACAGCTGCAAACGAACACTTACTATTGAGCAAGAGAGTATTCCAAGATTATTATTCTTGTTTTATATTTTTAATTGTTCCTTGATGTTAGAAGTATGTAAGATTGACTGAGATTTGGTAGAGATACTAATTTGAAATTTCAGATGCTAATTATATGGTCGGTCGTAGTAAAATTAATTTGTTTTGTTAAGCTTATTACTTATATATATGTATGAACTGTAGGAAACGTAGTCTAATAGTTTGTGATATAGACTGTTAGTGGCTTAATGCTGCCGTTATATCAACTATCCGAATTCAATCTCGTAATGCATGTTTTGAACTGAAATAAATTATTAAATAAATTTTATAAACATTTTTCTTTTAAAATATTTTAATAGTATAAGTCATAACTGATACGTTAGAACATAATGCTAATATATATGTCCAACTTTACAACGTATATATTTTTGGAATTTTTGATTTGTCCTAAATTGTTGTTTCTTATATCTTGATCCCCAATCTTTGTTTGTAACATGCAAAATGATATTAAAACATTGTATTATAAGGTGAAGTAGAGAACAAATTAAAGTTTCACACAACTGCTCTCTACAGAATTGAATTATTCATAAACCGACAAGAGCATTTCAACTGCTCAATTTATTTTCCTATCAGAAGAAGTGGCGTTTCGTCAGATTACCACACCAATTTATTTCTTAAAGTCGGTTAAAACGTTGGCATCTTCCAAAAACTGATATATGTGGATTTTACTAAAAGATATTACCCATGATTTTAAACAAACAAAAAAAATCTCGAGAGGAAATTATTTTGATATTTATCATTGAAAAATAAGGAGGCTATAGAAGATATGGATAAATGAATCTTTGAGTTCTAAACTGGTTTAGAAATATTTTGAAAAAAGGTTTATACCTTTAATTTATAAGGTCGGCAAATCTGTTATGAATATGTGGATTTCTGGTCGTGTCGGCCGGTCCTGCCTAATTCTTCATAGTATTTTTTTTTGTTTGTATATTTTACTATATTATATACCATTTTTCAATTTGTTTTAAAAATTTTGTGGATAAGTTCGTTATTTTTCTAGCGACTAAGTAAAAGGCCATCCTCCATTACCTGACGTCGAGTCGACGGGGATAATCACGGAACGTGTGTTTCCACACACGTATAGGATATATTCAAGTTTGCCCAAAGAAATTACTTGAGACTTTAATTAGCAAGTTGGATCTTATAAGTTACTGAAAAGTGAAAACAGATATATCTTATGTTATTTTATAAGTTGTCATTTGAAACATGTCAACTAGAAGATAACGTGCAAGACATTCGTGCATGTCTAATGTACTCCGTTTTGGAATGCTTTCACAGGGAATTTTGAATAAATTTTTTTACTATTCTCGAAGTCTTCATTTTCTTGGAAGAAATGGAGGCCTGCAATGCCACTGCAAATTGGTTGTATCTAAATACCATTTGACATTTCTCTATATGGAATGGATGTTTAATGTTTTCAACATCTTTGATTTTCTATAAACAGCATGAAATTTTCTCCATCCTCTCCATCTTCAAAATTAACTCGTTCTGACCTTTCTTGGGTAACACTCAACAGAGCTAACAAGAGAAGAGAAAACAGAGCTAACAAGAGAAGAGAAGAGAAGAGAAGAGAGAGAGAGTAATGGCGATAAAGAACCTTCTTGCTCTTGTGGTTCTTCTAAATGTCCTTGGAGTATCAGTTGCTCAAAAGGGTCTTGACCTTAACTATTACAAACACAGGTGTCCTGACGTTGAAGCTATTGTCCTCCGTGTCACAGTTCAATATGTTTCTCGCCAGCCGAGTCTTGCTGCCGCGCTTCTAAGGTTGCATTTTCATGATTGTTTCGTCAGAGTAGGTTTGCTTCTCTGAGACTATACTTAGTAAATATATGTGTGGAAAACACTGCTAACATTTTTGATGGTTCATGTAGGGATGTGATGGTTCCGTTCTTCTAAGATCTCGAGACAATGATGCGGAAATAAACGCTCTCCCCAGCCTGTCCCTTAGAGGCTTTGAAGTGGTCGATGCCGCCAAGTCAGCGGTCGAGAAGAAATGTCCCGGAGTGGTTTCTTGCGCTGATATTCTCGCCTTAGTGGCGAGAGACGCCGTCTCAGTGGTACATAACATTTCATAATGGACAGATTCTTCTCATTCCAAATCATTGAAATTAGAGTACTAAAACTTCTTTTTTTTTTTGCCTTTTCACAGATCAACGGACCAAGTTGGCCAGTTCCATTGGGTCGGAGGGATGGTCGCATCTCAAGACGTTCCGAGGTTAACTTACCTTCGCCTTTCGCTGGAATAGCTGCCCTGAAACAGGGCTTCTTCGCCAAGGGTCTTAACACTACAGACCTCGTCGTTCTCTCAGGTTCTACAAATACCTTATACATATAGTGCAATCTAAAAGTTACCAACTTGAATAATATATAATGGTTTCTTGGGCAGGAGGTCACACCATTGGAATCTCTAATTGCGGTCTCATCAACAAGCGTATCTACAACTTTACGGGCAAAGGCGATTTTGACCCGTCCATGAATCCGAGCTACGTCAGGAAATTGAAGAAAAGGTGCAAGCCTAATGATTTTAAGACCCCAGTGGAGATGGACCCAGGCAGTGTCAAGAAGTTCAACTCTCACTACTTCGACAATGTGGCTCAAAAGAAGGGTTTGTTCACATCTGACTCAACACTTCTCGATGATCCTGAGACCAAAAGCTATATCGATAGACAGGTTGCTACCGCTGGCTCTTCATTCCCCAAAGATTTCTCCGATTCGATGGTCAAACTTGGTTTCGTCCAAATTCTTACCGGGGAAAAGGGTGAGATCAGGAAGAGATGCGCCTTCGTTAAACCCAAAACTAAAGAGACACTCACATTTCTTTGAAAAATATATTAAATAATTGTTTTACCTTGATTATGATTTCAGTTCGATTGCAAAATATATTGTGCTTGTGTTTGTTTTTTTTCTTTGTGCAACTGAAAAATTTATTGTGCCTGTGTCTGTGTGCAACTGAAAGAATTTACTGTTTATGTTTGCATTTCACGTTTGCTGTTCTACTTATATAATTACAAAATTCTAAATAGGACAAGGAGACAGAGGATGGAGAAAGAGAAAATGATGGAACAGAAGAAAAGATAATGCAGACGGCAGACCGAGAAGACGAATCTGTGTTTCACAGACACATGACAACAAATTATTTAGAGTTGATGAAAATGAATACCTCGTTGATGTATCAAATCAAACAAATAGTAAATAGGGTCTCAATGGAAGTGAGAAGAATCTCTCTTTATAGCGAACCTAAACTTAAGCAAATACGGACTGGCTTAAGTTTAAACGAGCGGTGCAGTTCGACGAACAGTGAGCTCGGCAAAGTGATGTTCTTAGCTGGGAGATCAATGTGTACTCTCTGTGTCAGCTAAAATTTCGGGGACACTTAACACTGTTTCGTATCTCCGTGTTTATAAGGAACAGTGTGATTTTCCGAGAATACCCCTCTCCGACATAATGACGGTTATAACTGTATCTGTTCTTCTTGGGCTTTTCTCTCTTCTCTCTTTTGTTCTTAATTAAGTGTTTTTCCGATTTATCTTCTAGGTTTATATAGAAGGTTTGTATGTTTGGTAGTGTAGATGGGTCCATCTAAGCTGAACTAACATGTTCTCTTTTTCTATTTAATTTTCTTATTTTTCTGACTCATAAATTCATAATCAACGCCACTCACAATGAAAATTAGAAATTTTATATTCGTAATTACAAAATTGTTTTATACGCATGTCAATCGGGCTAGCCCGGAGCCCGCAAAACCCGTACATATTTGAGCTCTGCCCGGCCCGGCCCGTAAAAATTTCGAGTCTATATTTTAAAGCCCGGACCGGCCCTAACAGAGCTACAGGACTTTTCTGGACTTTTTTGGGCTTTTTTTCCGACAACAAAAAAACAAACTTATAATTTTTAATATCTTTTAAAAAATAATATATATACGAAACAAGCCAATCAAAATTTAAATAACCACTAACGCTAATTTAGTTTTTTTAAAAGAGTGTTAAAATCAAATAAATAATCCAAATAAATTGTTTAAACTTATACAAGATAAAATATAAAATCAAAATAATTCAAATTAGGTAGTAGAGCTAATATTTGCTTTTTCGATTTATAGTAATACACAACAAAAAAAACTAAGTTTAGGGTTTCCAACTCTATCCAAAATTTTTTTTATAACAAATCTTACAATTAAACAAAAGTATTAACAAAAAAAGGTCAAATTATTTTTTAGAGGGTTTTTCGGGCTAGCCCGAACCCGGTCGGACTAAGCCCAAAAAACCCTTTAGCCCGAACGGGCTTAGTCCTAAAAGCCCAATTTTTTCTGGACATATATTTTACAGTCCGAGTCCGCTACTTTTCAGGACTGGGCCGGGCTAGCCCGTGAGCTCTGGCCCTAATTTACATGTCTACTTTTACTAATGAAGATCATGTTACACTTCAATAAGGCAAGTTGGAAGAGTTTTTATTTTATTTTATTTTATTTAATTAAAGTTCACGTCTTTCCACTTATATTTATTTTCCTGTAATTTGTAATTTTTATGTTCTAAAACATGTAGCTTCGCTACGAATTTTGTTTTAAAATATTATCAAAAAATAACAAAAAATAAACCCTGATACTAAAACGCAAATTTCAAATCCTCTAACTAAATATATCTACTTATAGTAATAAAACAGGTAATTTATTTTGTCAACTATGATAAAATAAGTATTAGATATGCTAAAAGATGGTGAGGTCCATAAGTCAAGGTAAGGTATAGTAAGTTAGTAGCATAGAAAGCCTAGCTAAACTAATTTGATTGTATTGACCGTTATGATGTCATAATCAATGATTTTTTGTTCCATTATATACCAAAACGGAATAGATCATCATTCATCAATAAGAAAAAGTCAAGCCAACAATAGGTTCTAGTAAGTTAATAACATAGAAAGATTAGCTGAATTTAATTGAAGGTATTGAGCGTTATGATGTCATAATTAACAACAACAAAAGATTATATGAAATCTTATTTTAGATTAATTTCTTTTAGCCGCGAGTACTAGAATTGGTAATCTTGAATACTCTTAAATTTTGGGATGATCAATCGCCTCGAGACATAAAGTACGCACTTTTTCACTAAAGAACAACTCGTTTCATTTTATTTTTTTTTGGTTATAAACAACTCGTTTCGTGAGATCACTGATCTTTTTATTCGAAAACTAGATTACGTACTCGACCTAATCCCTAGTAGCACAACTAAAAGAGCCTCAATCTAACACTTACTAATGAGCAAGAGCGTATTCCAAGATTATTATCCTTGTTTTATATTTTCAAGTTCCTTAGTGTATAGAAGTATATAAGATTAACTGAGATTTGGTAGAGGGACTAATTTCAGATGCTAAGATACACTATATGATCGTATAGTCTAATGGTTTGTAAAACCAGTTTTCTTAAATATATTTATGAACCAGTAGGACACGTATAGTCTGATATATGGTTTGTGATAGACGGTTAGTGTTGCCGTTATATCACTATCCGAATTCAATCTTTTTTTTGTTTTGAAAAAGAACCGAATTCAATCTTATAATGCATGTTTTTAACTGAAGTAAAATTTTAATTTAATTACAACGTATTTTAATAGTATAAGTCATAACCGATACCATAGAGCATAAATCTATATATATTTATGTGTCCAACTTTACAACGTATACTCTTTTTGGAATTTTTGTTTTGTCCTAAATTGTTGTTTCTAATTATATCTTGATGCCTAATCTTTGTTTGTAACATGCGCAATGATATTAAAACATTGTATCATACTAGAAGTGGAGAACAAATTAAAATTCCACACAACGCGTCTCTATAGAATTGAATTATTCATAAACGGACGAGAGCATTTCAACTGCTCAATTTATTTTCCTATCATCAAGATTGGCGTTTCGTCAGATCACCACGCCAATTTATTTCTTAAAGTCGGTCAAACGTTGGCATCTTCTGATACACTGATATATGTGGATTTTACAAAAGTTAACCCATGATTTTAAACAAACAAAAAACAGTCGAGAGGAATTTTTTTAGATATTTATCATATGGAAAAATAAACGAGGCTAGAGAATATATTGATAAATGAAATCTTTAAATTTAACATACTGTTTTAGAAATATCTTGAAAAAAGGATTTTTCCTGTAATTTATAAGCGGAAGCAAATCGGACCGGGCCAAACATGTTAGAAATATGTGGATTTGCAGATTTCTGTTCGGGTCGGCCGGTTCTGCCTAGTTGTCTAGTTGACTAAGGTTTTGTGGACGGGTTCGTTATTCTTCTAGCTACTAAGTAAACATGCCATCTTCTATGACCTGACGTCAACAAGAATAGTCACGGGACGTGTGTGGAACACACGTTATAGAACATATTCAACATTTCAAGTTTGCCCAAAGAAATTACGTAAGAATTTAATTCGCAAGTTGGGTCTTAGTTACAGCAAAAAGATATATTTCTAATGTTATTTTATGAGTTGTCATTTGAAACATGTCAACTAGAAGATAACGTGCAAGACATTCGTGCATGTCTAATGTGAAGAACTCCGTTTTATATGGTGAAATGACATTATTTTATCTGTTAGAAACAATAGTCAATTGTGCTTTCTAAAGAAATTTTTTTAATATTCAATTTAACCGCCAGCAGAGATCAAAAAGATAGTGGAGGCCCTGCAATGTCCTCCTCGGCCTCCTCTGTTTTTCAAACCTAATTAAGAATCAGAGGAATAATGCAAATAGGTTTTATCTAAATCATATTAGACATTTCTCCATGGACTATTTCAATGCCTCTGGATGATCTATAAAAGGCCTGAGAATGTCTCCTTCATCTTCATCTCCAAGCTCGATCTCAGCTTTCTTGGCTAGCACTCAACAAATCAAACGAGCTAAGAAAGGACATAGAGATGGCGAGCAAGAACCTTCTGGCCCTTGTGGTTCTTCTTAGCGTCCTTGGAGTTTCTGTTGCCTATCCAAAGTTGATCCCTACCCTCGACTACTACCAGTCTAAGTGTCCCGACGCAGAGCGCATTGTTCGTCGTGTCACAGAACAATATGTTTCTCGGAAGCCAAGCCTTGCCGCTTCGCTTCTAAGGATGCATTTTCATGATTGTTTCGTCAGAGTAAGCTTGCTTCACTTCTCCGAGACTTTAATAATGGATATGAGAAAAAATAGCCCTAACTCTTTTTAATGATTCATGAAGGGATGTGATGGTTCCGTTCTTCTGAAAACTCCAAAGAATGATGCGGAAAGAAACGCTATCCCCAACCTGACCCTGAGAGGCTTTGAAGTGGTGGATGCGGCCAAGACAGCGCTCGAGAAGAAGTGTCCCAATCTCGTTTCTTGCGCTGATGTTCTTGCCTTGGTCGCCAGAGATGCCGTCGCAGTGGTAACATTTTCGCATTGGACTCATTCCAAAATTAAAGCCTACTATGTATATATAACTTGTTGTCTCTTAACAGATCAAGGGACCATGGTGGCCGGTTCCATTGGGCCGCAGGGATGGACGCATCTCAAAATTGACAGATGCATTGCAAAATTTACCATCTCCTTTCGCCGACATAAAGACGCTGAAGAAGAACTTTGCGGACAAGGGTCTTAACGCTAAAGACCTTGTCGTTCTCTCAGGTATTATTTTCTTATGTGCGTGCAATCTCAAAAGTTATCAATTTGAGAGTTGAAAGCTGAATAAAAATGGTTTCTTGATTAGGGGGTCACACCATTGGAATCTCCAGTTGCGCTCTCGTCAACACACGTATCTACAACTTCACAGGAAAGGGCGATTTTGACCCATCCATGAACCCTAGCTACGTGAGGGCGTTGAAGAAGAAGTGCAGCCCTACAGATTTCAAATCCGTACTGGAAATGGACCCAGGCAGTGCCAAGAAATTCGACCCTCACTACTTCACTGCCGTGGCTCAGAAGAAAGGTCTCTTCATATCTGACTCTACCCTTCTCGATGACCTTGAGACCAAACTCTACGTCCAGACCGCTAACGAGGTTACTTTCAATAAAGATTTCTCCGATTCCATGGTCAAACTTGGTAAAGTCCAAATTCTTACCGGGAAAAATGGTGAGATCAGGAAGAGATGCGCCTTCCCTAACTGAGTATCTATCTAAAAAAAACTGATGTTTATTTGAATGATTTAATCCTGCAGTATGCAATCCTTTGTTTTTGTACGTTATTCCGTTTGCTCCAAGTCTGTTTTCAGACAGAGTTTTCAATTTTCCTTTGTATGATGTTGTTCGGATGTCTCATAAAAGTCAACAGACTATATATCTTTTGCACTTAATCCATAATTATTTCGTTTTCTTCATCTTTCCAACCAAATAAGAGTTAGCGCACTCGAGATACGAGTAAAGCAGAGGAGAAGAGAAGATTCGGGCATCTGAAACCCTAATTTCGTCCACGTAGACATCACTCTCGACATCGAATATCTAATCGCAGCCGTCAATTCAAGCCTCCAACAGTGAGTCATTGTGTCCTCAAAGCGCCTTCTTCCACTTGCGAGATTTATAAACCTAAAAAGATCTCTAAGTCAATCGATTTCCCTCAAAAAGTCAAAATGAAGATTCTAAAAATTTGCTATTTTTCCCTGAGACCCTAGTACACAACCCTTGCGTTTCAATTTTCCATGAAACAAACCATTGAACAAGTACTAGAATATGACTTCCAACTCAAAACCAATTTACAATGAATTAGCCAATATATCTTATATACTAGTCAAAATGACTTATTATTGACAATGTGGGATATTATTATCCTTAATATATACACCACTCGAAGTGATGACTCTATCCATTGATTTCGGTATGCTCGTACATGGATCAGCGGACCAACTATTGGGTCGGACCGATCGTGGATTAGATTGGATATGTATGGATCTGGCTTTAATACAATATTAGAATATTAGCTTCCAACTCAAAATCAATTGGCACTGAGTGGATTAACCCATTTATCTTATATCCTAGTCAATATCTCATGTCCTTTTCAATATAAGATATTATTATCCCTAATAACAACCTCTAAATTACTTACTTAGCTGCTCGAGAACAAACGAGTATAATAAGACTAAACAAAAGCAAGTCACTCAAATAATTTACTTTGACAAATTGTTGTTTTGCAGTAATAGAAAATATAACTGTTACAACAGTAATACTTCTTACCGTTATTATTAGCTTCGCGCAAATATATAAACGAAATCAACCTACTTTGCTTATAAATGTATATGTTCTTCCCCCAGCCCCTTCTTTAAGAAATCATAAGTCTTCTTTGAGGTCGGCGTTGAATCCGCATAGAACGGTCGAACTCAGTTTAGCTAAAAATGTTTTTTTTTAAATGTTGTTGGAATGTTAAATTTATCCTCCCACAAAGTGACACTCCTAAGTCAGTGCCGTGCTAAGACATACGAAGGCTTAAGGCGAACTTAAAAAATGTGGTCTTAATAATAAAAATATTGTCTCAAAACATACATAATAGTGTCAACAAAAGACCAAAAATAGAGAAATTCTAAGGTACAATTTTTCTTCCTTTCTTTCCTAGAAAATCAAAATCGATCCATCAGACGGGTTCAAATTCCCTAACTAATTTGGATCCATCAGACGGGTTCCGTATGATTTTGAGTCTAAACGCTTTCTGCTTGTTTATCTTTCTTTATTTCTTTCACGGAAGTCGAGCTTTAATTGGTGTTGTGTTCTGTTTCTTCAATGAATAATTGTATTCTATTGAGTAACTTAACTTTGATTCTTAATGGTGACTGTGTTTGTAATGGAAAAAGTTTTTTGTTTTCACTTTGATCAGTTTCTTAATTAGTTGAGTTTTTAATTTGGTTAAACCTAGACCAAACAGAGATAATTAACTGGAAATTCAATCCTCCAACAGTCTAGTGTGTCCTCAAATCGTCTTCTTCCATTTCCTTATCTCCTCCGAAATCAATAAACCTAGAATCTCTAAGGGGGTGTTATTCAATGGTGGAGTTAAAATCAATTCTTTAAGGTTTAGATTTGTTTTTTGATATTGGTTTTAAGAATCTGTTTGTGTGGAATGTGAATATCAAAATCTCTGCAGTATATCTTCGATTTTGATTCTAATAATTTACTCATGAAACTCCAAAGAGGTTTCATTTGAAATGACTTAATATACAAAGATTTTACAAGTCTTTTAGTTTTGAATAACACTGGATTTTACAAACTTTAAAGAATTGACTTTAACTCCACTATTGAATAACACCAAACTTTTAAAATCTAATGAAGTATAAGATCTAATAACACCAGATTTTAACGTTAGATTTATAATCATTAGTTGAATAACACTGTATTAGTGTTGGATTTCAATTCTATTAAAATCCATCATTGAATAACACCACCTAAGTCGATCGACTTCCCCCACATAGAATAATCTAAAAAAATTATACTGTATCCTTGATTTCATCTTAATTAGGTGAGACACAAGCCATATAACAACCACTAAACTTAAGTGAGAACATATTGAACTTATAATAACACCTTTAATAGACCAAAGAAAATCCAAAAGACATAATGTCAAGTTCGGTTTATTTTCACAGTTTTTAACTTTCAGATTTGAGTTTTTCACAAAAAAAAGATTTTGTATAATTAAACCTTTATAAGTTAAATCACAACGGTATAAATAATCATTACAAAAAACGGTATATATAAGAAAAATTTAGTTATAAATTCTAAAAACCAAACGTGAAAAAGATATTTTTAATAAAAATTAATTAGAAACTTAGTGTTAAATTTAATTGACGTGAAATTCACCTCTAATGGACCAAAGAAAACTCTAAAGACAAAAAGTCAAGTTTTGTTTGTTTTCACAGTTTAAAATTTGAAAGTTAAGCTTTTTTTAAATGAAACCATTTTATATAATTAATATGTAAGTTAAAATTAGACCGGTTAAACATATATCAAAATTTAGTAATTAATCCGAAAAACCAAAGTAATTTGAAAAAAAAAATAAATTTATACAAATAATAGCTAGGTTAGGGGCAGTGCCGTGCTTAATGCCTTGGGAGAAAGGCATTTGCCTAAGGCCACCAGATTTTTAAAATTTAGTAGGCCACATTTTTTAATAAGGCTTCTTATGGGTTTCATTAGTTTTATAAATCTGTTTTGAGTTCTTTGTGTATTAAAGCCCAAATCCTTATAATTGCTATCATACTTTTTATTTGTATATGGAAATTTCTTACACGTTTAGCATTTTTTGTTTAATACATAATAAAATAAGGCCACAATCCACATGCCCACATGATTATGCTTAGAGCATCATTAGAACATGATTAACAATGGTATCTTAAAAATGGTTCTTAGAAGTATTAAAGTAATAATATGACATGTGGTTGGTTCTTAAGGTTAGTTTTGGGTCTTAGCTAAGCCACTTTTCTTAGTTTTGGGTCTTAGCTAAGCCACATTTCTTACTTAAGAACTCTTAAGATACCCTTGTTAATGGTGGTCTTAAAGAATAATTTAGAAAAGGAATAAGAAACTTAAACGATAATAAAAATATAATTAAAAGAAAACCTAGACAAAAAGACATTTAGATAGTCAAAAGTTAAATGGTTTGGCTATAATATCAATAGAGAGGAAACTGGTAAAAAAACTCGATTATACGAGTTTGGTGAATGATTTTCTAGGAAAGAAAGGAAGAAAAATTGCACCTTAGAATTTCTCTATTTTTGATCTTTTGTTGACACTATTATGTATGTTTTGAGACAATATTTTTATTATTAAGACCACATTTTTTAAGTTCGCCTTAAGCCTTCGTATGTCTTAGCACGGCACTGACTTAGGGGTGTCACTTTGTGGGAGGATAAATTTAACATTCCAACAACATTTTAAAAAAAACATTTTTAGCTAAACTGAGTTCGACCGTTCTATGCGGATTCAACGCCGACCTCAAAGAAGACTTATGATTTCTTAAAGAAGGGGCTGGGGGAAGAACATATACATTTATAAGCAAAGTAGGTTGATTTCGTTTATATATTTGCGCGAAGCTAATAATAACGGTAAGAAGTATTACTGTTGTAACAGTTATATTTTCTATTACTGCAAAACAACAATTTGTCAAAGTAAATTATTTGAGTGACTTGCTTTTGTTTAGTCTTATTATTCTCGTTTGTTCTCGAGCAGCTAAGTAAGTAATTTAGAGGTTGTTATTAGGGATAATAATATCTTATATTGAAAAGGACATGAGATATTGACTAGGATATAAGATAAATGGGTTAATCCACTCAGTGCCAATTGATTTTGAGTTGGAAGCTAATATTCTAATATTGTATTAAAGCCAGATCCATACATATCCAATCTAATCCACGATCGGTCCGACCCAATAGTTGGTCCGCTGATCCATGTACGAGCATACCGAAATCAATGGATAGAGTCATCACTTCGAGTGGTGTATATATTAAGGATAATAATATCCCACATTGTCAATAATAAGTCATTTTGACTAGTATATAAGATATATTGGCTAATTCATTGTAAATTGGTTTTGAGTTGGAAGTCATATTCTAGTACTTGTTCAATGGTTTGTTTCATGGAAAATTGAAACGCAAGGGTTGTGTACTAGGGTCTCAGGGAAAAATAGCAAATTTTTAGAATCTTCATTTTGACTTTTTGAGGGAAATCGATTGACTTAGAGATCTTTTTAGGTTTATAAATCTCGCAAGTGGAAGAAGGCGCTTTGAGGACACAATGACTCACTGTTGGAGGCTTGAATTGACGGCTGCGATTAGATATTCGATGTCGAGAGTGATGTCTACGTGGACGAAATTAGGGTTTCAGATGCCCGAATCTTCTCTTCTCCTCTGCTTTACTCGTATCTCGAGTGCGCTAACTCTTATTTGGTTGGAAAGATGAAGAAAACGAAATAATTATGGATTAAGTGCAAAAGATATATAGTCTGTTGACTTTTATGAGACATCCGAACAACATCATACAAAGGAAAATTGAAAACTCTGTCTGAAAACAGACTTGGAGCAAACGGAATAACGTACAAAAACAAAGGATTGCATACTGCAGGATTAAATCATTCAAATAAACATCAGTTTTTTTTAGATAGATACTCAGTTAGGGAAGGCGCATCTCTTCCTGATCTCACCATTTTTCCCGGTAAGAATTTGGACTTTACCAAGTTTGACCATGGAATCGGAGAAATCTTTATTGAAAGTAACCTCGTTAGCGGTCTGGACGTAGAGTTTGGTCTCAAGGTCATCGAGAAGGGTAGAGTCAGATATGAAGAGACCTTTCTTCTGAGCCACGGCAGTGAAGTAGTGAGGGTCGAATTTCTTGGCACTGCCTGGGTCCATTTCCAGTACGGATTTGAAATCTGTAGGGCTGCACTTCTTCTTCAACGCCCTCACGTAGCTAGGGTTCATGGATGGGTCAAAATCGCCCTTTCCTGTGAAGTTGTAGATACGTGTGTTGACGAGAGCGCAACTGGAGATTCCAATGGTGTGACCCCCTAATCAAGAAACCATTTTTATTCAGCTTTCAACTCTCAAATTGATAACTTTTGAGATTGCACGCACATAAGAAAATAATACCTGAGAGAACGACAAGGTCTTTAGCGTTAAGACCCTTGTCCGCAAAGTTCTTCTTCAGCGTCTTTATGTCGGCGAAAGGAGATGGTAAATTTTGCAATGCATCTGTCAATTTTGAGATGCGTCCATCCCTGCGGCCCAATGGAACCGGCCACCATGGTCCCTTGATCTGTTAAGAGACAACAAGTTATATATACATAGTAGGCTTTAATTTTGGAATGAGTCCAATGCGAAAATGTTACCACTGCGACGGCATCTCTGGCGACCAAGGCAAGAACATCAGCGCAAGAAACGAGATTGGGACACTTCTTCTCGAGCGCTGTCTTGGCCGCATCCACCACTTCAAAGCCTCTCAGGGTCAGGTTGGGGATAGCGTTTCTTTCCGCATCATTCTTTGGAGTTTTCAGAAGAACGGAACCATCACATCCCTTCATGAATCATTAAAAAGAGTTAGGGCTATTTTTTCTCATATCCATTATTAAAGTCTCGGAGAAGTGAAGCAAGCTTACTCTGACGAAACAATCATGAAAATGCATCCTTAGAAGCGAAGCGGCAAGGCTTGGCTTCCGAGAAACATATTGTTCTGTGACACGACGAACAATGCGCTCTGCGTCGGGACACTTAGACTGGTAGTAGTCGAGGGTAGGGATCAACTTTGGATAGGCAACAGAAACTCCAAGGACGCTAAGAAGAACCACAAGGGCCAGAAGGTTCTTGCTCGCCATCTCTATGTCCTTTCTTAGCTCGTTTGATTTGTTGAGTGCTAGCCAAGAAAGCTGAGATCGAGCTTGGAGATGAAGATGAAGGAGACATTCTCAGGCCTTTTATAGATCATCCAGAGGCATTGAAATAGTCCATGGAGAAATGTCTAATATGATTTAGATAAAACCTATTTGCATTATTCCTCTGATTCTTAATTAGGTTTGAAAAACAGAGGAGGCCGAGGAGGACATTGCAGGGCCTCCACTATCTTTTTGAATTGAATTTTAAAAATTTCAGAATTAGAAAAAAAAAAACTCAAAATTATGCAACGATGAAGAAAGCTTCAAATCATCTTTTGCGCTTTGAAAAGCTATTGACTTTGGAGAACATGTAGTTGGCTGAATTGTTATATTAATTAGTCCCTAGCTCTCAAAGTTAAAAACTATAATAAACTGTTATAGTATGTGGAATCCACGTTCTTGCATTCTCATAGAAAACCATCCAAGTTGCTGAATTCAGTAATTGGATATTACAATATACACCCAGTTTCTTGTGAACAAGTCATCCAAAAAAAAAAAAAATCAATCAATTATTCCTTAACTAACTCCCCACTCTCGGAGTATGAGACTTTCGGCCTTGCCACTCGTTTGGGATAAAATCTATAATGGGCCAAAAGTTTACTTCCATCTATCTTATGGCCCATCTAGGAAGCCGAGAAACAAAATACAATACCTACTATTTCGAATTTATTACAAAAGCATCCACATTTTTCAACAAAACGTTTCCATTATGAATCTCATATTTGAATTGATCCAAAAAGAACACCCTATCTTCGTTGTTAACTAGAAAAATGACAACAGTTTTGAATTATTTGAGACTTTCCGAGAATGAAACAAAAGTAGTCGTTATTGAAGATCATTTATCACCCTAAGACTTTTAATTAAAATTATACGAAACTTATAGATGTATCAAATTTTTGCGGTGATGCAACTTTTGGTCTTTGGACATGTATGTGAATAGTCTTGTAGCAATTCTTTTTGAAATAAATTGTAGTGAAGTAGCCAGGAAAATAAAACTGAAATGCTTTTTTTTTTTTAATTGAGAAAATAAAACTGAAATGTTAGGCGTTGAATTATTACTAGCAATTCTTTTTGAAATAAATTGTGGAAAATAAAAACGAAATGTTTCTTTTTTTTAAAATTGAAAAAATAAAACTGAAATGTTAGGCGTTGAATTATTTACTAGTGTTCTTAGTATGAGAGTACGAAGAAGGAAGCGGAGGTTAAGTGCAAGAGAGGCATGAGAGCAGTAAATGGCCTAAAGCCCATGCAGCCTCTGTGTACACATTTAATGCGACGAAACTATTCGCCACCCTATCGCATACGTACGTATAACTCCCTCCATCTATATATATGTATATGTACATATATATATATACACATAGTATTTAAAATGGAAATCAGAAAAAGAAGGGTTAGTGTTTTTTTTTTGGTGGGAGAAGGGTTAATGTTTTTTTTATACGAGTTAAGTTAACTTAACTAATCTAGATTTGTATGAAACTATAAATTAACTTGTTCAAAAGAAAACTTGAGTGTTAAAGTACGTTAAGGACTAGCGAGGTAATTACGCAGTATATTTCTACATACTCGCGTGATAAATTACGATGAATGCATGACTTTTACAAATTATCACCTTTTTAAAGGGTATCTGTATTTAAACAGCTTAATTGCACGTTATAGTTAAACGTATATTCTCTTACGCATGTAAAATGAAGTCTTACTGTGAAAAAAGTGAAATCATATTATTTTATTGCTTTCCTTAAACTAGAAAAAAAAAATTGTTTGGTAAACAAAACTAAAGGTGATGATTTTGGGATTTCCTTCTTTAAAATGAAATAAAATAAATATGATCAATAAATTTCTGTCTGACTAAATCATACAACATAAATTCTATAATATATAAGAAAATGCCATATGGAAAAAGAATCATGAAATTTTCTTCTTTCAAATACCCTTTTCCAATTATATTTATTTTAGAACAAAGATATTAAATAATAATAAAAAAAACTAAAATAGTAAAAAATATAAGAATCATATATTTTGAAAGTAAAAATTAAATTAATATCTCATAAAGATAAAAAGTTAACTATAATAAGTCCTTGAATCTATCAATGTAATAATAAAACTAGATCCTGACCCGCACGTACGTGCGGGGTTTCATATTTCAAAAACATTTCTTACAAATTTTCATATAATATAGATTATTTTATTGTTTTTATGATGTATATTTTAGTGTATTAGATCTAGATCCACATGTACGTGCAGAGATATTTTTTTTAGAAATTGTTATATAGATTTTAAAAATATAAAATATTTTGTTGTGTTAGTGAACTTTGTAATAATATAAATATTATAAAGTTAGAGTAATGAACGAAATTTAGTTGCGTTAGTGCATAGTTATATTTTAAGATTCGGACCTACACGTACGTGTGAAATTGTATTTAATATAAAATTAAGATATTATTTAGTTGCAAAAGTTAAGTGATGTTACGTTTTTATTTTCTAAACTATTCAAAATATTTCTAACAGTTTGATTACATGTGTTAAATAGGATACATATTCGGTTTAGTTTGGATTATTTCATGTATATTAGCTAGGCGTAACTATTTTGGAACAGAAAACCTATCCCGTCTTGTATATGTCATAAATTTTTTGTCCCATAACCCGTCTCGTATACGTGAAATAAAAATATTACGGTCCCGTATCTGTCATAAATTGTAACTAAAAACGTACGTATAAGGTTATGTGTGTAAACAAATTTATTTTATATAGTGTTCATAACACAAACTCATACCAGTTGAGTATTAAGTTTGATTTTTAATTTATGTTCTCCTGCCATCCCGTCTCGTAATTCTTATTCTCATTTCATTCCATTAAAACCATGTTCCAAATTCTTGTTTGCTTACTTTAAAATACCATAAAATACATACTGTGAGTTTTGCGGATTAATATGTATGATGTTAAAGTTACAAATATTTTAACAAATTTATTAATGTTTCTTTCCTTAGCTAAATTTTGCATATTCTTCTTTTAATTGTTTAATCATAATTAGTTCAATATTTGGACTAAAAATAAAAGTTTTAGATACATCTATAAAAGGGATATGCTATTGCTTCAAAAACTGTGTGCAATATATTATGGATTTATTTAAGGAAGATCTGAGTTGAAAAGAAAAAAATAAAACACAAAATATTTCAAAATTAATATGTACATTCTATTGTTTAGATTTTTTCAAAAATTACTCTAAACGAAAACCATTATGATAATTACTTAAAATTTATTATTATTTGAGTTTATTTCATAGTAAAAATAAATATTTGTTAATATTTAATATGGTTTTTTAGAAATTATGAAATAAAATTTTGTTTTATATTTCAAAATTTGTAATAAAAATATTATAACAAAACTGAATATTAAAATATTTGCATTTAATTTTTTTACCAAATTTTAAATTCAATCTTAAAATCTTCCTTAAATAATATTTGCATCTAGTTATTATTTAAGGAAGATCTGAGTTGAAAAGAAAAAAATAAAACACAAAATATTTCAAAATTAATATGTACATTATATTGTTTAGATTTTTTCAAAAATTGCTCTAAACGAAAACCATTATGATAATTACTTAAAATTTATTATTATTTGAGTTTATTTCATAGTAAAAATAAATATTTGTTAATATTTAATATGGTTTTTTAGAAATTATGAAATAAAATTTCGTTTTATATTTCAAAATTTGTAATAAAAATATTATAACAAAACTGAATATTAAAATATTTGCATTTAATTTTTTTACCAAATTTCAAATTCAATCTTAAAATCCTCCATTGATAAATCTTTTTAAATGATAGTTTTTTTTAATTTTGAATTAAAATGATATTATTTTTATTTGTATTTTTGATATAGAATAGTCTATTAGGATTGGTTTAGAAAAAATCTTAGTTGGATATCAAATCTTAGTTTTTCAATTCCTATTGGTTAACAATTTTTAAAAAATTAATTTCAAATTTTCGTTTATAATTAATAAGAGAGAGAAAATTAGTTTATTTTTTTGGAAATTAATAAGTATTTAAAAGAATTAAACTATTTTTTATTTAAATATATTAATTTTGTGATTACTATTGTACCCTTAATGAAGTTATTTAAAAACACTAAAAACCAATGGCATTTTTTGTAATTCTTTACCCTTTATAAGGTTATGTATTATCCAATGCTTCCCAATTAATAATATAGATTATATTGTAGTTAAAAAATCTACATAAATTTGCTTCTATACAAGAGTATTAAAATTTAAGAAAATTACTTTTAAAACGTAGATTATATATCCTTAAAAAATGGGGAATATTGTCTAGCTTTTTCTGTAAATGGAGAACTATATTTAAGCAAGTTTCAATATAGTTAATTTTGTTTAAGTGATGATTTATTTCATATGCAAAAGTTATAAATAAATGTTAATGATTTTTTTTAAACAACTACATATATAAATATAATAAATAAATGTAAGGTTAGTTTCACAGCTCGTTAGCCGTCATTCCCCACATCAATATAATATTAAAAATAAAAACAACACATAACAATATACATGTTAAAAAAAAAAAAAATTGTAACAAATCTCTCCGCTCTCTCTCTCTCTCTCTCTCTCTCTCTCTCTCTCTCTATCTCTATCTATAAGCGTGTAGGATAGATAATTAAGTGTCCCTCTCGCACCATTTAATTTCATTGCACCATCTCAATTCTCTCTGCCATTACTCTCTCATCTCTCTCCCATTTTTCCTCTCTCTCTCTTCATCCAAGATTTGCACCTACCTTTCAAACTCTTCGCTCGCCAACAAACCGCTTCACAAAACCATCAGCGGTTTTCCGAGGAACAAATCTCAGACCAGACACCGCTCCACTCCTCTCTCCCTCTAGGGTTTTCGTTGCTTCGTCTTCCCAGTGTATGTCTCGAAAACCTCATCATTTCTGCTGTTTTGGTTATTTTATCCATTAATTCAAATAAACTTTTTTATTTGTTTAATGTATTGGATCCATTACTCTTAAATTTCTTAGCTTCTTCATAAAACTCTCACTTTCATAATGATTTTATAATTAAATATATCCTCTATGTTGAATTTTCACTTAGTCATCAATTTTTGTCTTAAATTTTTCATT